AGGCCGTTGCCTCACGTACACATAACCCACAACCATTCACGGGGTCGGCCGAAAACTCTCTTGCCTCCGGCCCCAGCGTCAGCTTACCAGATAATCGGCTTATTATTGCCAATCTGAGCCAACGCGCAGATTATAATCCTTTCCAAGCCGAATCGCAGCCTCAAAGCCAGCCTTTAGTGAATAACATCGCGTCGGCTGTCAACATCGGAGGATTGTTGACTGATGCACCAGTTGACAACATTGCTTTAGGCATGAGCAACGACCGTGAACCCGAGAACTATCTCAGGCTAGACTGGTATAATATGGTGAACTGGGACGATGCGGCAATGGACTTGGGAAGCACATTTGGGGGAAATCATGTATAAATGTCTTAGTAGCCCCCTTCAGTGTAATGCTAGATTGTCTCAGGCTTCCCCTTCATCCGATTCAGAGAATATAATTATCATCATTGGTGTTTCTCCACCGCCCACAGATCTCGTGCTAATGCCTGTTTCAAGCAAGTATCCTTGGCACCTTTCCCCCGAGAAGCACTGCCATCTGACCGGAATGATTGTGCGGGACACATCCCGCGTGAAAATGATCTCTAGTGTCTTGGACACTGTGTCTGATGCCGGTGTTTTTGGTAAGGGTAAAATAAAGCTCATTCCATCGTTGCATTTTAGCACGCCCTTCCGAAAGTCAAAAACCTGGGCACGATGCTTGATATCGTCGCTTAGATTCCTCCCATTCCGTCGGTTGATTTCGGGTTTCTAACTCATCAGCTCCCTCCTCTTACTAGAGGAATAGGCATGTTTAACATATACTTACTATCTCTTCGACGAGCTGTTTGACGAGAGCCTTAAGCCTCTGTACTGGGCCCTTCTTCATGCGATACAGCTCGAGTTCAGGCGCAGATTCTTCAGGCCTTTCAAAGTCATCGTTATTAATCTGCAGCTCGGCGATGGCTTTTGCGAGCGTCGCGGAAAGGAGAAGGGGTACAACTTCAGACATAATTAATGAGTCTCGATTTTGATATCTTTGAAGAGAGGAGAGGGAGACTGATAGCCCAATAAGAGCAGTTGCACTGTTTAAGGTTGGCTGCGAACTTGTGCGACGATATGACAAAGCACGTGAGTTACATCCATCAGGCACCGTTGGGCTGACTCCACATCCCCGCAGCCGTCCAAAATACAAAGGGAAGTTCAGGCAAGCTTGATGAGTAAGCGACCGATGCCCCCAACAGTTTGCGATTCACCGGCTAATTAGTTAGTATTCTGCAGACATCAATGCCAACTGCCAACTCGAAAAACCGACACGTACGTCTAGTGACTTACCTTCATTCAGCCCTTTATCGCATTTTGACTCATAATGTCGGTCATATCTACAGATGGTGTGGGTGCGGGCTCCTCGCCCTCTTTGCCGCCATTCGTTTGTTTGGGAGCAGGAGTAGGATTTCGCTCCCACTCTTTTCGCCGTTCTCGCGAGGTGATTTGGGTACCGCGTCGCCGTCGCTTTCACCCGACATGATGGATGTTGAGCAGGCCTGTAGGAGCTGTGGACATATTAGTCTTTATTCTATGGAAATCCCAGACTATTGCCGCTGTCCTGTTAGATAGTCCCTTACGAGAAGCAAGATGTGGAGTTATTGGACAGTGGAATGAAGATAGACTTGGCGCCAGTGAGAAATGACAGTATCTGAGTAAACGAATGCGAGACTCGCGATGTTGACGATCGAAGATACAGACCGATGCCGCCTACCCGAGGCTGGCAGAGGCGAATGATCTCTCACGAAAGTGTTGAAAGAATCTCGTTTCCTGAGAACAAGCTGCAAACCGACTCTAGCTTCTGGTCTGTGGAGCTATCATTAGTAACCGTAGAGTTCCAGAACATTCATACTCCAGAGGATTCACTTACCTGAGGATGAGGATGATACAGGTTGTTCACGTCAGCCCATCGGCATCTGTAACACCGCGTACAGAGTCGAACCTGCAATGAGCTTCTCACGATAGTGTTGAGCAGGCTTGTGATGTTAGTCTTTATTCTCTGGAAGTCCTAGGACATCGGCCGCCGTCCGGTTGGGTAGTCCCTTACGTGAAGAGCAAGGTGTGGAGTTGCCTGGACGAGGGCCAATGAGGATGAGCGTGTCCGGGTAACTGGACACCAGACTCGTGATGTGTTGAACCCGTCCTAGAAGCTCGCATATGCGAGATGATTGTGAATCGGTACTGGCTAGGTTTAGAGGCCAGGCGAGATTGTTGACTGTGAGGTGGTATTGGGCGGCAAAGAGACTATGGGAGTACGTTGGGTCAGCCCGTGGAAGTTGCATGTCACTCCTCGTTCTGTCAAATTCCAGGATATCGGCCGCCATCCCGTTGGGGAGTCTTCTTACACAGATTCAATATGTGGTGGTGTTTGAATGGTCGACGAGGATAGACTATCTGTTTGACAGTATTCAGAGCATGGTGTGTTCTTGCGGGGGAGAAGGGTACTCTTATACCTGCCGGCCGGCGTGTTCGGGTCTAGGCCGGTCAAGCAACGAATTCTGGTGAGCAGATCCTCTTTGTATGGGAGGAATAATCGCCCCAGAGATGAATCCCGTATTCACGGTTGGTGACAATCTCTTCATACGGATACACCTTCCTTCCTCGTCCTCCTGCAGTTGGTTATGCAGTCTAAACTGGCACACTTCCGGAATATACGAGATCAAGGTCTTTACCACCTGGACGCAGGATACGCTACAGGGGCTCGTCTACGTAGTAGATTTCCCTTCCAGAACCGAAACTGGCTAGAGACTTCTGCGGACATGCATCGCCGTGGATCGTTGCTTCAACTACATGTTTCTAACGTGGAGCAATCTCGGCGAATTGACATACGGATTAGATGTCCGGTCAAGGTTAAGTCATGCAGCTTGGTTCCCCACGATGGAGACTTATGCCCGAGGTGATGCATGATCCGTTGTCCTAGTTTGGCGTTGACGTGAGCGGCTAGGGGCGGCCGGCATCCCGGAGTACACAGCAGACCTGCAGACAGCCATTGAACGCCACGAGCACATGTGGCTTTCGGCCATACAGCACTCAGCAACCTACAGCCATTCAATGGAGCTTGCTGCAAGTGAGCTGGGACAAACCATTGCGCATTCAAATGCTTGCGGAGCGGCACAGAGCCCACGTGGCTTCTCTAGCCCGTATTCACTCGGCCGTCATTCTGCTCCCCATTCAACAACCGAAGCCGGCTAGTTCACTCTGCCGTCGGCAATTTCTTCACGGCTACACCTTCTTCGTCTTGTTTGCGGCCGGTCATACAGTCCAAGCTGGTATCCCTTTGACCGCGAGAAAACCCCACGTTGTATCAACCCCACACTACCCCTATCATCGCAGGGGTACAATAAAAACACCGAGAAGCATCGCGTCTATTGTTTTGGCGATAATTGACACTCCCCTACATTTCAAATAGGCTCAACCGACCCAATCCTAGACTATATTACTATTGCTATTCTACCTGATAACCTTACTAATGCATGCACTACAGCATGCGAGCGCGAGGCTGTTGGAGGCTGCACCTACCTGCCTGACGAGCTGGCTACCACCGAGGCCGGCACGACCTTCGAGCCCTTTGTTGTGCCCGGTCGGGCTGCCGACAGTGCAATGTATCACTTTGTAACAAGGACGATTGTTGGTACTTATTCCACCAGCAAAATAGATAGGGAATTGATGTACCTTTGAATGCGTGACTTTTAGTTGGTTCAAACCCCTGTCTGGTACGGGAATAATCCTGGAGTGGGGTCTTCTCGCGGTCAAAGGGATATTACTACCACAATGCACCAGATCGAAGCCATTGATCACTTGATGAGGTAGATCCTTTAGGGGCTCGTCCACGTAGTAAGTTTCCCCTTAAGCAACTGAATGAGGCTAGAAACTGCTAGGGATATGCATCACCAGTCGACATGAATTGCCGCCTCAGCTATAAATCTTAAATAGAACTATTATAGAACTATTGGCTAGTCAAGCATCATTAGCACGAGAAGCGGAAATATACGGGCATCTGTTCTGCAGATCGGTATTGACGTGGTCTCACTTATGTCTAATATCGGCCTACCTTTGCGAATGATCTCAGGACGCTGCTTCGCCCTACCTCGAACGGCAGCAGCTACCCTCTGCCCGGCATCAAGTCCCGGGGCAGCAGTCAGTGCGAGAACCAACCAGAAAGACCAGTTGGTTCCCCACGTTCAAGACGCATGGTCGAGGTAATGCATGTTCCGTTGCCCCTGACTTGGCCTTAACGGGCGGCCGGCATCTCATACGCAAGAATTCACTTACAGTAAGCTTGTAGAAAGTTCGAACTTTGAACACCGTGAGCTTTGAACTCCGGAACTCTATGCGACTGTCAACTATATAGTACTCAGTACCTATAGCTTATAGCCATAGATCCAGTCGCCATGATTCTCTGGGGCTTGCTGCGCAATTATAGAGAACTGAGGCAAACCATTAGGTATTCAAGCGATTGCCGATACAGCCCAGAGCTTATGAGGCTTGTCTTTTTCGACGTGATAATTTTACCTTTGAACTGGATAGTCGTCTACTCTCTCACGATAAGGCTCTCAAATGCGAAAATCTGCTTGCCAAAGGAGATGTAGACGTTCAGCGCTGACCCCTGTCGTGGAGGGGATACAAATTGTGACCCTGTCGCGTAGGGGAGGGGATCACAAATTGTGACCCTTGTTGCGTAGTGGAGGGGATCACAGATTGTGACCCTTGTTGCGTAGTGGAGCGGATCACAAATTGTGACCCTTGTCGCGTAGGGGAGGGGATCACAAATTGTGACCCTTGTTGCGCAGTGGAGCGGATCACAAATTGTGACCCTTGTCGCGTGGTGGACCCTTGTTGCGTAGTGGAGGGGATCACAGATTGTGACCCTTGTCACGTAGGAGGGGTTTACGATTGTGCCCTCGTATGCAGCGGATCAAAGAGTTGACCCACCAGCCGATGGCTGGGCGCTCTTCATCCGTAAGTTTCCGCGGATTAGCCGTGGGATAGTGAATGCTGAGAACCCCGCAATTAGGAGTCCGCAGAGAAATCTGTTTAGCAAACAAACCTCAATGGCGTCAAGTACATTCTCCTTGGAAGTGGCAGAGAGGTGCCTCGATGAAGACGGCTTCTTTCGTCTAGATAACCCATCGATAGGCGAACATATATCAGATCTTGAACAGAAAGGCTTTCCCTGGGTCTCGAAATATGGACTAGACTTTTGCCGAAAATATGTCCTCGACGATAGAGTGAGTGCGGCAGGACCTCGATATGACAGCCATCTGACAGTTTTCTAGAATATTAAGGCCGTTGTCGAATCCATTCTTGGGGAATGCACGCTCGTACACTTGTTGAGATACGAAGCATACCCTGATCATATAGTGTCCTGGGCGGGCGGCTCAAATGTTGGTCGGCACTCTCTGCTGGTTCATCTACACCCTAAAGGAGCGCAAGTGGAATATTACAAAGGTTCGCACATACACGACCTGCCTAGGAAGAGGGGTGCTCGGTTTTTATGGGAAACCGAGCCGTCTGCCCTTTCTGAAGTGAACTGCATAGCTAAGGCAGAACCTTTCCCCGATGGCGGCATGTAAGTAATCGCTTCACTCTAACAGGCTCGTTCTGATATGTTCTTAGAGTCATTCTCGATGGTAGACTACGCTACGTCCTAGTGAAAGCGTACACTATTGCGGTCGAGTTTGTGAAGAGTGACAGTCTCGACAAAAAGTGGCCCAAAATTCCAGTCCCCCTCGAGCTAGAGCCGCAAGTCCTAAGCATGGAGAGTGAGAAGATTAGGGTGAATTATGAGCTTGTCGAAAAGCAAAGAAGCAATGTCGGGAAGCGAGGCAAGAGCGTTGAGGAACAAAGCAAGACATAACTATTAAGTCTAATAATGTGGAATCCCTGGTTCTAATCCGTGAGCTGTACCAAAGTTGATAATATTGTGAATTGGTGCGATGATGCTTAAACCACGCTCTTCCCCTGCCACTGTCGCGATGTCCGTAAAGCTCATAAGATCATGACCCAAGACGCGGAGGCCAAAGTCAGACTCTATTGTGTTGCCCGCAAAGTTTATAACTTCATGAACCGGAGCATTGGGGCGCAACTCATGCTCTGTCGCGATGCCCGTAAAGTTAACAGCTTCATGAACTGGGGCGCTGAGGTCGACATTGCGCTCTGCTCCTATAGCCGTAACGATTTCTGACGAGTTCTCTAGAAGAAGCGACTGGGTGCTCTGGGAAGCTAATGTACGGGGTATTATAGGAAGAATTAGCGCATCATCAATCTGGCAGACGAGCTGAGCTTTACAGGTGTAGAGGTATAGCGCGTCACATACCATTACTGGCCGTGGGATCAATCTCGGTCAGCTTGACCCTTTTTGGTGGCCTTCGATCCTCATCCTCCTCTTGCGTCTTATTCTTTCTCCCCTCTGCCTCAAACAGCTCCTTATCGACACGCTGTACAAGCTTTTCGCGTCTAGTTGACATGTAATAGGCCATCATACGATCCATCTGTGATGCATCGGGTATATGCCTTAAAAATGCGCTTGCCAACCTAAATCGTCCGCCACAGCATAGACATACTTCGTTACATTCGACATCTACATACACCTTATTAGAACTTAGGAAGGGCGATGGGCAGGTGGAACGGGAGTAGACTCACGCCATCGATAGTGTATCCGAACTTCCTTGAGCTTGGAAAACGCTTGGACTCGTTTGCAGCCGTTATAGGGACAATTTCTCACTTTAGTGCTCTGTTCATTGCCATCTTCAAATGCCGCTGAGTGAGCTCTGCAGCTTTCGAGCGCGCTAGGGACGCGCTAGCGATGGTTTTTTCGAGGTTCGTCTTTAAAGACTAGATAATATTAGTTTATTTTAAATGAAATATAAGTAGGCGGATTCTAACCTTATATTCGTCGAGATGATCGTTCAATGCGCTGAGTGATGGAAACAAAGCAGAACAAGCGCACTCTTGCCACTGACTCTCCATGTTCAAATTGCCGAGGAGTTGACCAGTAGTGGGGACTGCGGGAGACCATGGTGAATTTCGGATGACAAGTTGGTCCCGCTGCCGCTGAAGCGCAACCAATCAAAGTCGTAGGGTGCTGTGGACCGTAATTGGCGAAGCCCGTCGCTTCAGGACAGATAAATATCTCGGGCGTCAACGACGCCTTTTCCACTCACGCTCTACTTAACAGCTTTTTTTTTTAACGGCGAATGTTAGACAGTCATCGCTTTACACTTATTCCACTCCCGATCCTCTGCTTTTGCTAGGAACTAAAAGATGCTCGACCAAAACACCTGCGAAACTTGTGGTGATAAGGGCCTCCAAGTGGGCGAATGCCCCACCTGCGGAAAGAGTCGAGTAACCTAAGCGTACCAAAGCCGACCGTAAGTGTCAACAAATAATCGACCATCTAACCATTACTGAGCCTTCGCTAATAATGTGCAGCGGGGAGTACAGGACCATGTTATGGACATAATGCGTTTTGGGAGCTAGTTGCCTCGGGGTAGACTTGAGTAGAAGCCGCTGCAATTCAGGTCTTGGTGTCAATAAAGCTCCCTTTCAGTCTGACCCTTTTTGCCTACTTCGGCTTCCCGAGTCTATGTTGGGCATTGGAATTCCCCATAGCTAGAGGCGACAAGTGCAGTGTATCTAGGGTAGCCGTAATGGGAAGAGTGAGCCTTGTAGTTGTCGACGCGTTAAGGAGGTCACAAGAAGAGCTTGTTCAAGCTAATTGCCTTTGGGTACCGATGCTTTTGCCTGGAAAAGAAAATAGGGTCTAAAGCTAGGCTGGGATCACCCCGCTAAACTGCCATTCATGACCGCTTTTGCTCGGAAGTGAATGCAGGGCAGCGCCAAGGCTTGGTGGATGTAGGTACCGCTGGCTTTGCGGTCGGCGCAGCAGGCACGGCGCGTGACGGCCCACTCATCGTCAGTGAGACCATCAGGACGCTCGGTGATCCAAGCGGCGAGACACGGATCGCAAAAGCGGGCGGCTTGGTGTTAGGAAGGCGCGGGACGGGCTGCCAGGTCGCGGACATCGGCGGCGAGACGGGCGATATCGTCGAGGTCAAAAACGTCGGCGGGCCCGATGCAGTTTATGCACGGCAATCCCCTATCGATAAGACTGTCGATAAGAAAATAGTAAGGCTTTACTGACATGCAGAGCCGCGAAGCAACAACCAAGGGCACCAAACCACAACTGGTAGGAAACCTCCTTTCCGTCGTTCATGCCGCCTTTGCCTATCACATCTAAAAGAGCCGACCCAACAACGAAATCGCCCATCAACGAAATTGACCCACACCATGCACCACACCCGCCCCACGGGCGCAAATCATCCATTTCTACACAAAATAAGTAGCAAAAAAAATACTCAATCCTCTTCTTCGGCCTGTCTATATTGTTCAAGCCCACGGGCGATTATTTCCCGGGCTTCTTCGACTGCATGTGGCTGGCTTTCTGGCCGGGCCGTTTTTTTCCGCTTTGGGGGTATTTGACTAGCTTTTTGTGCCTTGGCGATGTCCTCTATACGTGCAAATCGCTCATTTCCATCTTCATATACCCTCTTACGCGTGCGAGGCTTTGAAGCCTCTAATTCGGTTGTGAGATGCGTAATTTGTGCCTTCAAAGACGCGATCTCTTGTATTCTTCAGATCCAGGGACCTCCCGACCTTAGTAAACAAAGCCCGCACACGCCGCTGAGCCGGACTGAGGGCATTCCGAATACTGCCTTGGTACTTCTTGATGTCCTGACTGCCGTGCGGTGTTTTGAAGAGCCTTTCATCGTCGTTCGGGGCCGTCGTCGGCGGTGTTGAAGGCCGGGTCGGGAGTGCCTCATTGTCCTTGACCGCCTCGGGGTCATCAAGTAAACAAGCCGGGTTGAAGGGCCAAATCCCGGTTTTCCTGAAGCCCGACATGATGTTACGGGCACTCATGCCTTTACCCGAGGCATCTCTGTAGCAGTAAAGGAACCGAACCTTGTTGACAGGAGCTGACGATGTGAAGCTCGCGAGGGCCTTGGTGTTTTGCCTGAAATAGTTCTTCAAAGGTGAAAAGACCGAGCGATCGAGAGGCTGAGACTTGTGCGATGTATGAGAAGGTAAATAGGCGAACCGGACCTTATTTTGGAAGGCCGTTAACATGAATTTTTCGTTCATATGGCTCGAATGTTCGTCAAGGATCAGTATACGCCATTCGCCCGGCCTTTGGGGCTTGGTTTGAATCAGGTAGACCTCCTTGAGCCATTTCAACGCAATACTGGCGTTGCTCCAGCCTGTAATTGAGTAATCGTACTTCCATTCCGGGAATTCCTTCGTCAGGTTGAAGTTATCAGGAAAGTGTTGTTCTTGAAGACTGGCCCCGGTAAATATGATCACGGGCTTCAAACGAACGCCCTCAGCAGTGCCGCATTCGATAACTGGAACCCAGGTTGTTGCATCAGAGCTTTTCACGTAGGTTCGGTTCGTCAGGGAGCTTCCTATGACCTTTCCGGCCCGGGTCTCGAGCTCCTGCATGCCGTGCTCATCCATGTTAGCGATGTTGACCGGGATGACCTTTTTATCCTTGATTTGGAAGGCCAGGCGTTTGAAGAAAGCTTCATAAGCCTCACGAGTAGATCCGCAGACTTGAGAGAATTCCAACAAGGTTGAATTCTTCATCTTTAGCGCCGGGTTGCGGCGTAGGAAGCGGTCCACATATCGCTCCCCAATGGTCTTTTTCGTGCTGGCCTCATTGAGTATAGCTTGAGCGAATCTCTGCACCTGACGACGGCTAGGAGCCCGGCCTGCAGCTTCCTCATTGAGGCACCAGTCGGCTAGGAAGCTTTCCTGCGCATTAGAGAGGTTTCTTTCAGCTTGTTTACTTTGTGCTCGATTTTCTGCCCCGTGGATGCGTTTGCAGAGGGTAGAAGGAGGGATCCCGAAGTCATGCGCGGCCTGCTTCTGCGATGCGCCCTGTTCAACTGCAAGTATTACAAATTGAATTAACTGCTCTCGACGGTTCGACTTGATGTATTTTGAAGCTATTCGGGCCTGAATTGATGAAGTTGTGTTGTGTTGAAGTTGAAGGGCGGGAAATTAGATGATAGGGGCGAGATTTCGTTGTGGGGCGATTTCTTTGTTGGGTCGCCACGTCTAGAGGCTCCTCCAATTACCAAATTCATTCTACAACACTAAATACTAGTCGAGTGCGCATAAAATAGACCGAACCTATCCGCATTAGCCGGCCGCTTCTACTTCGAACCTTTCTTGCCTCTTCCTCGTTTAGCTTCTATAACCTACCCCACCGACGTGCCAGCGAGCCACCGGCCGACCGAATACGAACTAGTCCGTCTTCTTCGCCACCATCGCCTGCTTCTCTGTTCTCGCTTGGCCCAGCCTGCCACCGCCTTCACCTCTCCATCCGATATCGCGCTTACCAGACACTCTATACGCCAACTCCCTCGGCATCAAGTTGCCACCTCCGGGGCGGGTTATGGCCGCTTTGCAGGAGGGTAACAATCTCGTGGTGACCGGCGTCGGCGCGGCGAGCTGCAGCGCGATAGCTACACATGGTCATTTGGACAGATTCCGCGCGGGCACGGCCGTTGCCGAGCAGCTTCTTGACCTTGGGCGCAGACACCCGCATTAGGCCCCGATAAGTCCGTGATGGTGAGGAAGAAACTAGGCTCGGGCAGCTTTGGGGTAGTCTAACACGTCTGGAATGTTAGCACCGACGAGCAGTACGCTCAAGCAGCCCAAGATGCAGACCAAACAACAGTTAGTGAGAGAGGGAGGTAGTCATCGGAACGAGTCAACCAGTCAGTTCTCCTGTGACCTGTCTCTTTTGTGAGTCGCTGACCACCTCACAGAAGCATATCGTCTCCTTGCCGTGGCCGTTGCTCGCGATGGCGGCACGTTTGGGGCTACTGCTAGAATATCGGGCCTGGCGGCACCGTCTCTCGCAAGACCCTTTGACTCCAACATCCACGCATGTCGCAGTGAACGGAATGTATAAGTGACGCAAGCCTTCCCCGGCCGAAGACCCTCATTGACGGTGTACAGGGCAAAAGGAGCCGAGCGGCAAAGCAGACCGGTAGTTGATGGGAACACTTCAAAAGCCACGGCAATGAAGGCGACGATGACACAACAACAGTGAAAACATGGGCGTAGCTGGTGCTGTAGAGAAGCAAGACCATACGCCGCTGTAGCCGCTGTCGTTGAGGGCGGGGTAGCACGTTACAGTCACTTGTCCCAGCAGGCCATCACCACACTTCTACTGACAGAAACCACACTGATGCCCCACCCAAGTACACCCTACCCCGCACTTGCTTCAGAGCCCACCTAGCTCTTAGAGCCATACGCCTACGAAAATGATCACAGGAAGACAGATTTGGAGATTTCACAATCTTATTAGGAATACTCTATCGCCCTCCAATTCTTCCGCGCCCAAATGGTGACAACGGTGGCGGTGAGGAGTTCGCAGTGTGTCGCGCGTCACACCGCGATGCAGCGCAACTTAAGCTGCCCCCAGAAACTTCAGCAAGCCAGAACCCAGGAGGGACGGTCGGGCAGAGATGACGAGGACGCCGCAAGCGGCACAATAAGACAGGAATCGCAGGCGCTGCGGGCGTTGCAATCGCATTTTCGGTCTAGCTGACTTTGATGAAGTAGTCCGCTTCCAGGCGCCACCAGCACTGGTCCAATCTTCAGAGTTGATGGTAGCCGGTCAATCTTTGCGCTCAGTGCTTGATGGCCGGTACGCCCGAAGCACGCCCACGCCAGTTACCCGCCGACCAGCACATCGCCCATCGACGACGCTCTAGCGCTTCCTCGGCCGCTGCCTGCCCACCTTCCTCATCCTCAGGACGGATCGTGGCCGATATTAATGGCCTACATGCCTTCCGAGCGAAACATCACCCGGGAGCAGAAGCTTAATGGCGGCGGCCAGGAGGTGGACTACTCCTCGTATATAGCTGGTTTTATACACCTACAATCCACCCCCCTACGCTCTCTCCCACAATATACCGCTGCCTGGCCATATTCCCTTTGCCCCGTCCGGAACGCCGATAGGTGATTGGAAGCTCAGGAGGCCGGGGTATTAGCAAATTTGTTGGACGGGAAGGTCAAACCAGAGGAGAAGCATGTGCCAAACATCGCCGCTGTCCCTCCTACCGGGGATGACGAGCCGCGGTGGGCGGATATACACTTCGCATCTCATTTGTGGCGGTTCTGAATAAGACGAGCAATGTTAAGGTAGCACCCACAGGTTTCTCTCCAAGTATCTTATCCACCGGTATACCGATCCCAGGAATATCCGTGATGTTGTACAGGAGAAGGGCTTTGTAAAGATCGACGACCCCAACCTCCAACTGGCGCAAGACTCCCTGGAAGTCGTTGCTGGCAGCGATGTTGTTCTCGCTCAATTAGCTTAATGCGCGATACCAATCCATTCTCGAGATAACGTAGGCGATGCTGGCAAGGTTGGATCTTGTCGCTTGTGCAGGTTCCGGAGAATCTGGGCGTTTGTTAACAGATCTAAGACAGCAGTGGGAGGACGATCCCTTACCTAGAGCTCAAGGCAAACAGCTGCCCATAGAAGTGCAGCCGGCGCAGCTTGTGGCACACTTTGGATAACTATGTCGACCATTGCCTTGGCGGACAGGATGAAATCGGCGACGTCGCCGACTCCAGTAGTTATCCTAGACGCCCCAGACATCTTCCCCTGACCCTATTAAACTAACCCTTCATGTGTTGTTGTCGCGTGTTTGGATCCTTCAGCTTGGCCAAGAGGTCGGCTGTGGCGGCGGTCTCGCCACCGAGAACTTTCTCCAGAGTTTTTACGTTTCATCCCCTTGCTGACGGCGGGCGTCCAACTGAGTGACCTCGTTGTCGTACACACCCACACATACACACACACATACATATATATATATTATATATATAGTGTGTGTGTGTATGAGCACGGTATCCAAACTCGACTCAAAGATACTGCCATGTCACTGCATCTAAACATGAGCCTCACAGGGGTGCAATGAAAGAAGCAAAGTAAACCATTCACGCCATTCGCCAAGCCCCAAGGTCGTTCCAAAAATAAAACGGTCGGGCATGCCTAGCTTCGACTATAGCTGTGCCAAGACCCCCAACCCCTAATCAGCTCTATAACAAGCTTGACGGGACCGACATGGTCCCGATCGGAGACATGACATTTATCCCCTCTCCCCCCCCCCCCTTCTAGTTTCTTTTGGTTCTGCGTCGCTCTTATCCCCATCCCCGGGGCCCGGGCCGCGGCGCCCCCTGCATTGGCACGTCTGCAGCCAGGGGGCTCCCGGGAAGAAACGGGAGCAGAAAAGAGGAGAAGCTGAGCGTGGTGCGTACAGACGACACGAACGGCTGGCCGGCGATGGCGTGACCGCGCGAGACAGATTAGGGGGCTTCTGGCCACTCACTGGCTGGGAGGAGCGGGCGTCGATTTTTGCCGAGAGGGGGCCCTCATTACTTCGGGAAATGCGATTGCATTCGGGGAGGGCTCGGGATGTTTTGTTGTTGGGGAAACTAGTTGGAGATGGATGTGGGCTGGGCGGAGAGTCGGCGGGCCGGCCTGTGTGCGGACAGAACCGCGAGGAGACGCTGACGTGCCGGGTAATTCAACCGCGCGCTAACCCCCCTGACGGGTCGGTAGTTAGATGTTTCCCCCGACCGCGCTCCAGCCCGCTGCCCGCCGCCCGCCGCCCGCCGCCCACCTTTCTCAGGGGCCATTTACCTTTTTCTTGTAATTATTGTATGGCGGGTGGGCGGGATGGGTGGGCAGCGCGGTGAGTTGTAAATGTGTATAATATCGGCCGCCCCCAGGCTGGAACCGTAGTCCTTTTCCCGTCTGTCTCCCTCTTTGCGGCAGCTCGATATCACCGCTCACAGCTTACATATAACACACACACATACACTCACACACACACATTCACTCACACACACACTTTCACTCACACTCACACACTCACACACACACACACACACACACACACACACACATAAACTAGACCGCAACCAGTAGACATACACAACATGGCGCCCTCACTCCACCCCCTTGTCGACAACGGCATCACAAAGGGCAGCGCGTCGTTCGCGGGCGGCAAGCTGCACTGCCTGTGCGCGAGCAAGCCGGTCGAGGTGACGCTGGGGGGCAACGTGCTGCACAACCACGCGTGCGGGTGCTCCAAGTGCTGGAAGCCGGCGGGCGCGCTGTTCTCGGTGGTGGCGGTGATCCCGCGCGACCAGCTGGCGGTGACGGCCAACGGCGGCAAGCTGTACGTGGTCGACAGCAGCGCGGCCATCCAGCGCAACGCGTGCAAGGAGTGCGGCACCCACCTGTTTGGCCGCATCGAGAAGGAGCACCCGTTCAAGGGCCTCGACTTCGTGCACGTCGAGCTGTCGGACGAGACCGGCTGGCAGGAGCCGCAGTTCGCCGCCTTCGTCTCGTCCATCATCGAGCAGGGGTTCGACCCCAAGGGCATCGCCGAGGTGCGCGACAAGTTCAAGAGCGTCGGCCTCGAGACCTACGACGCCCTCTCCCCGCCCCTGATGGACGCCATCGCCACGTGGACCGCCCAGAAGGCCGGCAAGCTGCCCGCGTGACGCCTACAGGAGAAGCTGTAAATCAGCTTATCCAGTTCGGCAAGGGCGTTATCGTATCTCTCGTATCAATCGGTCTGGGACGTGGGGGGCCAGCGCCCAGGGAATGGAAAATATAAACAACGAAGCCGATAGGGGACGAGTAATGATTCCAACACAATGAATATGATCTCATTCCCATGCTCTAGTTGGCCCGCAATAACACTCATTTGCAGGTGGATATTTGATGACGGCTGTCTGTGAACATGGCCCTAGGTTCAGGTCCGTGTCGATGCGGCTGTCTTGGCTTGGTTGAATCCAGGCCAGGCAAAGGCTTAGCATTCATTCATTGAACCCAATGCATGTGGGCGGACGGCTGTTGCTATCCTCCACCGGCCCAGCAGCAGAATTAATTGGTCAGAGCCACGAACCATGTCCTATTTCCTATGCATGAGAACCAATGGAGACAGACTGTCGACAAGCGAATCAGCAGCGAGACCCAGAGCCTCATGTTGCCTGCCCACTGCAACCACCAGGCCTTGCCACATGCAGATAATATTGGCCAGTGTGGCGCCCTCGACTGCAGACAGTTGCGGTGCTTGGACAAGGCTGCGTGCCAAACTGTCCAAATCAGACCACACCCTCGTCTGCAGCGGCCTCTGGAAACCCCGCCAGCTGAAAAGATATCATGCACAAGACAAGCTGCCAAGAGAATTCGGGACGCCACCATTCCCAGCCCATCGCAAGCGTGGTCAGTGCTGCTTTGGTCGGTCCTGCGCCCCCGGTGTGAGACTGCGCCCTGTTGAGGGCAGCCATATATATATATATATATCCATCGTCGCGGCCGTCGCCTCCTGCAGGCGCTGTTCCTGGCATAACAACTCCCGACGAAGCCTTCGCAAACCACATACGCGGCCATGCTCTTCCCCCAGCAATAGCACTTCGCATCCCATCCCGAGCCTCACGCCGCCGCCACGAGTATGACGCAGCTCACGGCGTGCCTATCAATGGCACTCGCGCAAGTATTGTTAACCACGGTCGCGCGCGCGCAGCTGGTTCCCAACTGGAGCGCGTACCCGATCGCGTCGCAGCAGTGCCTGGCGTACTACGAATTCTACAGCGGGTGCAGCCGGGCGAATGCGTACGCGCTCAACGCGTGCCTGTGCAGCAACGGCGGCGGGTGGGTGGTCAACGTGGCGCAGTGCGTCGAGGCCGGCGACGCGGCCAACCTCGACGTCGTCTACGGCACGCTCAAGGCCGCGTGCATTACCACCGGCACGCCCATCAGTTTCTCGCTGGCCGAGTGGCGGAATGCTGCTGGTGCGGCTAGCGATGCCGGCGATGCGCAGTCGTCCGCGCCGACTACGTTTTCGACTTCGATCGTGTCTTTGTCGACGAAGCCCGCTACGCCGGGGCAGACGCCGACGCCGACGCCGACTCCGGCTCCGCAGACCGACGGTGGAGGCGGTGGCAGTGGCGGGCTCAGTACGAGCGACAAGATTGCCGTGGGCATTGGCGTGCCCGTCGGCGTTTTCAGTATCATTGGTGCCATCGTGGCCTGGTACATGTGCTGCCATGCGCGATGAGCTGGCTTATAAACAAGTCGGGGGTATTGGTTGTCGCCATGATGTTCGGGTTATGGCCCGTCTCATTTTGAATGGTTGTTTAGGTTTGTGGGAATGAAGCGCTTGAGCGAGGAGTCTGGGGTATCGTTTCTTCCGAGATTCAATTAGATTGATTTGGGCGTTTGCCGTCAGAGAAGGGAGGGTGAAGGCTGGCTTGATGAATAATTACCGGGTACCTAAACAAGAGAAGAGATGGAATGACTTGAAAGAATCGATGATATAATTAGTAATAGTATAATGAAAAGGCAGGTGGACGAGTTCGCGCCTGTCACGTTGTATTATGCTGCACGAGTTCTCCTAGCGTGGTGGACTGTTTACCTAGAATATTCTGTAATATGTGCCTCCTTGGTAATTAACGATGCTGCGCAGTTGCCCGGCAGCATCTCGATCTACGGTATTCCGTATGCCGCAGATTAGAGAAGCGCAACCGTATGCCGCAGATTAGAGACGCGTAACCGTATGCCGCAGATTAGAGACGCGCAATCGTATTCCTTCGACCATTGCAACCCCTGCAGTCCGGCATTCCTGGGTGAGATTTTCTGTGTGCACTGTTAAATGGTTCAGGATCACATCACAGTGACGCCCCACCCCGTTGGCTGTTGGCTGTTGCTGTTGGCTCTGTTGCCCTTGTCGTCCTGGGCTTTCAGGGGTGGGGACACTCGGCCCGGGCGCACCCCCTTGTCTTTTCCGTGCCTTATCAGGCGTGTCCTGCCGCAATTCCCGACCGCCATCTCAACCTCAAGTCTCAACTTCATCCTGTCATCTCCAACGAGCGCGGCATCCCGTCGTCTTGTCACGTCTCGCCTCGCGCATCAACTGCACGGCACGGCACGGCACGGCAACACCATGGCTATGCTGGCGATAGACTCGGACACGTTCAGCGGGCGCCATGTCGCGTGGGCCGCCGGGCTGCTGCTGGCGACAGTCGTGGTGCACTTCCTGCACAGAGGCTACCAAGTCCGCAGCATGTACCGCACCCTCCAGAAGCAGGGATTCGTGAGTCCTCGTCTGTTCAGCGCATCAAGGACCGGACACTGACCCAATTGGAAGCCCGTGATGGAGCACTCGTGGGTGCTGGGCCATCTGGAGATTGTCGGCAAGCTGCTGCAGGATATGCCGTCCGACGCCCACGGAAACTACCTGCCCATGTTGATCCTCGAGAACTGGCGCACCCTGTTCCCAAACTGCACCCAGCGCCCGCCTGTCGTCTATCTCGACATGTGGCCATTCGCCCAGCCATTGCTTCTGCCCATGACGCTCCCCGTCGCCGTCCAGGTCACCCAGGAGCGCTCGCTGACCAAGGCACGCGAGCAAAAGGACATCCTGTATCCTCTCACCCGCAACCGCGACCTCTCGTCCATGGAGGGCGCCGAGTGGAGGCTCTGGCGCAAGCGCCTCAACCCGGGCTTCAGCATCCAGACCATCACCGGCCGCATCCCAGACCTCATGGACGAGGTCGAGAAGTTCTATGCCGCCCTCGAGTCGCACGCCGGGCCCAACTGGACCTGGGGCGCCGTTTTCCCGCTCGAGGCCGAGACCATCAAGCTCGCCCTATCCATCATCTTCCGGTTCTTCTTGTGAGTAGAGTGCGCCCGCGTGTCCACTTCTGTATGTCTCCTCGAATGCTCGTGACATGTGGCTGACACTCGCCATTCGCTGCAAATCAGCGGCCCGCGTGTCCAGGCACGGCTAGCCGGCAGACAGGCCGAGCTCGAGAATGCCGTCGTGGACAGCGTAAAGCGCATGGTGTTTTTCATACACATTGGCAATTTCCTCAGCTACTGGGGTCCGTGGCGGCGCTTCAAACTGTGGCGCAACTACCGGACCATGATGAGCGGATTTGGACCAGTCCTCGAGCGGCGCTTGACTGAGCTTACACGGCAGGGCGGCGACGAGAAGCGCACCGACACGCTCGTCGACGCCATCGTCGAGGGTTTTCAAGCCGACCGGGAAAACGGCGAGCCCAACACCTCCGACGACGACTTCATCGAGCTCGCCGTCGGCCAGATTGGCACCTTCATCTTTGCCGGCCACGACACGACGGCGAGCGCCATCTGCTGGGTGCTGCACCTCCTGACCCAACATCCCGACGTCCTCGCCCGCATGCGCGCCGAGCACGACGCCGTGCTGGGCCCCGACCCGGCCCAGGCAGCCGCCGCCATCCGGGCCGACCCGCACCTGATCAACACGCTGACGTACACCAACGCCGTCATCAAGGAGACGACGCGCGTAAACCCCAACGTCGGCACCATGCGGCGGGGCGAGCCGGGCTACTTCATCGCGGGCCCGCAGGGGTCGGGCTACGAGGGCATGCAGTTCCCCACCTACGGCTTCGTCGTTTGGAGCAACCCGTTCTCGTACCACCGGGATCCCGAGCTGTGGCCGCGCGTGCACGAGTTCCTGCCCGAGCGGTTTCTGGTCGCCGACAACGACCCGCTGCATCCGCAAAAGGACGCCTGGCGCTTCTTCGAGATGGGGCCGAGGAACTGCATCGGCCAGTACCTGGCCCTGACCGAGATCAAACTGGCCCTCGCCGTCATTGTGCGGCAGCTGGACATTGAGTGCGCCTGGGACGAGTGGGACCGCAAGACGTACGTGCCCGACCCTTGTCGTGATTTGACGTCCAAGAGACGTCCAATACTGACCTCCTGTGCAGGGGAAACAAGAAGGCACGCAGCGTCTGGCAGGATAGGGCCTATCACGTTGGGACCGATTCGCCGCCGCACGTCAAAGATGGAATGCCCGTCCACATTCGTCGCCGGCAGCCGAAGCAGTGATGCGAGGAGCAGAACCGCAAGCCGCCGAATCGTGTTGACCCTTTCCCATAAGCCGTCGAAAAGTTTCTGCAATTTTTTTGGATAATCAGACGTAATTATCACGTACCTAGTAGGCTAGGACCCGAACTGTTTAGAAGTTGGGGCTGGGAATGGGCTGGGAATGGGCCGCTGTAATATTGCTTGCTTCCAGGACGGGAGCCTGTGGTGGTGGCCTCGGATTCAAATTTCAGAGCGACCAAGCTCGGTACCGAATGGCAATGCCGCTTGTATGCTCGCAGCCGACATCCGTCCTCGTGCATGAACCCTAAAGCTGCTGCGGTCACCCCTGACCGGGCTGGCCCAGAAACAGATTTTGTTGCCAGACAAGACGTTGCCTACCTTGATGCTGTTGTCGACAGGCAATCACACGCTCGCACACGGCGCGGCCCAGCTTGAAGCGTCGTCGGCCACCATGTTCCCCTATGCCCCCTATCTGCTCCAATCTGTCGACTGGGCGGGCCCCGCAATCTGCGACTATTGCAAGCCGCTCTTGGGAGTGCAGGCGCGGGTCCATCGCATGATGGTCTTTTCTATTGAGGCCGTCTACCCGGACTGTAGGCAACGTCTTCTAGACTGTAGATACATTAAACGGGTACATTTGGCTATCGCGCCAAGCCACTAGCCCAGCCAAAAATGGATTTTCACACCTAAAAAGGCATAGTTCAATGGCTGGCTTGCTTTTCAGTCTACCCAGTAATACAGTGTGCGGCAAAAAGTTTGAATCCAAATTTTGTACCGCGTATACGGCTAGCGGCTTACATTGTACTTAGTGCTGGATTCAAACTTTTTGCCACTCGCTGTAGTACACTCAGATGAACTGCCCTACCCTCTGCGCCCTGCGCCCTACACGGGGACAGAGGACTGTGGATAACCTCACAGTCACGGCAGAGGCTCACCAGCCTGCTCGCGGTAGTCGAGGCGGTAGCAGGGCAACGCAGGGAGGTCCCAGCAGCCGGGGTGGCCGTGTTACCATGGCAAGCGGTTGACAAAAAAAGACGAACTCATTACTTTAAGGTACATCCCTGGAGGCCAGATTTACACATAAATCTAGGACATATAAATCTAGGTATCTCTATATAGTGGCTGTTACCACCCTGTCATAGGACCTTCGCCCTCTAACACATCTTGCATCCGCCTTACCATGGAATCTACGTCCTCATTGATTTTCGCTTGACTCAGTCGCCTCCATACTTCAACTGCCAGGCCCATAATATTCGCGTCAATTCGAAGATTGGCACGGATATACTGCTTTACAGCCCTCCAGCAATTCGAAGATTGGCGATAAATCTGGAGAGCCAGGGGTATTGAAGTAATGCTTCAATCCGTGGTCTTGCTTCCACTGCTTCACGATATTCCCACGCTTCGAATTTCCACCTCCATGCCCTGAATCTCCGTCTTCTTCCAGTACGAAAGCATCGCCACGGAGAAGCCGAGGACTAACAACCTTCTCCAGAATCTCGTCGCGATAGGTCTGTAAGCTCATCTTTCCATTGGTATTTGTTAGGACTTCGTAAAAATGCATCTCGGACTTCAAGTTCCATCCGACGGCCCCCCAGACGTGATATCTTCGGATTTCGGTTCCCACCGCTGGTTCAGGCTTATGGTGGTGAATATAATCTGGACAATAACGCTCCCCTGGCTTCCTGATAATCCGAATCTTTCCTTTGGAAAAGGGTCTAAAATGGTATTCCTCTGACTACCGGATATCGTACTAGTCCTCTGGACGAGGACGATACGATATTGAAGCGCGAGCTTGGCGGCTTGGATACGGCGGTTGGTACTTAATGGAGAAACAAATCCTTTTTCGTAAGCGATGCATTTTCGGTATTTTAAGGTCCCCATCGCTCGCTCAATCGTCCTTGCGGATGTGTGGATACCGGTCATTAGGCCTAGACCTTGCCAAGTTAAGATGCGCGCCTGGAAGCCATACTGCCAGATGACTTCCTCCATTCGATGTAGGTCCTCGGCCGAGATGATATGTTTCCGGCCCCGTGTTTCGTGATCTGGATGCCTCTGGTCTTCGGCATTGCGTAGGATCTCCCAGCCCTGGGTTTTACTGCGGATGCCGAACTCTTTGAAAAGATCAGTGTGGAAGTACTGGGCGTGGTGGTGGTCGAGGCATGCAGCTGTTCTAATGAGGTGCGCCTTCACTGGCGTTGGGTAATGCGGTGCCATGATGGCAGTGATGGTGGTGATGGACTGGCGGTGTGGTGCTAATAGTGGTGGTGTGAGTCGAATGCTATTGAATGTTGTAAAATTGGTAGTGTCTGCTGTCTGCTAGTGTAAAGCCACCCGCACAGACCAATCCATCTTTGCAGTTCGTGTTATTTTGCCAACCGCTTGCATGGCATCATCATCACGGGCTTCATTGGTGCGTAGGCTTCAACGCCCACGGCGCGCAGGGCTCGACGACATATGTGGCTAATTGGCTGATTGAGCCGAACTTGGTTGCGCTGGCTTCGTCCCTGGAATTAGCCTCTTTTTCGGTGCGAAAAGTGGGGTATTAGTGGCTTGGCGCCAGGGCGCAATGTACCTGCAGTCCAGAAGACGTTGCCTACAGTCCAAGTAGGTGGTCCCTCCACATTAGGCTTAGAGCCTAGGTAGGCAAAGCTGAAGAAGTTGCACGGACGAGTTACAGGTGTCAGAAATCAGCCCGTAATTAGCGGCCACCAGGTTTGAAGTGCTCAAAGTCAGGGAGGGCGAGACCTTCAAGGAACCTACGACTTCCCAAGAGGTCTCTAAATGTGTCGAGCAGCTTGGGCCGTCACAAGCCAAGCTTGAGCGTGCGCGGAAGCTCCTTGGCACACTGTGTGCTGATGTCACGGCCATGGTTGCAGCCGGCTCTTCGTCGCGGTGAGTAGACGGAAATGTCAGGAGGGGAACACGGCAGGCACGGATTGGATTAATTATCCTTGGGGCCTGCTTTCGCCAACAGAAGGAGCACTTGACCCGCAGTGAGCGAGCGTTCATATTCTCGCAAAGAATGACAGAACTAAACTTACCTTGGGTAATTTACCCCCCAGCATCAAGGTCAATCGCGCACGCATTGAATTACAAGGACCAGGCCCGCCAGGCCCGCCAGGCCCGCCGTCGCCGAACCAAACGAGTGGTGTGTCTCAAAGCCAAAAACGAAAGACAGAAGCCAGACAGCGAACCAAGGAAAAAAATAACAGACACCAGTCACCTCTTCAAACCTCGTCCCCTCTCCAACCCTCATCCACCCTCGTCGTCAGCCATCCACCCTCGTCGTCAGCTCAAAGCTCACAGAACATCCTCCTCCACCGGAGCGGCTCCGTTCCCATGTCCATTACCAACAAGCCTGCCCTTGACAGCCTTGGGCTTAGCAGCGACAGCCTTACCGCCATGGGCGCCAGCCTCGACGACATTGAGCAACTTGATGAAGACGTCCTGCAGCTCGCGGGCGAGCGGCCCGCCGCCAGCAGCGGGAGTCGCGTCGCCCTCCTCCTCGTCGGCATTGGCCTCGTCGTAGCCGAGCAGGGCGGCCTTCTCGGACCGCAGGCGCAGCAGCTTGTACTGCTTGGCCTGGAGCTGCGGGATCTCCTCGTACGTGCCGTTGTCGAGCTGCACGTACGTCTTGGAGTTGTACGGGCTGCCCGTGAAGTCGACCAGCTGCGTGACGCCAATCTCCTGCACGTTGATGATCTCGCCCGGCGAGTAGCTGCCCGTGGCGATGTAGTACTTGACCACCGGGAAGATGTTGTACGTGTCCGAGGGCGAGGCCAGGAAGGTGGCCATGGGCACCACACTGCCGGCCGTGCTCATGCCGCCGAGGCCAACGAAGGTGTTGTCTTTATGGGGTGTTAGTTTCTTTTTTTTTTCTGTTGGGGGCAGTTTTGAGGACTGTAAAAATGGGGCATGTGGGCTTTGGAGAGAGGGACCACTTACTGGGATTGGGAATTCTAAAGCTGGAATCCGTGGCAATGGTGTAGGCGCCGTTGGGTGCGGTTTTGGCCGGGGAAGGGAGGATGAAGTGGGCGCCATCGACAGTGGTAAACGAAAAGGTGGTGCCGGGAATTTGGTTGGTGCCGAGGACGGCCGACTCGTAGTCGCTCGTGCCGACCTGGACTCCGGCGGCTAGGCTCCGGATCGAGGTGCCGCAGATGGCGAAGAACTCGCGCGTGATGGTGAAGGTTGTCGAGCTGGACCGGTTGGGCTTGGAGACGATGGGCGGGGCCGTCATGAACACGTTAGTGAAAACCGAGCCCGTGACGCTGCTGACCTTGGGCACGACGGCGAAGAGCAGGTAGCTCTGCGTCTTGCCCGACGTGTTGATGACGGAGATGTTGTAGGTGGTGGACATTTTGGCGGTCGTGCTTGACTGTGGGTCTTTTGTGACAAAAAGCCGAAAGGGTAGGGTCGAGATAAGAGTCTAGATGACACTGAAAGAGCTTCGAGCGAGGTTGAGAAGCGGGAGGCTTTGGAGATGGGTTCAAGGGAGACTAGGTGTTTGTTCAAGATGGGTTGGCTTGTTGTTTTGGTGTCTGCTGAGGAGGGAGCCGTCTTTGAAGCGAGCGATAGGCGGCCTCCTTATATGCCTCAGCCACCGATCCAAGCTAGTAGATAGGAGACTTCCTTTTTTGGAAAGACCCTCTCCAGCTGTGAGCTTCAATTGCATCGCGGTCCAAGTTTAGTTTCCCAGTTTACTCCCACCGGCGCCGGCATTCCTCTGGGCTTGCTGATCCCTCAGAGTTCGACGGCCAACCATCGAAGACAAGACATCCATGTCACGCCCCCGAAGCGAAGCCGAAGCGACACTAGTGATCTCGCTGTCGACAAGTCATGCCATGGCGTCGGCATCTCGACGAATTGGGACGATAAGACTTATCTAGCATAGCCTAGATGCTCCATTGCGAGCTGAGACTCGGTTGCGGGGTTGCATCAGCATGCCTGATGGGGAAGTTGGCCATCCCGTCAACTTTCACCAGCTCTACAGCCGCAAAGCCGCAGCAAGCCGTAGGCAGCTTTATTCGTCCGCTCTGTGACGACGAGACCGCACGGCGAGGCTGCGCAGCCACCTCGGGATACGAGCCCAGTCGGTATGTGGTCGTGGCAGAGTTGAGTCGGGTGTCATTGGATGCCGCATGCGGTTGTGCCAGAGTTGAGTTGGGTGTCATTGGATGCTGTATGTGGTTGGGTGTTCGCCTGGTTGGACCATTCAGACGCGAGAGGTTTAGAATGCAGTCAGCCGGCATCATGCAGCATTATATCAATATAGGGCTGGCTGAAAGTTGACTCTAGCGTAGCCATCTGATAGAATGGAGCCATGGTCGCTTCATTTCTTCAAAAAGTGCAACCCACAACCCAAAAGGTTCCCTCGAGGGTAACGCTACCGAGTGTAGAGAGTAGCCACAGGGCCTTGGCCGCTCTGTCGTCGGCTTCGTGCGGCTTCGTATTCGAGATGATATTCCCAGGCCGGAAAAAGATCTACGCGAAGGATCGCTCGTGGCTTGCTGAACTCAACGACGGCATGTCTGGTCGGCGAAGGTCTTGAAAAGGGGATATCGTGAGCGCTTGCGTCTGGTTGTTGACGATGGTATTGGTGTGCCCACTTCATGGCGGCGGCTCAAACCTGCAACTCCTCGTCAACAACCAGGTCAAGGCAATCAGGTCAGGGCAATTAGGTCGGGGCAATTAGGTCAGGGCAATTAGGTCAGGGCAATTAGGTCAAGGATCCGCCGAGAAAGCATAAAAAGTCGACTGTCTGGCACACAAGACAGGCAGAAACAATCAAACAGAAACCAAAGTCCCATCATCGCCTTACCCACTACTCTACTCTCCTGGAAGATACCACAGCGCAACAATGGCCGCCCTTGCGATTGCAGTCCAGGTCATCACAGCCGGACCATACGATCCGGTCAATGGCCCATGCCTGTTCACAACCAACTCGTCCGGCTTCAGAATCGTGCCGCTGGCTCCAGGTGGCAGTGTGCAAATCTGGCAGGCGACGAATCCCACCCCTCCAGACCCGGTGGTGACCCCTGATGGGACAGCTTTGCCTGTCACTATTCGTCTACCTCCCCGCTACACGAACATGTGGCGGCTACCACTGACTGTGACCTTTCTCCTCACCAGGACCATCCCGCCCACCCGGAACGACAACCAAGGCGTCGTCTACGGCAACCTGGCCAACTCGGATGGACAGCTCGTCCCTGTCCTGAAAGGGGACCCGTTCGACATCACCGCTACGCCGAACGCGCCGCAGTATGCCACGTTGTCCGGATTCCGCTTTGTCAGTGAGCAGACATTCATAAACCCCAACAGAATGGACTACGAGTTCGCTGTCCCCTTCCGCGCCAGCGGACCCTGGGTCTGGACAATCAGTGATGCAACGGATGGTACGTGTACTGCCCGCGTGTCTCGTCCCCTCATGCATGTTTTATTCTCAGTTTCTGTCGGTCACTGACACGACGTCCCACGACAGCTACCTCTCCCCCCATTCCGGCGGCTCTGCCAACTCAGATGGAGCTCAGCTTTGTGGCCTGGCCTGCAAAGAACGGACAAGATGACGGGATTGATGTCGTGTATCCCCAAAGCCCGCTCTTGCCGTCGTATGCCGACTTCCAGGGCTCCTACCCTGTCCCTGTCCAACGGTGGTCGTATCCTGGCATCCTGGAACTGGCCCTAGACAGGACGCGGAACGACCTCAAAATTTTCTACATCCAGAGGTTGGCCAATTACGTCTGGCGTTATGGCCAGGCCGACGGCGGCAGGTTCCAGAGCCGGTTCTTCACCAGCGGCCACCACATGGGTCCCTTTGGTGGAGTATTCAACCTCGGCCCGTGGATCAGACCTCCCCCGAACCACTACGTCAACGACTACGACCTCGCCGCCGTCGTACAGCTGGGCTGCGCCGTGGCCATAGGCATCACAGGCAACGAGATCTTTAACTCGCGCTGGGTTGTGCAGTATCCATGCGGCTACATCGTGCCGGGACAGCTGTTTGGACAGAAAACAATCTCGCTAAGGTGTAACAACCCATATTGGAACAGTATGTGAACCGTATTCCCCTTACCTTGGGTACTGCTGATGCTGACTTGGTCCAGTGCCCAATTGGGATTCCAATGCAAACGTTGGAGATCCTTACAATACTTTACGCACGGGTTTCATTGTCCACACCTGGATCGAGGTCCAACTTGACTTGGGCTTCGGAAATGCTTATCATGTCGTCGACCTTACCCACGCCCTTCCCGGCCCGTTCGCGCCCGAGCCGGAGGTTGGCACCAAGAAGAGACAGGCCTATCTGGCAGCCCACAAAGACGATGAATACCCACCTTACGGGCAGGAATTCCTACAACCCTTTCAGCACCTCGGCAGGGTGAAGGGGAATGCAGTGGACTGGGAATTTGGCCGTTACACGGGCGATTGCTGTAAGTTTTCAATCTCACACCATTGATCCCCCTGAATTTCAACCCGCCCCACGGGATTCCGAAAACCTTCTCTGACAGAGCTCTCCTTTGCCAGACGAGAGCCCAAACGTTCGAACAGAACGCATCGGCGTCCTTGGTACCAGCTTTGACACTCCACCCTACCCGCTCCCGCCAATCTTCGCCACTGGCGTGCCAGAAATTGACGGATACTTCCCCGACATGAGTCTCGCCATCGGCGCGGGCCGGGTCGACCCCGGGCTCAAAGAGGCCAAGCTGCTGCCGTTCCCTCTAGAGCGGTACAACAACGCCTCTCTGACCCCCGAGACCATCCTCGGCCTGCTCTCCGAGCCGTCAACCAACCATTCGGCGCATCTGCTCTATCACGACATGCGGCCGGCAACCGACCGCACGTCGCTGGAGCTGATCTTTGCTCTGCGCAGCGGCGACGACGACGAACAAGACAAAGTCCCTCAGTTGACCCTCGAGCTGACAGTCCACTCGAGCGCCGGCGTCGCGCGCGACAGCGCCGAGTCCCTCGTGGCTCTCCTGTACCGCGCTGCAGCCGCCGCCACCACCACCCAGGACGACGACGATAACGCTGCTGCACCGCCCAAGTCTTCTCCATCGCGCCAGACAAAGACCAAGACGCGGCAGCTGGGCGACCTCCCGCAGCCCCAATCCCAACAAGCCGACGCCGGCATCGTCCGCTTCGTCCGCGGCAACGTGTCGGTTAGCCTGCGGTCCGACAATCCCGACGCTTCTTATCCTGCTGTCGACGTGTTTGGCCTCGCGCGGCGGCTCGACAAGCACATCGCCTCGGCGCTGGTCGCTGACGACGTTTCCGTCCGTCGCGGCGGCGTGGACCTTGTTGCTGCTGTAGCAGAGGACGGTGAGCAGTTCAAGGGGAAGACGGGGGCGCTGTTGCCTCTTTGCGTCAAGAGGGGCGCGACCTTCACGCTGCGGACCAAGGCTCCGGTTGATGGAGGAGGAGCCGCGGATTGGTATCATGGTAATGGAATTGGTGATGATGTTGCGGCGCGGAACGGAATTAATGGCGAGAACGTTTTCGGCGAGCAAGGAGGAGAGCTAGGCTCCAACCGCGTCGTGGTGAACGTGTCGGATCCGACGGCAGTGGTCTGCACTTCCAGCGTCGAGGAGCAGGAGGATGGGAAGTTGGTGTTTGCCGCCTACAAGGTTGGCGCGGTTGGGATTACCCTTCTTCGGCCGCACCCCGAGACGCTGATGCCGGGAATTCGGAGGCTTGTTGTTGACGTTGTGGAGGAGTAACTAGGGGCGCCAAGTCTGGGTCTATCTATCTTTATTGGTGCGATTCTCCTCGCGCTCCCATAGTTCATGTGTTTGATGACTTCTCGAAATAATTACCGGTAGCCCTTTTATCTCCACAATGACTGAGGTTTCTGCCACTACGAGTCGATTTAACTCAATTTTGGCCTTCACCCAGTAACGTGATACATAGCGAGTTGCTATATATAGCGTGTCAAAAGGGGCTCGGCATAGGTATCTAACCTCTAAGGAGTCGTCCCGCCAGTCCCAACGGCAACCTACCTTAGGTAAGGGATCTGTAAGGGACCTGCTCGCGGGTTTTCTTTAGATGTAATCATACAAAACCAGGTTTTCTTTAGACGTAATCATACAAGACCAGCTTCCCCGGCTTCGGCTTGACCCTCCAATCCGCCGCCTCGCCGTCTTTCTCGACAAAGCTCCGTAGTAGCGATTCGTAATTAATTGCGACACGTGTACACGCCCGTCATATCCGACACCATGTACCCGTACGGGAGGGGGCTCATGTCCGAGATGCACGACTGCCAGCCACGTCTCGGTAAGGTAACTGCAGTCCTTTGCTACCAGCAGCTACATTACGTACCTGTAATGAATAAACCTCTCTTCGGCTAATGGAAGTTGCGGTCCCCCTCGTCGTCAGTTCGGCCCAGAAGATGGCTCCTTCCAATCTAGGACGAACAGTCCAATATCACCTGAGATTGGTGGTGCGTACATGCCCTACCTACTGAACCTGGAAGCTATGAAAAGACGCCAAAGTTTCCGTTCACAAGAAAGGAAGAAGCATTCTTACCCAAATATTCCGGAAGAAACCCTCATTCTCTCAACAGGTGCAATTGCTCAAGCCCCAGCAGCTCTTTTCCGAGAAAGTCTTTTTCTTCGGGAGACACAAGCCATGACGCATTCTCCCACACAATCTTCTTGAGCTCCTCCCTCGTTTTCGCGCCTCCCAGCTGAGAGGCTGCGATAGTCTAGGAAAGGTAGGTATTGCAATGCAAGCCTTCGGCTTCTTGCTCTGTTGCCTCTCCGAGGTGAATGAGAACTCTCGCTTTGCCCTCGAGTATATGTCTGGCATGGCCTGTACCTGGCATGAGCTGTACCTGGTGGCCCTGCTCCGTCTTATCGGTCTAGTTTATGGACACGGCATCGATCCAGACTACCCTGACTCTTAACTCTAGGCGGACCGGCTTCGGTGCCGCCTCGCAGTTTGTCGTCATCTTCAGGGTGAAACCCCCGAGGTAGATTTCGCGGTCCTTGGCGGCGGCGTTGCCGGACTCGTCCGCCCACGTGTACGAGATTGCCTTGTAGTCTAGCTGGTCTTGGGTCCTCTAGTGGATGAGACTGCAGCAGACACTCTCGCCGTACTGGTCTGGTCTTGGCGACCTGACCAATAACAGACGAAACTCCGTTTCCAGCCTCAGGTCGGTCGGTGTACGTCCACGGCGTTCCAAGTGTGGCTTGATCGCCGTCCGTGAAGCCACAGGTCAGGCACGTCAGAGCGCCAGCGGAGAGGTGGAAAGCTCGCTGGGTGCAGAAGGGGTCCAGGCACGTGCTTCCAACATCGTCGTACTCCTATTCCCTATTCCCAAGCTTCCATGGAGCTTTCATCCCACGCCTGACTTTCATCTGAACTATCGCACGGATCGTCTTCGGACCCCATTGCCTTCGGACGAGAGCACGCACTAGGTTATAATCAGTTTGCAGTACCGGGTATCTAACGGATGACGGCCTGTAGTGTAATAGGCAAGAGCTGCAAGTACGTTCTGGAGCCAAGTTTTCGAGGTCTACCCAGTTAAAACACACTCGAGTCGCTTGATTTAAGCCCGCACTTTGGCTGACTGTTTCGGCTTCAGCTGGAAGGCTCTCGACCAGCACCCGGGCGGCAGGGTCCTGAGGGTTGGGTCTCATCACCCCAACTGAGGGGATAACTAGGGTAACCTCTGCGGGGCACCTATAGCTGGGAGAGAGCTGGACGGAGGCAAGCTGTTATCCGGCTTGTTTTTCGTCCTTTTATTCCCTTTCTCAGTATTTCTTTTCGTCCTCACCACACCACATCCATCATCACCAAGGCGGACAGACAAGACAAATTGTACAACGTACGTACCTAATATACTCGTTCAATCTAATTATGCGATAAATAATTAGATGACTCTCGGGGTATATAAGCGGTAGTTACGACGAGAATAAAAAGGGATGACGACAGCATGGAAAATGGCGCTGACGATGATGGTGGTGATAAATGGCAAGATACTTGGAACGAGGCTCGGATTCTAGACGCGGGGCTCTTAAGGACGGACCCCGACTGCATGGCGGACTAGACAGCAGTCTGCTCCGAGCTCCGCCGCACACAGACGGGCAACTCCGTGAGGGTGGTGGCTTAGATGCTCTATTTCCCGCACCTTCCACACCTCTCAACCCGGCCCAGTTGCGTTGCTTCAAACCCGTGATACTTTGATGGGTCGGTTTAAGGTTATATCAAGGTTCAAACCCGTTGGACCAACCTGAGTTACCCGTCAAATCCATGCCAAAAGCCGTTTCAAGGTTAGATAAGGTAGGGCGTTGGGTTCAACACTCCCTAGCCCAACCTAAAACTCTTTAATTACCTCCCCCCCCGGGATATTTAATGGCTCCTCTATAAATGGGAAATCTTATCTCGACTGACGTCTATGTGCTTCATGTCACAAGCCTCTTACTACCATGTTCGCGTGTCGTTCGGGCCCGCTGACACTTTGGCTGCCTTGTAGACAAATAGACTCCAGCAAAGGGCGTTTCTAAGAAGGCTCGTCGTTTAAATAGGCTCCCCTGCCTCACGGGATATTAACTAGTTCAGGTATATTTGCCGAGGTGATATGTACCCACGGCTTGGCGGTCTCAATCGGGCGCTGACCCGCCGCGGCCGCAACGTCGCTCTCAACTACCGCCAAAAAAGGAGGCCGCTTGAGAAAGTCGTCCCCGATTCTAGTTAGCAGACAACATGGCAGAGAGGCGCGGCGTATAAGGTGGGCATCATCGCGACACGAGTCCTGCAACAGGGGAGAGGATATTTGCGCGGCCGTCGGGCAACGCCATGCCGGACAATGCTTCGCCTGTGGATACCGATGCGCTTGAGGACGGCAGCCCCGCTCCTCGTCTGCCACAAGCTCGCTCGGCGTGCCCAGCGTGTCTGGGATCTCGACTACACGAGCTATAGCAGCTTTGGGGCACATCTCAGCCCGGACCCAAAAAGACGCGGTACGACGCCTCCCAGGTACCGGCTGGTCGAGTTCGACAACGTCATGGGCGCGGCTGCTGGCGGCTGCGTGTTCTGCTCCGTCCTCGGCCGCGCCAGGGCTTCTTCTGGGACGACAGCCCGGACCTGTACAGCTCGTACAAAGCCTCCACCGAGGATGGCCGGCGGTCGAGGCGTGCGCTCTGCCTCGTGCAGCAGCCTGGGTGCAGCCTGCTCCTGTTCAGGACGCTGGTCTACGAAGACGTACCCGACCTCTCGTTCATCCACGGGCTGACTATCCGCGACCCGACGGCCCGGATCGAGTCTATCATCTGCCTAGGCATCTATTTACTTTACGCGATGCCGTGGGCGGCTGTGGGGTTGGATGGACAGTGCTGATATCAATGTAGGGGCACGAGCACTGAGCGCAAAAGTGCGTCCCACACCATTGGCCCTGCAAGACATGTTCCTGCGGTCATCGCCCTTGAACAGGTGGCCGAGCTCGCTTCGGCGTGGATGCGGCGCTGCGGCGCCTCGCACCAAAAGTACTCCGCCGGCCCGTCGAGACTGCCGAGGCGGTGGGTCATCGACGTGCAGGGCGGCGTCAGGCTCGTGGACACGGCGGCCGACGAGGACGTGTCGGCTACAGCGCCGTACATGACGCCGAGCCACTGCTGGGGCAACCCCAAGACGGCGTCGCTGCTGCTGCGGACGACGCACGGCACGCTCGCGCAGCACCGGGAGCAGATCCAGTGGGAGCAGCTGCCGCGGCTGTTCCGGGACGTGGTCAACCTGGTCCGGGCGCTCGGCTGCCGCTACGTGTGGATCGACTCGCTGTGCATCGTCCAGGACGACGGCGAGGACGGGGTCGAGGAGTCGGCCAACATGTCCGAGATCTACAACAAGGCTGACCCGAACATCGCCGCGACGTCGATGCGCAGCGTGCCAGCCGGGCTCTTCCAGCACAGGACCCACGGGCAGGGGTTTCGCCGCCTCCGCAAGTCGGCAGACAGGGGGGGCGGCGGCGGTGGTGGCGGTGCAGACTACTCGGCGGTTCCGTCGCTGGAGTCGATCGAGGCCGGGGAGGTGGACGGGCGGGCCGTCTTCGCGCGCACCTCGCACGACCGGAGCCACGAGGTGCTGTACGGCGACCTCGACTTCTTCCGCACGCCCATGGAGCCGCTGCTGGGAAGGGCGTGGGTGTTTTAGGAGATACTGCTCTCGCGGCGCACGCTGCACTTTGGCGCGTTTGAGGTGCTGTGGGAGTGCAGGACGGGCTGCTTCTGCGAGTGCATGCGCATCACCAACGCGCACGGCCTCAGCGTCAGGGACATCAACTCGACCCAGGTAGCTCTGGGCTGGAGACTGGTGGGAGTGTCACAGGGGGCGCCGACGCCGTCGCCAGGTTTGTGCAGACCAAAAAGGTTCTGTTCTCTGACGTCTGCGAGGGCCCGGGAGACTCCCGGGCGCCCTTCGACTTTTGGCTCCGCGCTTGTCAGGAATTCTCGTTCCTGTTCCTGAGCCGCGAGACGGGCCGGCCGTTCGCGCTCGCGGGCATCGCCAAGCGCATCCAGATGCCGACGGGGGACAGGTATCTCGCGGGGCTGTGGGCGCGGGACCTACCGCGAGCGATGCTGTGGGCGCCGTAGCCGAGTAGGAGAGTCGTGCGCCCTGGCGGCGGCGTGCCTACGTGGTCGTGGATGTCGCACACCTGCCACCCGCTCGAGTACGCGTCGATGTGCGCCATCAAGTACAAGTTACAAGCACGTCGCGAAGCACGAGTTCCAGGCCGACCGCCGGCTGGCGATTGACGACGCGGGCACATTCTGCAACTAGGAGCAAGGGAACCCCTTCGGAAGGCCGCTGGGCGGCGGCCAGATCAAGCTGTCGGCGGCGAGCTGCTGGGCTCGACAAGCAGTCGTGGAACGGGCGCAACACGCTTCAGCTCTCAATAGACTCGACGGCGGCACTGCCGTCGCGCAGATCCCGTTCGCCGCTGATTGCCCGGAGAGGACCCGCAGGCGGTCTGCCTGCTGCAACGCGTTCTGTGTGTCTTGTTCGGCGGCCGCAAGGCTGAGCCGGGAGAGGTCGCGCCACAGTACTTCCTGCCCTTGCGCCCGTGTCCGTGGAGGACGGCATCTACCAGCGTATTGGCTTCTGCGAGACGGACGGCCGGGTCGAGCTGTTTGATGCGCCGAGGTGCGTGTGGTGCGTATCGTCTAGCTCGGAGCGGAGGCATCTCGGAGGAGGGGACCTAGGCTTCCACTGTTATTTGACCAGTAATTTATTTCCAGGTTGCTTTCTGTACTCCTCACTGGCGGCAACGGACGGATTTGATGGGCGGTTGATCGCGGCTCCACCGAGAGTGGTCCGGCTCGGGTGGTTTCCTGGGCAGTCAATCAAGAACCGAAAAAGTGCTGTCCTATTTCGGGAACGGGTAGCTAGGTTGGAGAACAGCTTAGCTCAGACTCAGTCATGGATGGATACGCGGGAGGCATCCGCTCGGGCTCGGCGATGGGGCGCAGCTTGTAGTTATCTTGGTCGAGCAGCGCGTTGTTGAAGGTGAAACAGCGCGTCCCACTGGTGCCAGGCGGTGGATTTTAGCTTTGTTTCTGTTTCTGGCGCCGCCCTCTGGCGATCGGGACGTGGCTCGTGCCCGACTGCCTGCCGCTGTTTGGACATGGCAGGGGTTGTGGTGTGGCGGCTAACGGCCACACGGGAGACCCGCTTCTGTCAGGCGGCTGCAGCGTCTGAGAGCGCCACATCCAATCACCCCCACGTCGCCGTTGCTTCTCGAGACGACGCTACGTTTGGAGCCGGAGCCGAGATGCCAACAGCAAATCGCCTGGGTCTTGGCATTGCGACACCGTTCGCTTTCGTTCTCTGAGAAGTTCCTGCTGATTTGGGCAATCGACGGCTTTCAGAGCACACCCAGTCACTCGCGGCAAGAGTCTGGTAGCTGGCGGCTGGTAGCTGGCGGCTGGCAGCTGGCAGCTCGCCCTGTCTTGGCGTTGTGGGGCAGATGGCCGTTCATTTTGCGGGGTCTCAGACGTCTTCTGATTGGGTGCTGACCAAAATCTGGACCGGGACTTTGGGCGCCTGGTAATTTCACTTCACCTCACTTCACCCTCACCTCGTCCTCCGCTGGCCTTCGCGTCAAACAGCAAACGCTAACCTTTGGTTTCGCTCTTAGCCACGAGACGTTTCGCATGCTTCAGATTCTTGTCTGTCGATATTGCGGTTGTTACCAGTCGCAGAGCTGCACGCTTCGGATGATGTGTCTGTCGGTAGTCGTTCTTTAGCGACGCGTGCGAAACACAGCTTGGGCCTTCCGTCGTTGACCTGTCGCCTCCATGTCGCTGCCTTGTCCGAATCCCCTCGCATGCCATACAGTGAGAGCAGTACAAGTATACGGATAGCGAAAGAAGAATGAGAAATTGTAATTTTACACCGCTCCAGACCTTTCTCAGGGTGTCATTCTGTCTCCGCGGTTGTGCTTGGCAGCAATCGTCACCGTTTTCCCTGTGCTGACCGGACAACATGAGCAAACCATCGAGGTTTGGTGACTCCAGGCGCCCCAGCCCCGCTACGAGACATGGGAGTTCATTACACTGATGTCGAATGAAGCTTGCCTCGCCATTTTGGCCTTCGTCAGGCGAGACCAAGTCGGGTCGCCTGACACAAGCCCAGACAAAGAAACGACTGGCTGAGAGGCGCCCGGCGCTTACAACACGCAGCGCCTAGGAGCCTCGACAAAGCCATGCCAGAACAATCCCCTTCAATTTGGCGGCCAGACAAAGAAAGACTGCTTCTAATTGCGGTTTCTCACACGCTGCCGAGCGCGCCCGTGCTCCGTTCGCTTGTCGCTCTTATTGTGCGACACCACCGCCACCCTATTGTCCTAATGTTCCCTTCCTATTGTTCTTTCACCTCGTCACCTCTACAACCCGTCACCTCTACACCCCGTCACCTCTCTCTCTCATCTCATTGTTGCCGCACATAGAGTCATGCATTCTTAGACGTCGCACGTTAATACTTTTCTCGAGCTAGGCTCTTTTCCTAAACGTTTCTTCGTTTCCTTTCTTCTCATTTTCTGCTCGCTCTGCTATCTAGCTGGTCTAGAACTCTCGACCTTTTAATTTCCAACAATAATCGCTCGAGCTCCGAAGCCTGCTGAGCAGCTTCCTCATCTTCATAATACCTACCAACCGTCTTGGCCGGCTAAGACTTCTCGCATCCGTCGTCATGGACGACAACTACATGCGCGACTACAAGGGGGCGCAGCCCTCGCAGCCCTCGCAGCTCAACACCAACGCCTGGGAGATGGTCGACATCGACGGCCCGTCCGAGAAGACGGAGCAGGGGCTCCCACCCCCGCCCTACCCGGACACCGACCCCGCCGTTACACCCTACCTTGGCCTCCGAGCGAGGCTGTCGCAAGTGTGGTTTAATCGGTGGACTGTCCTGCTGGTGCTGGTTCTGATCCGCATGCTGATCCTCACCGGGGGCCTCAACGACAATCTGGACAACGCCAAGGCCCAGTCCTTGGCCGCTTGTTCCAAGGTTGAGGATATTGGTAGCGCTGTGGCGTCGATGCCGCACTACCTGTCGGTCGGCGTCAACAACCTCGCGGCCTCTGGCGTGAACCATGCCGTCTCGGCCATGGCACAGGTCATCATGATGATCCTGACGGGCGTCCAAGAGCTGATTTTCTTCATCATCAACATGTACGTGGGGACGTATGTTTGCCTGGCTAGCGCCCTGATCCACGGCAGCCTCGAACTGGCAACGGCAGTGGTTCAAGAGGCCACCGACGTCATGAACAGTGCGATCTCGTCCATCACAAACGGCATCACCAAGGATATCGCATCCGTCCAGGACGTCATCAACAGCGCCTCGAGTGGAATCTCTGGCGTGGCCGGCTTTTTCGGCTCAAATATCAGTCCGCCCAAAATTGACATTACTTCACATCTCAACGACCTGAAAAATATCCACATCGACGGTACCAAAGCCGTGGAGGGAATCACGAGCCTCAACAAGACAATTCCCAACTTTGACCAGGCCGAGAACATCACCAAGAACGCCATTGGGATCCCCTTCAACCTGGTAAAGCAGATGGTCAACGCGTCTTTCTCCAGCTACCAATTCGATAGGACCGTTTTTCCGGTTGCAGAGAAGAAAGCCCTCTCCTTCTGCTCCGACAACTCCTTTCTCAACGACTTCTTCAACACCCTGTTTGAGCTCGTCAACAAGGCAAAGATAGCCTTCTTCGTCGCGATTCCGATCTTGGCCATCCTGGCCATGGTCGCCATGGGCGCGATCGAGGTTCGGCGGTGGCGCAGAGAGAGGAAGCGTGCAAAGTTCTTCGTCGAGCACGGCTACGACCCCATGGATATCATCTATAGCGCCTCGAGGCCCTTCACCGCCACCTTGGGCATCAAGCTCAGCTCTAGGCTGCAGGGCAGGAAAAAGCTCTGGGCTCGCTGGGCCATGGCGTACGCGACGTCTCTGCCCGCCCTCTTCGTTCTCTCTCTGGCCCTGGCCGGGCTCCTGTCGTGCTTCTGCCAGTGGATCGTGCTGCGGCTGATCGAGAAGGAGGCCCCCGCGCTGGCCAGCCAGGTTGGCGACTTTGCCGGCGACGTCGTGAACACGCTGCAGGACGTATCGACGGACTGGGCTGTCGACGCCAACCGCGTCATGGTCAAGACGCAGGACGACATCAACGACGACCTGTTCGGCTGGGTCCTGAACGCGACCACGGCTGTCAACAACACGCTGAACGCCTTCGACGACGAGATCAGCAAGGGCATCACGACAATCTTCAGCGGCACGCCCCTGGAGCAGCCCGCACGCGACATTGTCAACTGCCTGATCACTAGGAAGGTCGAAACCGTCCAGAAGGGCCTCACGTGGGTGCACGACAATGCGCACATCACGCTCCCCCTGTTCCAGAACGACACGTTTTCGCAGGGCGCCAATGATAGTGTCAATGGCGACAGCGACTTGAAGAGTTTTCTTGCGACACCGGCGACAGTCACTACGGATGAACTTAGTGGGGCCGTGGACAAAGTCGTTGTCGCTCTCCGGAACGGCATCGTCCAAGAACTGCTTATTTCGCTGGGTCTCCTCCTCGTATACGTCATTATCGTCCTCTCGGGCGTCATCCGGTCCCTGTGCGGCATGATGGGCCCCGAGAAGACGCGGGCCGAGGGCGGCCAGCGGTATGGCGAGGACATGGGCCAGGAGGCGAACCCCTATCCGAACCCCCATCTCGGAGACTCCCACCCCGAAAACCCGTTCCGCGAAGGCGCGTACCCCGATCCCAGCTCGTACCCCGAGGCGAACCCCTACGAAGAGGACGTGGTGTACACGGGCACCGTGCCACAGGGCAAGGCAGGGCTCGGCAGGTATCCGTCACACGCCCGGAAGAGCAGCTACCCCGACGAGCAGGGACATGCCTTTTAGGCGGGGCGGCTCGGCCGGCTGCCCGAATGCATTCTTTCCTTTCGACATGGTCTACTGCATTTTATCGGACTGAAACTAGATGCGGCTCGCAAAGAGAGGCAGGGGGAGTGCATGTATGCGATAGACTGATCTGAACGATTCAGATCTCGGGCATAGCTGGGTAGGCGTTTTTGTTGTGGTTTTTTTTCTTTTTTTCCGATGCATTAATATCCCATCAAGGTACGTAGCTTGATGGCAATGACTCAGTACCGTGCTGCTTTTCTTTACCATTTTTATCGACTCGCCGTGCGGACATGGCAACGGTCTACGCGTGTGGATTTTGTTACCCGAGAGGGATTTTGTTACCCGAGAGGGTGAGGTCAGGGCCTAATCCCACAAGTGCATCATGGACGGCGTTTTTAGTTAGGCGACTACAAAAATAAACAAACATGCTCTGGCTTGTTAATTCTCCCGTTACCGTCGTGCTCGGAGTGGTGAGCAAGCAAAGTGAGGTGATGCTCTTCCGTAGGATTGTGGGCCTTGGCCGCCGAGGACCGCGTTTGGGTCATCCTGAGCGGACAAGGGCTAAAATAAAGCGCCCGTCGGGGCGTGGCGGGGTGGCAACAGTGCGGGCCGCAGGGGTTGTTGGTGGCGTGGCGGGGTCCCTGGGATTGGAAAAATCGGTGACTCAGGTCCACGGGAAGGTGCCTACCTTACTTGAACAACTGTCCTCCAATGTCTTTGCTCCTTCACCGTCTTTTTTCCAGTCTTGTCTCTCAACTTGCTGTGCTGCTCTGAAAACAACCAATCGACCCAATTGACCCAATTGATCCAATTGACTTGCCCGCACCACCATGGAGGGCCTCAAGCAGACTTTCCGGCGCTGCAAAGAGCAGAACCGCGTATGCCACTGCCCCGCTCTGTCCCTCCTCACCATCCCGATCCCGGACCACCCATGGCCGCCTTGAAAGAAGGAGGCGTTTCCAGCCATTGAACTCGTACTGACTGCCGCGACGCAGGCTGCTCTCGTCACCTATGTCACGGCCGGGTTCCCCAACCCCCAGGCCACTCCCGATGTCCTCCTGGCCATGGAGAAGGGTGGAGCAGGTAAGACGCCCAGGCATCCCCCGTCTGGCGGTGACGCATTCTAACCGTGGCATCTCCATCTCGCAGACATCATCGAGCTCGGCGTTCCCTTCACCGATCCCATTGCCGACGGACCGACGATCCAGGCCTCCAACACGGTAAGCCAAGTCCAGACCAACCGCCAACCGTGCCAACCTGCTGACTCGGCCTTGCATAGATTGCCCTCCAACATGGAGTCACGATCGAGTCGACGCTGCAGATGGTGCGCGATTCCCGCAAGCGCGGCCTGCGCGCCCCCATCCTGCTCATGGGCTACTACAACCCGCTGCTAAGCTACGGCGAGGACCGCCTGCTGCGCGACTGCAACGACGCCGGCGTCAACGGCTTCATCGTCGTCGACCTGCCGCCCGAGGAGGCCATCTCGTTCCGCAAGATGTGCACGCGCGGAGGGTACGCTGCCGAATTCTATCTCTGATACCGGCGTCTTACGCCTAGCTAACTGGCTGTGTAGGCTATCCTACGTGCCGCTCATCGCGCCGGCCACTTCGGACAAGCGCATGCGCCTCCTCTGCAAGCTCGCCGACTCGTTCATCTACGTCGTGTCGCGCCAGGGCGTGACGGGCGCCACGGGTACCCTCAATGCCAACCTGCCGGAGCTGCTGAGCCGCGTCAAGTCGTACAGCGGGGACATGCCCGCCGTTGTCGGGTTCGGCGTGAGCACCCGTGAGCACTTTGTGTCGGTCGCTCAGATTGCCGACGGCGTTGTCGTCGGCAGCATGATTGTCACGACGCTGCAGAAGGCCGCCAAGGGCGAAGAGGCCAAGTCCGTGCAGGAGTTTTGCTCGTACCTGTGCGGGCGCACCAGCACCGCTGAGGAAGAGGCCACGCGCGAGGTCGGCATTGTCGAGGCCATCTCGGGGGCCCGGCAGAACGGCGACGTGTCGGTGGACGACGTCGTCACCGAGGAGACGGAAGACTTTGTCGCCCAGCTGGCGGCGCTCCACGGCAAGATCCCGGACCGCTTCGGCGAGTTTGGCGGCCAGTACGTGCCCGAGTCGCTGATGGACTGCCTGTCGGAGCTGGAGGAGGGCTTCAACAAGATCAAGGACGACCCGGCCTTTTGGGAGGAATACCGCTCGCACTACCCCTGGATGGGGCGGCCCGGCCACCTGCACAAGGCCGAGCGGCTGACGGAGTATGCCGGCGGCGCGAACATCTGGCTCAAGCGGGAGGACCTCAACCACACGGGATCGCACAAGATCAACAACGCCGTCGGCCAGCTGCTCCTGGCCCGGCGCCTCGGAAAGACCAAGATCATTGCCGAGACGGGCGCCGGCCAGCACGGCGTCGCCACGGCCACCGTGTGCGCCAAATTCGGCATGGAATGCACCGTCTACATGGGCGCCGAGGACGTGCGCCGCCAGGCGCTTAACGTGTTCCGCATGAAGCTGCTGGGTGCCAAGGTGATTGCGGTCGAGGCGGGCAGCCGCACGCTCCGCGACGCCGTCAACGAGGCTCTCCGCGCCTGGGTGGTGAACCTTGAGGACACGCACTACATCATCGGGTCGGCCATCGGGCCTCACCCGTTCCCCACCATTGTGCGCACGTTCCAGTCGGTCATTGGCAACGAGACCAAGGCGCAGATGCTCGAGCAGCGCGGGAAGCTGCCCGATGCTGTTGTCGCCTGCGTGGGCGGCGGCAGCAACGCGGTGGGCATGTTCTACCCGTTCAGCAACGACCCGAGCGTCAAGCTGCTGGGCGTGGAGGCGGGTGGCGAGGGCATCGACACGCCGCGCCACAGCGCCACGCTGACGGCGGGCACCAAGGGCGTGCTGCACGGCGTGCGCACCTACATCCTGCAGAACGAGCACGGCCAGATCGACGACACGCACTCGGTGTCGGCCGGCCTCGACTACCCGGGCGTGGGCCCGGAGCTGTCGCAGTGGAAGGACTCGGAGCGCGCCAAGTTCGTGGCGGCCACGGACGCCGACGCCTTTATCGGCTTCCGCCTGATGAGCCAGCTCGAAGGCATCATCCCGGCGCTCGAGTCGGCCCACGGCATCTACGGGGCCATCGAACTGGCCAAGACCATGACTAAGGACCAGGACATTGTCATTTGCGTCAGCGGCCGCGGCGACAAGGACGTGCAGAGCGTGGCCGACGAGCTGCCGACCCTGGGCCCCAAGATTGGCTGGGATCTGCGCTTCTGAGAGAGGAGTGAGCGAGGTGAGCGAGGTGGGCGAGGTGGGCGAGTTGGTGGTGACGCCGCGAGGTTGAAGACTACATTATTACATTCGTCGATATGACCGTTTAAACCCGACTCTATTTCAGCCACAGATATGATGGCCTCAAATATAGAGCAATACAGACCTGTTCCAGGCAACTCGGTTTACCAGTTTTTGCGAGATTTCTGTGAATGCTGTAGCTACTTGTGGTCCTCCGATGCATGATAACCGATACTACGATGCACCATAACTGAGAATGGTCGGCTTGTTTTTATGCCAATTGAACTTGTACTGGTTGGGCTTTAAGCGTCACCGCTGAATCCAAATGATATGCTCGACACAAAGGGCGGGTCTGTCAAACCAGTTCTCAGCGATTCCATGAGCTACTTGAATACACGGTTATAATACATTTGTAGCCGCCATGACACCAATCCTACTCGGGGCGCAGCGACTGTGACTTGTCCGCCGGCTCCTCGTGCATGAACCCGTTGCCCGCCGGGACCTCGGCCTCGGCCTCGGCCAGCAGCTCCTGATCCTCGACAATTGCGAACTCCTCGCCAATTGCGAACTCCTCGCCGTTCGCGAGCATCGCGTCCGTCTCCTCCAGCAGCTGCTCGGCCGCCGCCTTCTTGTCCACCATCTCCAACTCCGCTAATGCAGACGCTGGCAGGCCGCGAGCGGGCAACCCCAGCGCCAGGCGCTGGTCCTCGTACTGCTGCGCGATGCGCGGGCTCTGCATCAGGCGCCACCGCAGGCGCCAGCCGTAGGGCCCCAGCTCCTTGAGCCGCGCCGCCTTGATGCCCAGCAGGTACGCGTCGAGCCCGCCGACCTTGTCGACGGTCCGCAGCACGCGCGTCGTCGTGCGCACCCGCACCATCTGGCCCAGCCCGCTGCTGAACAGCGAGTGCCGCTGCACGTTGACGCGCCAGTCGCGCCGCGTCTTGACCCCGTGCTTTTCAGACACGTTGTTGCCGAACTGGATCCGCTGCCCGCCGTACAAGCCTGCGTTGCTCTGCCGGTAGACTGCGTTCGGCCCGTACGGGTATGGTGGGATGGTGAGTTCGGCGGCGGTGGCTGATGGGAGAGGCAGGGTGGAGCCGTACACTTTTTGCTTGCGCCAGCCCTTGTTGTTGCGTCCGTCGCCGTACCGCCGGAGGGCAGCGCTTGTGGTGCTGAAGAGTGCGCGGCCAGCGCTGGCACCCGGTGCTGTGGTGGTGCTTGTGGTGAGGGCGGATGATCGCAGGCAGGGCCCGAGGGAGAGAAGTGACGACGCCATTGTGTGACGGGCGGCTGCTGCGCTGCTGCTGCTGCTGCTGGGGGGCGCGAAGGGAACGGCCGCGCCGGGACGGCGATGATTTGAGTTGGATTCTATAGTATGGGCGTGTAGTTCGGCCGAGGCGTGCTTTTGGGAGCAATTGGCGCTCGGTGATCGTCGGCAGTGAGGTTAATTCGTGCCTCTCGCTGAGAGCGTCCGTCGGAGAGCTTGCTTGCAGTTGAGTTTGGGAGCTCCAAAATTTCGAGACTCGCATCCTAGCGAGAGCCAGGCGCTGACACCTGCCGAGGGCCGACAGTGGGAACCGCCGCCGCAGGGTTGGAGAAACCAGAGTCACATGACCTCGCGGGGTTATTGTGCCCGCAGCCCCTGTTTTCAGGGCGCCAGGGTGCTACAGGGCGCGCTGCTCGACACGACACGACGACGCTCGTCGCCGACGACATCCTCACGTTCCTCAATGATTACCCGGCGCCGCCATGCTGCCCCCTGTTGACGATGCTGTGCTACAGAGCAACCCGAATTTCGCGGCCCTCTATAGTACCCTGACGACGGTCGTGCTGAACCCCGACGGGTCGAGCAAGAATGACGCTGCCGCAAAGGAGAGCGCCACCGTGAAAGAGGTACATACAGTACATGCACAAGTTGGGCTGAGACACGGGAGTGCGAATTGACTTGACTGACTTTGCTTCTGCCAGGAGCTCAAGCGACACCGACTACAGGCTGCCAAGCAGCACCTCCTCGCCCACGCCATCGCAACCACCACGCCAACACCGCCCGAAGCACGCCCTGCCCTCCCGGTCCCCGCGCTCAGTCGGCGCGCGAAATCACAACCGCCAGCGGCCACCCGCCAAGATCGCAACGCTGCAGACCTCCCAGCGCCCCTCCTCGACCTGCTCCTCCTCCTGCCACCGCTACTAGCCACACCACCTCCGTCCCTCCCGCCCGAGTCAGTCTCCCTGCTGCTGACCAGCCCGCCGCTGAGCGACTTCCCTTCACTCCTCCCACAGCTAGCCGCGCTGGTATCCAGCACCCTCCACACCTCGGCCGTGCACCTGGCGCGCATCGTCAGCCCGACGACGAACCCGTCGTTCGTGCACCGGACGATCCCAGCGCTGCCCAGCCACGCGACATCGCTCGCACAGGCCGCAGCTGAGCGCACGGCAGCCGTTACGCGCGCGCGCCTGGCGGCCGCCACGGCGCTGACGGCGCTGCTCCACAAGCAGGCGGACGTGCTGGCGCAGCTGGTGCGCGCGCTCGAGGCCAAGCACGGGCCCGTGGCGCGGTCGCTCGAGTTCCGCGCCGGCGAGGCGGCGCTGGTGGCGCAGCGGCAGGCCGCCGACGCCGAGACGGCGCTGTGGACCGCCCGGCGCGACACGTACTCGCCCGACGCAGCGCGCGCGCTGGCCAACTACGCAGCGCACCTGCGCGACGCCAGGACGCGGCTCGCCGAGGCCGTCCGCTCGCGGCAGGGCGAGCTCGAGGAGTATGGTGTGGAGGGCGGGGATGAGGCCGGGCCTAGGCCGGGCAAGGAGCGCACCATGCGCGAGATGGCGCGCGTGTATCGCGAGATGGGCAAACAGGCGGACGATGTAAGAGGGGACTTGGAGAGGTTGGGGAGGGCGTGAGATTTTGCACGCCGCCGCAATTCGGGTTTGCTAAGCCGGCTATGTCCGGCTGGCTGCCGGTGGATGACGAAATGACTGCGGGTAATGTTTCATGACCACGAGATGAACAAGCAGAGGGCAATGGCATTCAGATTCACATTCACATTCACGCATGCAAAGAGCAGGGACAGAGAAACTGCTCGGGACAATCTGCACTCTTTTCTCTACCCCCCCTCCCCATACGTACGTACATACATGCTGTAAAAGTCTAGAACAACTCTCTTTTTTTGTACAATGCTGCAAAATGAACAGCCACGTGGTGGGCGCTGTGCGAGTGATAGAGTTTCCTTGTTCCGCGACGGGGCTTGGAGTAAATGCAAAATTGCCTCCCACATGCATGCAAACAAATCCCTCACATCACTTAACTACACCCCGACAGAGTTAGCAATTAGCCCTTCACCTTGAAGATGGCCTCGGCCAGGCGGCCGACGTTGGCGCTGGTGATGCCGGCGACCGAGATGCGGCCGTCGCGCGTGGCGTAGACGCTGTGCTCCTTGGCCAGCACGTCCATCTGCTCGGGCGTCAGGCCCGTGTAGGCGAACATGCCGATCTGACTCGTGATGTGGCTCCAGTCGTGCTTGGACCCGAGCTTCTCGAGGTTGTCCTTGAGCAGGGCGCGCATGGTGATAATCCGGTCGGCCATGTCCTTGACCTCGACCAGCCACTGGTCGTAGAGCGCCGGCGTGTTGAGGATCTCGGCGGCGATGCGCGCGCCGTGGATCGGCGGGTTCGAGTACATGGGCCTGACCAGGATCTTGATCTGCGAGTCTACGCGCGCGCGCTCGGCCGCGTCGGCGCACACGACCGAGAAGGCGCCGATGCGCTCGCCGTACAAGCCCATGTTCTTGGCGAACGACTGCGCCAGGCACACGTTGTGGCCCTGCGCGACAAAGTGCCGCAGCGCGAACGCGTCCTTGTGGATGTCGCCGCTGGCGAACCCCTGGTACGCCATGTCGAAGAAGGAGTAGTGGCCCTGCGCCTTGACGGCCGCCTCGATCTCCTTCCACTGCGCGGGCGTCGGGTCGACGCCCGTGGGGTTGTGGGCGCAGGCGTGGAACAGGAACGCGCTGCCGGCGGGCGCCGCCTTGATGTCGGCCAGCAGGCCGTCAAAGTCGAGGCCGATGGTCTGCTTGTTGTAGTAGGCGTACTTGCGCACCTCGAGCCCCGAGTCCTTGAAGACGGCCGCGTGGTTGGCCCACGACGGCTCGGGGATGTAGATGGTCTTGGCGCCGGGGAAGAAGCGCGCCAGGAACGCGCCGCCGATGCGCAGCGCCCCCGTGCCCGAGATGGACTGCGTGATGGCCAGCCGGTTGAGGGCCGAGCTGTCCTTGCCGTAGGCGAGCACCGCCGCCGCCTTGGTGAACTCGGGCACGCCCGTGATGCCCGCGTACTCCTTGTTGAGCCGCGACGCGATCACCTGGTCCTCGGCCTTGCGCACCGACGGCAGCACGTACGGCTTGCCCTGGTCATCGCGGTAGGCGCCCACTCCTGTAAAGGTCGGTTAGTTGTGGCTCCGGGAGCGGCGACGAGGAAGGGGGGGAGGTGGCATTAGACGGACCGAGGTTGATCTTCTGGGCGAAGGAATCGGCCTTGAAGGCTTCCGTGATGCCTGCAAGCCCATTGTCAGTGTGAGGACGGCGGGGGGTGCTCGGCGTGCGTTGGCCGCGTACCAAGAATAGCCTGACGGCGAGGCAACGGCGTGGTGCTACAGTCAGCAAACGGGCAGTCGGGCATGGAGAGCCGTTAGAGTCGGGCGGCAGCACGTACATCCTGCGCAGGTTAGTCAATTGCACCCGTCGATGGCTTGTTCGTCGCGGCAGGGCATGGGACAATGACATACCGGTGGACCCTGGGGCACGTTGGCCCATGTGGAAGCTGCGCGCACGGCTGCAAGGTTGCGGCCAGCGGCGACGCCACGCGAGGCAATTCTGAGCGAGGAAAGCATTGTCGGTCTGTGGATCGGCAGACGCAGACGCAGACGTAGACGCAGACGTGGGAATTGAAGAGGAAGGACTGCACGAAACCAGACGTCGGGTTCTGGGAGAGAAGTACGCGGTCGGCAGGCACGTTTTGGTCGGTGGGCAGCGGCGGGGAGATGGCGCTCAGGATCAGGCCAGATTATGAGAGCAAAAGTGGAACTCTGAAGCTTTTGCGCCAAATATTGACTTTGCTCAGCTGTCACGGCTTGCATCCACGGGGAAGCGCGGGGGGCCGGGGTGCGCGCCTTGCCCGATATGGGTTGGTGGAGTCTGGCAGAAAAAGACTCAGCGTGCTGCTGCAGCTGGGCCCGATCTCGGGACGGTCGAGGGAGCGACCCCTGCTTAAGCAACCAATTCAGACAGGCTAAGCGGGATGCATCTAGTGGCTGTCAGAGGTTATTTGCAACTAGACGGTGATTTACAGCAAAAGGGGTCTCACTTCTGCACGGCCTGCATCCCGACACAGATGCCTACCGACGAAAGGCGTAGTTCGCCAGTCTGCATTGGGAGTGCCAGAGGGCGGGCAACGCCCGCTGATGATTGGCCACGCGCACCATCAGCGACCGGCGCCCAGTCACTTGTTGGCTTGCTTGGGTTGGGGGCAGGCACGCCTTGTCCGTGTCTGCCGCTGTTTGCATATAATTACCACGTATCCGTACCTAGGTCTGCAAACCAAGGACTGCTGCTCCCTAAATCTTCTCTTCTCTTGATGTCTACACCCTGCGACCATTTCCCACGCCAGCTCTTCTTTGAAAGTAACTTCGTCCCTGAACTGAACTGTCATACAAACATTGACCATGTCGGCCGAATCTGCTTCAACCGCCACCTCGCCGCTGGTAGAATACTTCCCGGCCACCGTTATAAAACAGACCAACTTTCGCGTCGACTCGGACACGCCGTGCCGGTTCTTGTTCACCTTCCCCATCGAGCTCCCGTCGCTTCTGCGCCCCGAGCTCCCGCCGCTGCCCTACTACCCTCCCGACCACCGCGTCGACGATGCCCCGTTCCAAAGACAGCTCTTCGCGGCGCTGCGTCCGGCAGTGGCAGGCGCCCTGTACGAGCTCCTCGGCACCGACGCGCCCGTGTCCGAGCTGGTCCCGCGCCCGGGCCGCATCACGGCCGGGTGGCTGAAGCAGAAGCTCGAGAGCAACGAGATCTGCGGCGACGGATCCCTGCTCGACCTGGCCACCGGGCACTGGACGGACCAGCGCGGCGTCAGCGGCGACGAGGTCAAGGCATATCTCGACTGGGGCCCGGGCGTGGGCTTCTCCGTCGTCCACGGCTTCGTGCTCAGAGTCGACCAGAAGGTGCTCGACAACGACACGGACCCCGCCGTCGTCCGCATCCGCGCCATGGCCACGCTACACAAGGGCCAGGTCGCCTTCCTGGCCCGCAAGTGCCACCCGGCGCAGCAGGGCGATATCAACCGCGAGATCAGGAGGCACGAGGGACCGTGAGAGACTGCTATTTCCCGGTGTTTGGTACACAGTACGTATTTGCTGAAAGCTCAGATGAGGACTAGGTATCTATCTAGGTAGCCAGCTACGAGTATACTTGAATTATACGCTACTCTCCCAGGTCCAAAAACCCGCTCACCTCATTGACGCCCGCTTTTGTTCAAAACGTGTCTGTCGAGACAGCGCCGGCGCTGCCCCCATTGATCTGTTATCCTAGCGAGAAAAGAGAAAAGAGAAGAGAGAAGAGAGAAGAGAGAAGAGAGAAGAGAGAAGAGAGAAGAGAGAAGAGAGAAGAGAGAAGAGAGAAGAGAGAAGAGAGAAGAGAGAAGAGAGAAGAGAGAAGAGAGAAGAGAGAAGAGAGTGTCATCCCCGCAAAAGCCGGCAAAGAAAGGCCCACTCTCTTGTCTGACTACAACCCCATCAATTATCTCGTCGCAGTGGCCAGCCATGCTGCGACTTGCTTCTTTTTGATTTTGCCGTGACCGTTGTCGTCGCCGCCATGCTTGTCAAGGTCGGAAAACCCCCCGTTCTATCTGGCCGTCTCCTTCTACTTCTTCTCCTTCTCCTTCTTCTCCTTCTCCTTCTTCTCCTTCTCCTTCTTCTCCTTCTCCTTCTTCTCCTTCTCCTTCTTCTCCTTCTCCTTCTTCTCCTTCTCCTTCTTCTCCTTCTCCTCCTTCTCCTTGGCCTTTTTGCAATCGTCGCAGACTTTGTCTACGATTACGATATTGGGCTTGTGCTTATGGTTGCTCGGGTAATCATATTTGCATTCTCCAATAACAAAGTTTTTATATATATCGCATGAATATTCGGACTTTGTGGGGGTTTCCTTGTGGTTGCAGTTAAAGTGTTTTTGCTCGAATGTGCACATGATGCCGGGCTGTTGCTTTTTCTTTCTTCTACAAGGTAGGTGCGCTGGACGAGTGAAGCTGTGGAGGCCGATAAGAGGAGATGAACAAGGACTGTGTCGCTGGGTTCTAGTAGGAGGCGATGGCGCACTGGGTTGTAGGAGGAGGTGATGGTGGTGATGTTAGGATGGATGGACATGTCGAGTCGGAGAGGCGACGTCTTTATACAGGTTCTGATGGCCGTGATCTGAGCTCCAAAGTCCGGTGGCGTTCACGACTGAAGTCGCCGCTGTGCTCTGGCCTCGGCTGAAACGCGATGGCGTAGCTGAACATGTTGCCGCTGTCTTGCTGACATGCTGGTCAGCGCCATGCATGGAGTGGTGAGCGGAGCAGTTGGTGTGCGAGAATGGGCCAACGCCCAACGGCCAAGGCAAGACAACTGACAAGGTCCAGGCCTGGATCTAGCTTGATACCAGTCAGTTGGGTTTGAAATAGGTACAGCGAAGTTGCACCTGTATCCTCAACAGCCAGTAATTATCTCGGTTGGTTTGGCTGCCGTCAGCACTCGGCCGCCAGACTTGGGGTGGGCGGTCTTTGCCGGTCACCATAGAGGCACTTGAAACTGATCCTCGGGAAGAAATCTGAAAAGTGAGGGATGACGACGGCCAATTACTGTTCAGCCGATGGTTATGGGGCACATATGGTGGCGTCAGTTACCCATTTCCACTCTCGTCCGTAACTAAGAATCTAAGATAATGAGGTACCAACACATGGCCATGTGCGTGTACGTCACCGTTTGAAATAAGAATAAGATACGGGGGCGGCTCAATTATGTATAATTAACTTCCCAAGTACCTAAAATTCTTTGTTTCTTGCCCTTCCCTTTTCGAACCTCGCTTTAATTATCAGACATAGCCTTCGACTCAGCTGTGGTCCTGGGCCACAAGGTTGAAACCATGAAATAGAAAGCGGGGCTGCGTACGGATACTTATTGCCCGTTTTCAGAATGCGCAGGTGCACAAGCTAGGACAGGGGTAAAAGAGGGGGGGGGCGGTTGGCGATTGCTGGCGAATGAGAGACGAACAGTTAATCCAATCCTGGCGGGAAACCGCCACGGCGCAAGTGCCAAAAACAAATCAGCCCGGGCCGGGGTGGTCCCCGGATCCGCGGAACCACCATGCAATCGGGATACATGGCGCAGGCGCCGAACACCTCAACAACCAACTCCTGTCATGTTCAGACGGCTCTGCCTCTCAAGATCGATCTCCGAACCCCAACTCGCGGATTCTCATTCAATACGTCCAGCACCGACAACTGTACAAAGCGGCCCCGGCAAGATGAAAAAGTATTGTACTTCGTAGACAGAGGACAATTATATTCTGGGAATTATCATGGCGCTAATTCATGGCTCTCAGCAGTGACCACGCTGTTTACCATCATAAGCAAGAATAATGCACAATTGAGGGCATTCACAGCCTAATTAGCATCTGTCATCAGACTAATTATTATGTAGGTGCTGTACAGTAATTATCTAGGTAATCATGCCCGGTTTGTTGGAAAACGCGCGCCTGCGGCGGGTGGGCGGCCAACAGTCACATTGCCCCGTAATCACATCCATGGCCCAAGCCGAGCGGATGTCTCCCGCGTATCCATCCATGGGCCATGCATAGCCTGTGGCACGTGGCCAGGCCGAGAGTGTTACGGAGGTACCCGTTCCCGAAATAGACGCGCCCAAGCACCCCCGTCGCAGACTACCAACTATTGCAGTTAGTTTCAAGCCTCTTTCTTTCGCCTGCTCTTCTCCGCCATTTGTCTCTGTCTGAAGAGGCCGTCGGTGCTTGGGTAAGGCACGGAGTGGGCAGGTATCCACGCAACGCTATCCGGCCTTGCTTGCTTATTGTGGCAATTCTCCCTCGCCCCCAAACTTAACCCCGTTTCCGCCCCCTCCCATGCCTCGCCTAGGCTGCCACCGGCGTTCATACCGTGTCCACTCATCCAATTCAAATTCAACTTATACACGCAATCCAGGAAATTACAACGTGTAGTTGGCTAACTTGAGTCTTTTGGACCCACCGGCTTCGTGGGATCTGATCCCGCATTTTGTGGGACAACAAGGCCTCTGAGCTAAAAAGTGTTGTGCATTAGTTGAACCTGAACTGAATGAGTGGATACGGTATGCATAGGTCGGTTACGTATCCGTATGTACAGTACCTAATCACCCTGGGCACAGTACCATGCACCCTCGGCACCAACACCACTTGCAAATTCAGTCACCTAGGCCCAGGGAAGCCACCTAAGGTACCTAGTTCCCCCCCTTTTTTCACCACTTCTCTTCAACCCTTCTTTCTTCTTTCTTGACTGATATTATATTTGCCAGGATTTGACACTCTGGAAGCCACTCTCAGCCCACTGTACCTCACCTCACCCATCCGACACCGTCATGCACAACCTTGTCACAAAAGGTGGTAAAAAGGCATATATTGTTTGTTGAAGAAGAAAGGGCGCAGTGCCGTGCTTCCTAGCATGTACCTAAGCCCTAGGCTGTTGTTGGCGACACGCTGGTTGTTGGTGTAGATCACAACGCCTTGTGTAAACACGCCAGTCAAAGTGGCCTAGCGCACTCGACACACCCCCGGAGATACCTAACAACCCACGCATCCTCCTCACATATTCCCGGATCCGCGCGATGCGGTGGGTACATCAAACGAATATGAGCGGGACCGGCGCGCAGCCCGACGAGTTCAAGCTCGGAGCAGCCATGTACACGTCCATCCCACACAAGAACACACCACCAGCCGTCGGACGCGCCGCCGCCGACGATGGCGACGTGGCCGGTCTGCGAGGGGGCGGCGCTGATGGTTGTGGTGGTGCTGGCCGAGGCTGTCTTGGCGGTCGTCGTAGTGGTGTTTGTTGTGGCGGTCGTCGTAGTGGTGTTGGTTGTGTCCGCCGTGGTTGCGACTGACGACACGGCGGACGTGATGGTAGCGCTGGAAGTGGTGGCGTTGGTAAGGGCTGTCGTGGTGACGGCGCAAGCGGCTGATTCGGAGATATTTGCCACCCAATATTTCCTCTTTTGGACTATTCGCGGCATCAACATGGTGTGCATCAAATATTGAACATGTGTGAGTCAACTAAGGATTCTAAAAGTTGAGGTTCTTGGCCTAGAACTAAATAGAACGCAGCCGAAATTGGTATGATACCTATTCTAGTTGACCTGTGAAACCCCCTTTTTTCAGCCTACATTCTTAACAGATATTAGATGCCATAGTCAGGGGCGCCCTACTCCTGACTCCTCGCCGGTGCTTTCGCTCTGGACTATCCTCGGGATCGGAGCGTGAGAGAGTAGTATGCTGCTGGGCATGGGCCAGAGTATGTATTTATTGAAAGCTCAGATAATGAGGACTAGAAGATACCTAGGTAGCCAGCTAAGAATGAGCGTGTGCTGCGGGTTTTTCTTGTTATATTTACAGGTTGCGACCTTGTGTCTTGTCATTATCTCGCAGGAATAATCCAATTGCTAGATTTTGATGTGGCTGCACGAGAATGTTACAAGTTCGAACATACACATGTTGTCGGGCTGGTCCCTCTTTTTCTTCTTCTTTTTTTTATTTTCCGGGTAGCGGGGCTGGATGTGTGGAGCGGTAGAAGACGATAAAATGAGAGGTAGAAGAATATACTCAAGGAATGTGTGGCTGTAGTGTAGTTGGAGGCGAGAATGATATTGCATGTGATTGAGATGAAAGGACATGCGTTGAGTCGGAGATGGCATCGTTTCGCGGCTGAGCGCGATGACTGAAATGTCTCTCGTTGAGATGTTGGCTAGCGTGGCGCGGAGTGGTGAACGGAGTAGATGATAGTTCAAGAATGGGCCGACGGCAAGGGCAAAACACATCTCCAGGCGCAGACCTAGCTTGATACCGGTTGGTCTGGCTTGAAAAGCGACAAATTAGCAGATTCAGCCTCATCGGCCGTTATCAAAGCTGGGCCTGGGCCTGGAGACTTGTCACGCCGGTCATCAAAGCGGCACTTGAAACTGTTCATCTCGAGAAATTTGCAATGAGATACGAAAACGACCAACCAACTGCCATTTAGACGGACTCTGAGTGAGATGAGGATGTTGGGGGCACATGTGGTGGCGTCAGTGACTCATTGCGGCGGCTGCCATTCAAAACTGAGTTGCCAACCCCTGTCCATGCACTTTGCCGTTTGAATCAAAAAATGAAATACGGGGTTGGATTGACTGATTATAACTCGCCTCTGTAAATTAAATGCCAGCTTCCACGTTACGTGTGATACCAGAATACAAGCACGCCTCCCTGTATTCAAACCTAGCCTTGATTATCACACTGAGCCCTCGACCCAGCTCGGCATGTTTGCTCGGAGGCCGAGAGAGGACTCGAACCAACTAGAGGCCCGATCCCGTGGCAGCTAGCGCTTCCGGACGCCGCACAGATCCAATAACTCCTGGTACGGTCTATATATTACCCACTCGATATAACGATGTGCAATCACGCCAGCAGACAAAACAGATAGGCACCTATTACCTGGCACTCTGGGCAACAGCAGCTATATGGTCGCAACCCCCACAACGCTCGCTAGATATGATACATACATGACAAAGGCTCCAAAAAGGGAGGCTGGTGGCACTACTGATCTCCATTTCCTAACAGCTCCCACACCTCCTTCTCTAAAAGTAAAATAAAGAAACCCAAACGGCAGTACGTGCAAACACTTGTCAAGCAGTTTTGAGAAGATATGGGAGATAGACGAACGACGGAGGGCCAACAGAGCGAGGGGACGACGTGCCGTGGCACAATATTGCGTCATCCCACACGGCGAGGATCAGAGGGCGTGGACTAGAACCCGCAGGAACAAGTGCAAGCGTTACCGCGCAAAATAATTACGCCTTAGAGGGTGACATAAACGTCCAGGAAAGTGTTGCATTGTGGAAGAAGCAGGGACAGGCGGGTCTTATTGGTCCTGGAGTTCTCGGCATTTCGCATACTCCTCGGCACTCACATATCACATCGAGTACATTATTAGATAATTGGTGTGATCTAACCAAAGCTGTGGGGACTATTTTACCTTGTCCGCCCTTAATTACTCTCCAGAACCCCAACTCGTCCACAACAGGTTTTGCACCGAACGACAAGCGGCCTTTAGGCATACTACTCCTGCTTCGGAACCACTCGACGACCACGACCTCGGCTAGCTACTGCCGCGCCCGCCGGCGCCTTACCGCGTCCTTGTCCCGCACGCGGCGCAAGGCCTCCCCTCGGCGACTTGCCCAGTGGTCTCCCCGCTGGGGCAGGGGTGGCAGCAGTGGCGGCCGCTTTTCCGCGGCCGACACCGCCACCACGCGAATTTGCCACTGGTGGTGCCGCCTTGGACTGTCCCCGGGATCGGGGCGTCAAACCACGGCCGCCGCCGGCAGCTTGGGGCCTGGCCTTGGGCGGCGGCTCGTAAGAGTATTCCCCCTCCTCCTGGAACTCATCTTCTAAGAATTCTTCTACTTCGCCAAGTTGCTCGTCGTCCAGGGCGCCGAAATTGGCGTCGTCATCCAGGTCTTCCTCTGCGTCCTCCTCGTCAACCTCTTCTTGCTCGTCCTCAAGATCCTCGTCGAACTGTGCTTCTTCATCATTTTCTTCTGCTTCTTCTTCTTCTTCCTCCTCGCCTTCCTCTTCCTCCTCACCCTCCAGCGCCTCCTCTTCCTCATCTAGCAGCGCATCTTCATCTTCATCTTCATCCTGCTCTTCTTCGTAAAATTCTGCTTCGCCATACCCATACCCGCCGAGACCCTCTTCTTCCTCTACTACCTCGACCTCGACCTGCTTCGGCCTCGCCGCCCGCTGCGGCACCGGCTGCCGGGTCCGCGCAGCAGCAGCGCCGCGCCCAACGGTGGTGGTCGTGGTAGTGGTCGTCCGCTTCTGCACTGGCGGCGCCCTCTGAGCCTGAGTCTGCTGCGGCCGCTGGTGCTGCTGCCGCGACGCCAGAAGCCCCAGCCCGCCGGCCGTGGTCGGCGGCTCGCGGCCGAGCCCGTAGCGGTCGTGGCGCAGGCGGTAGTTCTTGGCCTGCTGCGCGGCGCTGACGCCGTGCACGTCGCGCAGGTAGCGCATAAAGGCCAGGTACGCCTCGGCCACGTCGCCAAAGTGCTTGGCCGACATCTTGACCGTGACCATGGTGCGCGACGTGGCGGCCACGTCCATGACGGTGCGGCCGATTCCGGCCCCGCCGCCTCCCGCAGCGCTGTTTGTCGCTTTGGCGACCTTCTTGTGCGCCTCGAACTCGGCTAGCGCGAGCGCCGTCTGACAGGCGTTGCGGATTTGGCGCCCATTCCAGCGCGCTTCCTTGTTGCGGCTGTAGTAGTTGAGCACGAAGGCCTTGATGGACCGCTCATGGAGCAATAGCTTCGCGACGCCGCGCTCCTCTTTCTTGTTGAACCGCTCCTTGATCCGGTTCAGGTTGACCTCGAACACGGCGAGTGTGGACGCCTGATCCAGTGGCGGGTAGTACAGGCTGATGTGGATGCGTGATGTAAACGCCTCGTCGAACGTGCCCACGCGGTTGGTCGTCAAGAATAAAATGCCCGTGTAGTACTCGAGGGTGCGGAGGAAGACTGGCTGGGGTTAGAAGAGGCGCTCTCTGATTGTAGACTTTGAGAAGAAAGGAAAGGGGCAAAATAGCTCACCCGCCACGAGGCTGTTTCGGTCAAAGTTCTCCGTCTGCCTCGCCTCGAGGAACACGTCGGCTTCGTCAATGAGCAAAATGCAACCCCACCGACTGGCTAGGGCAAAGTTGGTCTCCAGCCGCCGTTCGACCACTTCGGCCGTGGCCCCCAAGTCTCCTGAAGCAGCGTCAGTGTGTCGGGTCCGGCGCTGGACTGGACGCGGTACATTGAACAAGGGCTTTCACTCACCACAGGTGATTTGGAACAGGGGCTTGTGGAAATAGGTGGCAACGCATTCTTTTTTCCCCGTCAGTTGGCCCCAAGACGCGGGAACCGCGAGGGTGGAATAGTGGTACTAACCTGCTGTGGTCGTCTTTCCTACCCCCGGAGCCCCGTGGAGGAGCAGGATCAAGCCCTTGCCTATATTCACGTGTGAGCTCAGTCCTCGTGCAGGCGGATGCGAGTTACTTACCTTTCCCGTGAACAATGTCCCGCTCGTCCGTCTCGTCCAACGCCGACGCCTTGTCGAGGTAGTGCTGGGTAACCAAGCTCTCGACCATGTTGCGGTGGCCGGGCGGCAGCACGAGCAAGTCGAACGTGTTCTCACCCTTGGGCGGGCCGAGGTGCGTGAGGTCCAGCTGGGCCCACTTGCGGCTGCGCATGATGAAGCCGAAGACGCGATACGTAACGATGAGCCGCTCGCCGTCGGTGATGAAGTGCTCGTCCTCGGTGGCCCTGCTCAGCGGCTGCGGCGAGATGGCCAGCGACGGCACGCGCTGGCGCAGCCCTATCTCGCGCTGCTCGCGGAACTGCCCCTGGATGAAGTCAGTGGTGCGCCCGCGCTCAACGTAGGTGTCGTCGTGCACGTTCTCGGTCCCGCAGCACTCGGGGATGCACTGCCGGTTGCGCGAGTGCTTCTTGTTGAGCTTGCGCCGCCGCGTTATAGACCCCCTAGACCGGTCCGAGTCCGAGTCCGTGGCGTACTCGGAGCGTCGGGCTGTCTTACTGGCCTCTTCATCTTTCTTCTTGATCTCGTCCTGGTACCGCGTGTCGATGTTCTCGATGGTGGGCTTCCAGTTCTGCGCCATGGCGTCGGGCACGAAGACGGGATTCTGCCCCTTGGGTGCTTCTTCTCGCAGCATGCTGACGAACAGCTCGAGGACGACCTGCTCTGTTGTCAGGCCGCCCTTTTCGTTCCTGCGGTTCCCGCCGTTGGCGGCAAAGGCTTCTTCGAAGTCGATGACGACCTGGCTGTTGACCTCCTCCTTGGTGTCCAGCGTAAGACCCGAGTAGTGCAGCGGCACGCCGCGGCGCCCCGTGCCGCATGCTTCGATAAAGGTCGAGCCGCGCTTGATCAGCGTCTTCTCGAGCTCGCCGTCTGCCTTGGCGAGGCGCAGCGGGACGATGTCGAGCGAACGCACGTTTCTGTCGCCCTCGAAGCGATGGAACTCGAACGTCTTGAGGACGGGGCCGATCTGCTCACCGTCAAAGTCGATGTAGATGCACTGGATGGTGATGGGCGAGTCCTCGAGTCGGGCCTTCGCACCGTGGCGCCAGACGTCGCGGGGCGACGGCAGCTTCATGCTGTGCTTGGAATATTCTACGTTGAGCACGCGGTACGCCTGCTTGGCGTCGGCGCCGAGCACACAGTCGCCCGGCTTGAACAGGTGCCAGATGTCGCTAAAGGCAACACGCTGGCAGTCGATGCTCGCCAGGTACGCCAGCCTGCCCTCCAGTTCCGTGTCGATGAAGTCGACGAGGCACTGGATGTCGTCGACGTCTCTCTGGCTGTTCAGCAGGGGGCCAATGTAGCTGGGTCCGTCATCCTTGAATGCCGGCGGGCTCTCGGGTTCCGCGTCTCCGTAAATCTTTAGCCCAGCTTTGTCCCCGTCACCAGACGTATCGTCGTCGTCCTTTTTCTTTTCTCCCCCAGATAGTCCAGTCTGTACTAGCGCCTTGGCTTTTGCCATGTTTTTGTCCTTGTCCCTGATCTCGGCCTCGAGCCTCTTTTTGGCGTTTCGGATTTCGTCTTTATGGTAGACCAGAGCTCGGAAGGGCTGCATCATGAGAAGGGGGGCGTCTGTTTCGGCCTTGTCCTCGTCCATATCGACTATGTTGTTGAGAAGCTCGATAATGGCTGGGGAGTTGATGCGGATGCGCTCTGGCAGGGGTGCCTGACTCCGAACCTTGGTACGCTGAGTGTGGCTGGGCGGCATGGCCACAACGGTCGACGCTTTTTTAATGGGGATGTGATCGTGATCTTCCAGGTCGTCTAGATCGTCCTCAGCCCACGCTCCCTCGGCCGCCTCAGCCGCTTCGGCTTCGTCGGCCGCCTCTGCCACCTGGCGAGCCGGCGCGGGAACATTGAATTGTGAAAAGCGGGTGAGTATGGCGACTTTCGGATCGGGGTCGCCGACCAGGACGTCGATGGCAAATGGGCTGCTATGGCGGGTGCGCTGGAAGGCCGCCCAGGGTACCCGGCTAATCTGGGAGACCCGGGGTGGCGGAATGTCGTCGGGTTTTTCTCCTGGCGGAGGCACAGAGGTCACCTCCCCACGGGCTCTATCACGGCGATCTGTCCCGAACGACCATGCTTTCCGTGGCGGGGGCGGGGGCGGGCCGTTTGATGATGGGCCAGAGCCGGAGCCGCCGTCCAACTTTGGCTCCAACCCTTTCTGGGTGGCGGTCAACAGGGCAATTTCCTCAAGGAGTCTGTCCGTTTCGGACTTCTCCGGGTTCGGGGGCTGCGTTGGCTCCTCGTCTGTGGTCTTGGTTGGATGGACCTCCTCCTTCACTGGCTCAACGGATGGCAGGGCTGGCACTGGCAGCGTCTCCACCGGCGGCCCAAGATGCAGTGGTAGCTCAGTAGCCATGATGACTGCGGCGCGTCAAGCTTGATGGGACTCAAACGGTTGGAGCACAAACGGTTGGAGCACCTATTTAGTGTGCATATAATTATTGATCGACTCGGCACCGTGGAAAGAGTTTGAGAGTTGAGGGCATAAAGCAGAGGAAGTGGAAGTGGCCAAGTAAATAATAAAAAGTACGGAGGAAAGGATGCTTTTCACCACGCACACAGCTCCTCAGCAGAAAACCGATCCGTAATTGATTAAACAACTGAAACAAGGACAGCGGCGTCGTCAAAACTTGCTCAGTCGAGCGACAAGACTCTCGATAGTCGGCGCATGGATCAGACGGGGATTTCAAGCGGGGTTGGAGTACCATGCCTGTGGTTATCACGCTAGAGGCCTGCTTACCAAGCCAAATTAGGATGTGATTGGTTGTAATGTGCTGATCTCAGAGCGGCTGAGGCAAGTGGGGTTCTCCCTGCATAAGTGAGGAGCAATTGTGGAGACTTGCGCCTAGGGTGCACCAATCAACAGCCGTATCTCAGAGCCTCGTTGCACTCCCATCCCTTCCGTCTGCTCCCCCCCTCTTCGGGGCTTGGGCTCTTCCAGAGGGTGCATGGCTACCCGATGAGAGAGGCGACACAACAGCTTCTGCGTCGATTAGCGTCGCCCGCGCTGCCCTCCGTCGCACCTCGCAATTGGATGACGTGACGAACAGCGCTGGCACTGCTCTCGAGGCCCCCGGTCTTGCCGTGATTGGATTTGCACTGCCCTCCAGCCCCAGAGGCTTGTATGTGCTAATTATGCACTGCGTATGTACGCATCTTCGTCGACGCCTTAAAACCCTAGTCCGTCGCCACGAGCTTCAATCTCCCCACATTCCAAAGCCTCATGGCGGACGAGTCGACAGGCGCCCGGGCGTTGAGTACAAAGCAACCGTGCTTGGACTTCATTGACACCCGCCTACCCGAATACCACGAGGCCTTTGCTAACCCACAAGTGCGCTTCAACACGGCCCTCGGACGCTACGCGCCAATCACGATCCCACAAAACAAGGAGGACGACGGCAACATGGGCCTGAGAAAGAGCAAGAAGCAGCAGCAGCAACAGCAGCAACAACAGGCGCAGCAACAACAGGCGCAGCAACAACAGGCGCAGCAACAACAGACGCAGCAACAACAGGAGCAGCAACTACAGCAGCAGCAACAGGAGCAGCAACTGCAACTGCTGCCCTCGCGGCCCTCGCAGCTCGCAAAGGCAACCCCGCCGGGCACGCCGGCGCGGCGGCCGTTCTGGGATGTGATGTTCCCGCAGGCCATGGCGCAGCTGGCGGGGGTGCGCGCCGAGCCGACAGCTCTGGCCGGCACTCAGTACAGCATCCGCGGCGCAATGGGTTGGGCAGAGTTGGTCACCACGCTCGAGGCCGCGCGTGCCAAGTACTACAAGTACGAGGGCTTTGTCGGGTTCTGGAAGAAGGCGGGCGACAAGTTCTCGAACCACGTCGGCGACGCCAAGGCGCTGCTCTCGCTGCTGCCCGACATGGAGTACACGTCGCTGATCCACTGCGTGTTTGACGTCATCTTCGATGTGAGTTGTCATTGTTCCCTAGCTTCTTCTAGTCTGGGGCATGGGTGTTCGTTGCCTGACAAAGTACGGGACAGGCAGCCAAAAGGACGGCCGAGATCCGCGAAGAAGTCGAGCAGAGCCTACGTCAGATGCGGGAGAAGCTGGGCGACGTCGAGCGCGTCGTTGCGCTCTGCGCGCCCGACGACGACTACCTCATCCCCGCGGCTATGACGGTGCTCGTGTCGGTGCTGCAGGCCCTCGAGGACATTGTGCTCTACTACTCGGCAAAAAGAGGTATGTCAACCTTGCTCCCCTTATCAAGTCTGAGGACTGCGAATACTCGCCTAACACTATCAAAGGGCTGAAAATGACGGCGACCGTCCTCTGGAAAACAACCGACTACAAGGCCGACCTGTCCGACTGCCTGGCCGGCATCGACTCGAGCGGCAAGCGGCTGATGCACAAGGCCACGCTGGACCACATGCGCGTCACCCGCTCAGTCGACCTCAAGGCATCAGAAGGTGAGCACGGGCAGCACCTTTATTATCTTTTCAACGGAAGGAACGCGCAACCTGACATTTCTGTTTCCCAGGGTTGGAAAAGTTGAAGAGCTTGCAGCTCGGTCAGCTCAAGCTGCAGAAAGAGCAGAAGCGGCTAGCCGACAAGCAGGCCGAGATGGCCAAAGCCGAGCGGGCACTCGCCGTCCAGCAGCGCAAGCTGGCGGCGGCCAGCGAGCGCAACGCCGCTGCCAACGAGCAAAACGCCGCTGCCAACGCTCTAAACGCCGCCATCTCGTCCATGGCCGTGAACAGCATCCGCCAGATGTTCGAGGACTATTTCGCGGGCAAGAGCGGTGAGCCTGTTCCGTTCCTACTGAATTAGAACCCGCCCATGCTTGGTTGAGCCAGTGTGCTGACGTGCGCAAATGCTGCGCCCAACTGTCTAGCAGCACTTGAGCGCAAGAACGCCAAGCTCATGGTCAAGAACGACCGCCTGACGTCGGCGCTGCGCGAGGAGCGGTCGCGCAGCCGCGGCCGGCTCTCATGGGCCGACGCCGAGCCCGCGCCAGCAATAACGCAGGACGAGCTGCTTCAGGCAATGAACCTCCCACCGCCCACCAGCGACGAAGCAGAGACGACCGACGACGTAGCCAAAATCTCCAGCTCTGCCGTCGTGGTAGACCGGCGCGACCAGGGGCGGGCGGAGCAGCTGGTCGGCAACCCGCAGTTCCAGCAGTGGATGGTGCAGGCGAGCTCGACAGAGCTGCTAGTGCACGGACGCATGAAGCCAAGCCGCACAAGCGTGTCGGCGCTGTCACTGTTCAGCGCGGGTGTCGTGCAGAGCCTGCGGCAGGACGCGCGCTTCTGCACGCTGGCCTTCTTCTGCGCCGAGCACGGCGACGCGCATCTCGACCCGCTCGCGGGCGGCGCCGGCATGGCCAGAAGCCTGATTGCGCAGCTGCTGAGCCAGTACGTCTTCGACAGCGCGGACCTTGCGTTTGCGACACGCGACGTGGACATGGCGGCCCTGGAGAGCGGCGGGCCCGACGAAGTCGACCAGCTGTGCCGGCTGCTCGTCGGGCTGGTGCTCCGGCTGCGGAGCAGGGTCACGCTGGTGTGCGTGCTCGACAGCATCAACGTCTACGACGATGCCGAGTTCATGCAGGACCTGCAGGTCGAGCCCGTGCTGTACGAGCTGCTGGAGCTGACGCGCGACGAGCGGGTGCAGACCCACGTCAAGGTGCTGCTGACCAGCCCGACGGACACGGCCACCGTCTGGAAGGCGTTCGCCGACGAGGACGTCGTGTCCATGGTTGGCCAGCCCAGGGGGGACAAGCGCTTCGATGACGGCCGCCTGGCGCAGCAGCTGGGCAATGCGCTGGGCAGAGGGCGGTGAGAACCATCCGATGCTCTAAAGCAGCAAAGTGTACCTTCCGATTATCTGAAGGCCGCTGAGTGTACCTTTCTGATGGCCAGGTAATTGCCTCAAATTTCCTATCCGACGCCTATAGGCTGAATTGCTTGCTGCAGAGTCTTTTACAGGGCTGCAGGAGACATGGGCCCGGGGCCGAGCGGCAATCAAATCAGAGACCCTTGAGGGTCCCCGATACTGCGCGGCCCATTTTTGGATCTTAGTCATGTCAGCATTGTATATTGGTTACGAGCGGCCATATTACCAGAGCCGCATTTTTTACACCTTCCTGAGCACCTAGCTGCGGCTGGGCCGCAGCCGAGCCTAGGTGGGAGGTTCAAGCTTCTCACAAGCGAGTGTTTTCATTGCCCAATCTGCTGAGCGAGACTGACGGTCTATTGGGACTGCACAGCTCGTTCGTCGGCGAATCGCTAAAATTATCTGAGGCCTTCTCGAGATTAAAGTCGATTGTCTTGGACGAGAATGATGTGGTGAGCACAGGTGATGTCGGCAGTTTACGCCTTCTGTTTGCCGCGAGTCAGCCTGGAGTGCGCCTCGCCGCAATGAACTCGAAGTGAAGTCTTGGAGAGAAGAGAGGTGGCAGAGTGCTGTATATAAACATCCAGCTCGCTCCATCACTCAACGAACCCGACACAGAGCAGGCGATTCTTCAGACCCTGTACATAACAACACTCAACAACTCTACTCACTGTCTCCCTAATCAAATCAACCAGCCAGTACGTTCCCACTCTCCTCCGCCCACGGCAGACTCCCGCCACTAACATCATATCAAGCCATGCGCTTCTCCACCATCACCGAGGCCACCACGGCCGCCCTCGTCATGTACCTCCCCCTAGCCTCGGCCACCGTCTACTACGCGACGCGCAAGTCGCGCGAGGGGGCGCTGTCGCAGGTTGCCTGGTTCGCACCCCCACTCCCTCCCACATCACCCCCGCCATTAACAACGAGCCATCAGGTCCAACGGCACGCCCGATGTGTGCAGCCAGTTCACGCAGATCCGCACGGGCGACGGCAACCCGTGCGGCATCGACTTCAACGTGCAGGAGAGCGGGTGGAGCAACGGCCCGTTCACGCTGCAGGGCTGCGGCGGTAACGGTCTGTCCCTCGAGCGCTCGCACGCCTTCAACTCCAACTGCAAGTGGTCCAAGGACAAGATCACCTGCTCGGGCGGCGCGGTTATTGGTACTGGTGGTATCTGGGCGTGTTTTTGAGCTGCGTTTGTGAGTGTTGTTGATAGGATTAGGGCCTTGAGGGTGCATGGTGATAGTTGGTGAAGAGAGGGTACGGATAGTTACGTATCTAATTAAGAAGAATGTTTGATGATGTTGTATTTAAACAAAGATGTCATGCCCGTATACGCGTATTTGTGAGTTAATCCTAGAAAGTGCCTGGTCTCAATTCAACATATCCACTTTACTTAAGGTTGTGTACCGTGCCGCACACTAGCAATTCGGAGCCCGGGGTCGGAGACAGTAACGTCATAAAAGCCAGGCTGGGTGCTGCGGAAGGAGCTCCGCGCTGCTTATGTGAAACACAACCCGGCGAGGAGAACCAACACCAACAACCCAACGTCGACGCCCAGGCCACCAACACCAAGAGACAGCATCAATGTTTACCCAACTCATTAAAGACACGCAAAATTCCTTGTTCATTTCTGTGATTTCAAGAATTCACATCTCTCGCTTCACATTCCCTGTTTTTGTCTGTCTGGCCTCTTTGTGTCGCTAACGGCATACTGTGTACAATCCAACTGCGCACCCAAAACAACCAACCAAAACATCCCCCAACATGTCAGACACAACCAACAACGACGACTTCATCCACGTCGTCGTCACCGCCGGCGGAGTAACTTTCTCGCCCCCCTTCCACAATCTCCACCCGATCTAACACTCCCCTCTAATCACAGCCATACCTCGAATGGGACTTCAACACATCAGCCATGATCCGCGACGCGCTGCCAGCGGCCATCACCCGCCCCGGCGCGGAACCGATCAAGATCACCAAGCACCCGGACAACGTGCAGTGCAGCTACGGGCCGTGCACGCAGCTCATCGAGAGCGTGTGGAACCACCCGAACAACAAAAAAGTCGACCTGGCCGTGCACATCGGCATGAATCCGCCATTCCCAGGGTTTTACTTCGAGACGCGCGCGCGCCGCGACGGTTTCGCCGCCCTCGGCCACGACGGCCTGCCGTTCCCCAAGGAGCTGACTGCGCCGGGCGGCCAGTGGGCGGATCTTCCGGCGGAGCTGCGCCCCGGGTTCGATATGCTGCGCGTCAGGGGCGAGGTCGTCGCGCGCGTTCCGGTGAGTTGGTTTCTCATCGGTTCATTGTTCCTGTCCTTCTCTTGCTCTCCTTCTGTTCGTGCTTGCTCTCGACCCTTGGATACATGCTGGAAGATCGATCAATTCGGCTGCATTCTAATTGGATTGGATCTTGTAGGGCGCCCAAATCACTGTCTCGGACGACGCCGGCCTGTATTTTTGCGAGTTCCAGCTGCTGACCTCGCTGGCGGCCGTCCGCGATCGCCCGGAGCGCGGACACGCCGTCTTTCTGCACGTGCCCGAGGACAAGTCGGAGAAAGACATCAGCCTTGGCAGAGATGTGGCCGTCGAGTTCATTACTGCGCTTGCAAATGATATAGGGCATTGAGGGGTGATTTTGCGAGCTGCAGAGATTTTATCTATCGCTTTTTTCGATTTACCGTCAGGGAAAAGACCCTGCCATGGTTACCTACAAATGTCACCATATCTAATGACGTTGTTTGTATACGAGCGAAAGCTAAAAAGCCAGTTAATGTACACAGCTATGGGGACTTGGGCCATGACATTTGGCTAATTTGCGTACAAAATAGGGCCTTGGAGTTGCTATTTGCAAGTTGCCCTTATTTTGAGGCGCTTGGTAACCAAGAAATCGTCAAAATGGAAAACACCACGGCAAACGCGTTTTCAAGGCTTCAACCCTCGTTAGCCCGGGCGGCCGGGTGGCTGGGCTGGCACATGGAAGCACATGCGCGGTAGGATAGTATTTCACGATTTTACCGGCCGAAAATAAGCCCCGAGTATCTCAACTGCCAGCAGCTGGCAAGGGCCCCCGAGGGGGTACGCTGATTTTCGGATGGGGCACCCAGATCAAAGCTTATAACTATGCTGTGGGTCCGTGGCAGGGTGGCAGGTAGGCACGACCAGGTGCGCCAACCTTATTTCTTCAAGCAAAGTGTCATCCAGTCTCTATACCAGCAGTTCCTTCCAATAATCCAATTGTCATGCCCACTAGCCAGTAATTAATTAGAAATAAATTTAGGATCCTTATCGGGATACACATCCCCATGCCAGTAACTTGTACCACCTTGATTCATACATGGAGACCTGGATTGGGATGAAGGGTTTTATCTACAACTCATATGTTTCCTGTCGGCACTAGAACAAGGCGACGTGTGAATCGACTCTATAAGGCAGACATTTTCTCGTCTAATTTTAGCTTCCAACCTAGAATTGTCTTTCCACCCCCCCAATCCGTGGCTAGAATCGCCATCAAAAGACCCCTCCAGTCAAAGATGCCAATGCTTGCACACTAAAAACAAACGTCTATCGAAAGGCTGCCTATCCGGATAGTCAAAAACGTCTGCTCAGAATTTAGCCCAACTCATTAAGGCCTAGTCCTAGACAAATACCGAAAGCAAAAGCCCCGTCTTCATTACGTAAATGCAAGAATATTTCTCATCTAGGCCTAATTCTAGACTAATATAAAAAGGCGAAGCCCTATCTCCGCCGATTAAATGCCCAGATTATTCTCATTAAGGCCTTTTCCTAGACCAAAACCAGAATCGAAGCCCTATCCCTATTAAGAGACGCCTCAGTATTTCTCATTAGCGCCTGTGGGAAGCCTGTTTACCATCGCTATATCGTCCGCGAAGAGCATTCTAAGTCTGGGTGGGTGTTGGGAGAAATTCTCTTCCAACCACAGATTTCCCAGAGTCTTTGCTGTCTTCGCCATCGCAGTCTTGATGTTCTCGCGGCCCGGCGCGCCCGCACCGACGCCAAGAAGCGGTGGCAAAACGGCTGCGGAGGGTGACGAGGCACGACGCTCAAAGTCGATCGTCATTATGCGGCCCGTCTCCGAATTCCACGGCATGTTGGGCGACTGAACGAGAGCCCATTCAGGCGTCTCCCCACCCAGCCCATCCAGAGAAGCACCCCCATCAGCAGCAGCCGACACGTCGACGCGGGTCCCGACCCAGGCAAGGCGCATCATGTAGACGATCCTGACCTTGAAGCCGTAGTAGTACGTGCGCCCGATCTCGCGCAGGTCGACGGGATGGGTTTTGGAAGGGGTTTCCGTCCCACTATGAGTATCTTGGTGCAGTTCGACATCGGGCACTTGTCGTCGAGCGCCTCGCCCTAGTCCGAAGCCGCTTGATGGCTTGGTGGCGCTTCTCCTGATTGCCCCGGGGCATTGTCCTGGCGAGCCGAGAGCCATAAGTGTAAAGACTAGGATCTGGCTTACAGCTGAACAGTAGGGATACTGGTTGGGTGTACTTCAGCCTCTGACTTGGGCTCGGCGAGGTGGTAGAGCAAAGTCATTGGATGACGGTCCCAGCCGATCTTGAGAAAAAGCATTCCATCTCCGGTTGTGATGAAGCCCAGATCTACGCCGGCTTCTACTATGTGTTGAAATGTTTCAATGACAGAAGCTGCTACCGCCTTGTCGGCAACGTGTTGTAGGGTGGCCTCGGAGTCTTCCTTCGGTGGAGGGCTTGAGCGGGTGACAACTTCCTTGTGGATGTCCAATTTGCGCAGCCCCCTGCGGAGCTGCTGCAAGGTCAATCCATACGGTGCCTTGTACTTGAAGATGTAGGCGATGGTCCGTGTCGAAGAAGTGTCGTCATATTTGTAGACGCAATCTCGCTCTAGTCTAGACGGGTGGTGGTATTCAAGTAAGGGTTGAAAGTTGCGAGCCGTTCCGCAAGCTCGTCCGAGTCGTCATTTATCGGGGCTGGGGTTTCGAACCTAATCCTGCCACGCATATCGAATTCTAGCCTGACACTCTCCTCGGCTGCGAGGCGGTCGAGTATGGATATCAGCGGCTGGTTGATGGCGTAAGTTAGGTGGGGGGGTAAGCGAACACTACTGATTTAGAACATTCTGTATAAGCAGGAGTCCCAACTAACCCTCCAACAAAAGAAAGGGTGATCTTTTTATTTACAAAACTTCAATACAATCTTTGATATCCTCTGAATCATCCGCTTCTTCCGCATCTTCTAAAACCTCTGCTGCACGCCCTACAGCTCTCTGGGCCTCACGAATAGTCTGAATATTCGCAAAGGTGGTATTTGGATCTTCTTCAACCTTCTTCTTCTTTCTGGCTCTTATTGATTCGAGAGTGTGTTCTAGACCTTCAATCTTTCGCTTCCTAATAGCCAGTTCAAAGGCCTGTTCATCCAAAGCCTTACCAATCTTTCTGAGGAAGAGCTTATCCGCTGGCATTGCTTTGATGATGCGTGCGAACTTCTTTGCCTGCTCAACGTAATCACGTGCCTTTCTAGGAGTCCTCCACTGCACCCGATCGTCTCCATAATCCTCCAGGATTGGCATACGGAGTGTGCGAACCTCTGGGGTAACTATAGTAGTTCTTAAGGGGCGTGAAGTATTAGAATTCTTGAGGAGGAGTGGGCTTCTTAGCGGTTTGTTGACATTCAAGGGCCAAAGGCCTGATGCCTTCCATCCTGACTTAGCATTACTCTTAGTAATTGCCTCTGTGCGTGAAATCTGGTAGCATTCCAGAAACGCACGTTTTCCGGCTACAGAAGAGTCGTCAAAGGCGTTAGCAAGAAGGTCCTCAAGCCGTCTGCGATAAAGTCGTTTTAGGGGGCCAAATATGGCCAAATCTAGGGGTTGGAGGACATGGGAAGTATGGGGAGGCAGATAAATAATGTGAATATTGTTTGTGAATGCCTCCCACATATAATCGGCAGTTGTGTGGCTGCCATGGCCATCAATAATAAGGAGTCGTTTCTCAGAGGAGTTTGCTGGCTTGGTGAGAGGAATGAACACATTTTTTAGCCATTTGAGGCTTGTCTCATCGGTAGTCCATCCTTTCTCAGTTGCTGTAAAGAACCAATCCTGAAATGGCTTCATATCCAAAGGAAACCATAGTTGTTGAACGCTTTTCCCCTTAAAAATGACCAAAGGAGGAAGGCAACAGCCAGCTGCTGAGATGCATTCGACAAAAGTGGTCCAAGTGCGGGTTCCAGGCTGTTTTTTTTGAAGCGCCTTAAAGGCACGGCTTCCAATGACAAGGCCGTTGGTTCCTCTGCCTTCCATAATACCAGATTCGTCCTTGTTCCAGCGATTCTCTGGCTTAATCGCCTTGATAGCTGGTGTTTGGAAATGGTTGAACCAAGGTCGAATTGTTGACTCTGTAGCGCAGTTGACGCGGACCGAATCGACTCTCTTGGCCCTCTGAGTCTTCAAAATTCGATTGCGGTTAAGAAAGGCACGGCACCACCCCTTTCCAAGTGGTAAGGAGTCCCCCCTTTCAGCTAGAATACGGCGTGCAAGCTCCCTGATCTGTGCATGTGTAGGGGGCAATCCTAAATCTTGTTGAAGAAGAATCCATTCGACTAAACGATCCTCTTGGGTCTGTGTAAGCCTTTGCTCATCTTGATGAGCAACATTTCGAGGTAGGGAGCCATGTAGACGGCCATAAGGGGTGGAGGGTGGAACGTTCCATTTTCGCGCGACTTTGCGTAATCGATGTGTTCTGACGGCTTCCTCGCAAGCCTTGCGGAGGTCTTCTTCTGTATATGAAACCATTGTCAAGAGAAGAATAAAACGAATTGAAGATGAAGAGAATTGGAAAAGAATTGGTTGAGTTATGGGCTTTTTATATAAGAGGGTTGGTTGTGTTCCTCGCTTATCTAGAATGTTCTGGATCAGTGGCGTTCGCTTACTCCCCCACCTAACTTACATCTAGATTCTGTCAAGAGTTTTCTCGATGACCACTTTGGTTTGTGCAACCCTGTCGCCCAAGACATGCAGGAAATACTGGGGCTCAAAGGCCCGAATTTCCTTAGGGAACGTTGAAAAGAGGACATTAAAGGTATGCGTCTGTTCGTCGTGGAAGCCTTCCCAGGGCGAGAGGACTGGCGGGCATAATTGGCGTTGGCCACACAGGCGTTGTTAAGTTATTGGCCGTCGTGATCGCGGGCTTGGTAAAGACTTGCTCATGACAAGCCCGGAGATACTCTTTCAGACTTGTGGGCCGAGCTCGTTCCTCTTTGGCCTGGATGGCCGCCTGGCTTGCCTTGCGCTTCTCCTTTGATGCCTTGATCGCTGTTAGTAATTCCTTCCGCTCCTCCATGACGGTTACCTTTTCGTCGTCGTTCGTATATGTGATGGGTAGTTGAGCTTGCTCTTCCGGTGACGATATTGAGGTGGAGTTCTGGGCCTGGTAGGTGCTGGAATTAGTTAAGTTAGATACAGTACGAGACGCAAGGCACCAAGGTTATTACTGGTAGCCTGGACGTGTTTCTATTTTTTTTTGGTCTCCCCTAATTATTCCCGGTGGTTGAGAGGTTGTATTTGAGCTGGCGGGGATGCTCGGCCGCAGCCTGCGCTATCCCCGTTCGCCATTTCGTATGCTGCCAAATCCCACGCCTTGCCGATGGGACACGAGACTTCTCTCGCCCACGAAGATGGTTCTAGCCTCTATCAAGTGTCTTCAGCATGAAAAGCTCCCAGTAGCGTTATAGGGCCATTCGGGATAGAAACCTGGATCAAAGACTGCCCGAAGATTGATAGCCTGAAGGTAGACGGCGTGAACCAAGCCCTTGACGTACGCCTCGACTTGCTTGGCGAGCTCGACACCCTTGTAAGACGGTGTGATGAGCACATCTTAAAACACAACAAACTCGCACGGAACGCTATACGACTCCACCTGAAAATCTTATGCGGCGAGTTGGATTTGGTTATAAAGGTTGGTGACGATGACATGCCTCCATCTTGCTTACGATCCCAGCACATATGGAGAGAATCGCGAGTTGAACTTAATGGGAGCCTACTTCGACAAAATTAAGGCAAACGTAGTTAGAAGCACGTCCTCGACATTCGCAGAATCTCTGACAGAATTCGACGAGCGGATGTGCAGTTTACTGGGCCCTTCGAGGCGGAAGGCATGTGGCTGACGCTGGTGCTCTGGATGCTGTGCTGGCCGGCGCTGCATAACTTCCACCCGAGCGACGTGCAACTGTCCAAAAGCGATCTCATGGGCACCCATCTACCGTTTACCAGTATACATTAGCTAATAAGTAGAGAAAAAGAATTGAAACGAATTGATTACAAACCTAGCCCGCAATTAACCTAGCCCGCAATCCTACATCTCTATTTGCCCCTAGACAATTATTTGAAGGGTGAAAAAGAAACATAACAGAAACATAACAGGTCTAGTACGCATAAAAACCATGGGATGCAGCATAACCCCATCTGACGTGACATGTGGAGAAGAGAAGAAACGAAGGATGAAGGAGCAGCAAGTGACAGGGATTTCCATCTGATAAAGCAAGGCCAGTGCTAATTAGTTAGCGCCGGGAAGGATTCCCCCGCACCCTAACCAACCTCAACGCTCCGCGCCATCTGATAAAAAGTCTAGGCATGGAAAGCTTGTCGCGTGTGCGTCACGCGTGCTAGCGTCGTCTGGAAGAGGGCCTATGACCATCTCCCTCTGACCAACCAGAATGCAGCCCGTCATCTGATAAAAGGTCTAGGCAGCGGGTGGGGCAAAGGATCACCGCCGTTTAACCAATTATAGCACGACGCGCCATCCGATAAAAAGTCTCGGCAAAGGGGTGGGGGCTAGCGCGGGAAAAGGTTCTTTCGTTTAACCAACCAGCGCGTAGTCCGCCATCTGATAAAAAAGTCTAGGCACTTCTAGGCAGGAACGAGTGGGGCCGAGACACGGAGGAGTGCAAGGTTCTCTTTCGGGATGGCCGAGGGCGGATCTAAGAATTGAGCCGTGGTCGGCCGGCTTGGCAAGTTCCAGGCTTTCGGCCGACAAAACAACAGGCAACAGCATGCAGGCAACAGCGTGCAGGGAGTTGACTGTGAAGACATGGAGAACGGGACATGCGAAATTTGTTCTCTCCCTTACTTAGCGTTATTATGTTAACGTGACTCGGCGGTTTGAAGTGCGCGGATTCCAATGTAATCACAGTAAGGCTGGGATCGGCGGTGAAAGGGCCGTCACGGACAGGATTTGCTTGTTTCTTTTTTCTCTTGATGTTTCGCCTCTTGTGTCGTGATGGTTAGGTAACTTGGTTTCACGAATCATGACTAGCCCTTTGCCAAAGAGCTGCGTTTTTGCGCCGTCAAAGGGGACCGCCTTTAACAAAGCGGAAGGCAATATGAATGAGCAGGTAATTACAGAGAACAACAACTGTATCGACATGTACATATTTGAACTTGGAACTGGACTCTCCATAAGACGAAGTATAAGACGACGTATATTTTTTTATATGGCTAAATCATCGGAAAAATAATTCAGCTATTTCAACCATGTGCTGTGTTGTCCCAAATCCGGACCTCAACCTAACAGAATCCCGTATTTTTGCCCAATTACATCCTGAAGAAAACCAACCTTTAACACCCACCCCTGATAGTGCGTGCACACGACCATCACAAGCTCGCAACGCCGTGCTCGCCGTCCTTGCGGCCAATGGCGCGCAGCCTGGGGCCCCAGACCCACAGCACCAGTGGAATGGGGAAGGCGAGGACGATCCAGAGGAAGCCGAGTAGGCTGTTACCCCAGCCGTAGCCCAGGGCGTCGTACAGCTTGGGGGCGAAGATGGGAAAGACGAAGGCGAGCGTATACATGGGGAGGCGGGTGGCGGCGCCGGCGGACGCCGCGTGGTCGCCGAACTCGTCGAGTTGGTACGCCATCAGCGACTGGCTGAGCAGGAAGCTGCCCGCGTTGAACACGAGCACCCCGGCGTCCACCACGGCCCAGTGCACGACGCCCTCGGCCGCCCAGCCGTACCAGAACAGCCCCGCCGCCATCAAGATCATGCCCGGCACGAAGTTGGGCAGCCGGAACTCGGGCTGGCCGCCCACGGCTGCGAGCTGCTCGGGCGTCGGAGCCGGCTCGCCGCTGCTGCGAGCGGCCTGCACGACGCGCCGCCGCTCGCGCCCCACCAGCTTCTTGTACGTCCAGTCCATCAGGTAGCCGCCGCTCTGGGTGGCGGCGATGCAGCCAATGGTGATGGAAATGTAGTGCAGCGAGGCCACCAGTTTGGTCTGGCCGTATCTGTGGATCCAAAGCGTAGCTAGCGTAGACAGCATGATGCTGTAGACGCCAAAGTCAAAGGCAATAATGGTGCACACGATCTGAATGATGGGCCGGTGCACGAGCATGCGGATCGGCCGCATGAGGTTGGTGCCGAGCAGCGCCAGGTAGCCCGAGGGTAGGGCGAGGCGCGGCCGGCGCCACGAGGGGCCGAGGCGCGACGCCGTCGACGCAGGTCCACCAGCCTGTGCGCTCTCTGCCGCCTCCTTCAGCCGGCGCAGCAGCACGGGCGTGTACGACTCGGGCACGACGGCCAGCACCACGAGCGTCAGCACGGCGCTGAAGACGCACACGATCCAGAACGTCCACTGCCAGCGCACGTACTGCGTGGCGACGCCGCCGACCACGGGGCCGAGCGACGGGCCCAGGTATGGTAGTACCTGCGCGATGGCGATGGACATGCCGCGGTCCTCGGCGCGGAACATGTCGGCCATGATGGGGCCCGTGAGCTGGGTGCACAGCGTGAGCATATACCCGCGCAAGTACACAAGAACCGACGCAGAGAACATACCGTAACGCCAGCACTAGCCCCAGCGCCCGCCAAGAAGCGGCCGACAATCATCAGCGCCGTCGAGTTGCCAACGGGACACAAGGCGTTCCAAAACACAAAAAACAGCTGCGCCGCGAGCCAGACGTGCTTGCGGCCGTGCATCTCGGCGACGCCGGCTACCAAAAATGGGCCGAGCCCGAGACCCAGAAAGTACGTCGACAGCACGAGCTGCGCGGCGGCCTCGCCGACGCCCAGGTCCGCCATGATGTCGTCCAGCGACGCCGCGATCATGCTCGCCGACATGATGGCCACCAGCTGCCCCACCGAGATGAGGATGCCGATGCACACTTTGCGGGATGTGCGCCAGTTGTACGGGTCGCGCGGGTCGGACGGGCTGGACCATGTTGCCTGTTTGCGTTGGAGATGTGGTTGTCAGCTGGTGCATGAGAGGGGTGTTTCAGGGGTTAGGCGGGAGGGCGTACGCCGTAGCGGTCCTTGAGCTGCTGCAGCCGCGCGAGCTGGACGGCGCTGGTCGACAAGATTGTCGTGGTGGCGTCGCTGCCGCAGCTGCTGGTTCTCGTCCCGGCGGTGGTGTCGTCTGTGGTTGGGACGTCCTTCTCTCCGAGGCCGGTGGTGAGCTTCTCAGCGGCAAGGTCGATGGTTGTATTGACAGTTGTGGGGTGGGCATCGGCGCCCTTGGTGGGGGTAGGGGTTGAGACGGCCATTGTCTTTGTAGGGTTGTGTCGTGTTGACTGAGTTGGAGACGGAGCTTGTCTAGAGTTAGGTAAACTTGGCTCTTATACAGAACATGTCGATGATGATCAAAGTCGTATTTAACTCCGAGGACCTGAATGTGTTGTCCGTTCGGCCCCCGAGCTCAATGCGACGCAGTGACTCACGGCTCCGGATATGCCTTTTCTCGATGCCACTGTTGTTGGTCAGTGTTGGTCTCAGGGAACAAGATGTTCCTGCATACGAGTCGGGGTGTCAAGGCCGTCGTGGTATGTGATCGACAGACCGGGGTGCGCGTTATCAGATGGGATTTTCTTGCGGCTGTCGTTGGGCCTGGCCATCGCTAGTCTCGTTTTGTGCGTACATGGACGCCCAGCAAGGATAAGTCCGTATGGAGTCGATCCTACGGCACGTCAGCCGGGTCCGCTTTCGGCGTTGCACGCCACGCCATTCCGGCACATCGATTCCCACGCTAAGTAGAGCGTGACTCAAGCTGCGGCGCAGTTGCTAAAACCGGAAGGTGTCTGCAGACGCCTGGACTGGATTCGCACTAGCGTGTCCAAGACGTTGTTCACGACATTGAATTATTGTTCCGTTTGGCAGGCTCGCAGGCTACAGCGTGTTCCGGCCAAGATTTTGAAGAGCTGTGCTTGGACAGAATTTCTGAAATTATTTCTTGTTGTAGAGCGGTCTGACGTTCTTGAGATTTAAAAACAATAAAGCGCAAAAGGGTGCGATGGTCAATATTTTCTTGTTGCGTCTGGTATGACCCAGAACAGAATTTTGTCTGAAGTTGTGCACTTGCTCGTTCAATCAAGCCATCAACCGTTCGACCACTATCAACCGTTTAGTCACTATCAACCGTTCAACCACTATCAACCGTTCAACCACTATCAACCGTTCGTTCAACCACTATCAACCGTTCAACCACTCTCAACCGTTCAACCACTCTCAACCGTTCAACCAATGTTTCTTCAGATCAGATATCCAATTGAGCTTGGTAAAGAACCCGTGAGAATGCCGATTGCAGGTTATCCCAGACACCCATGCCCCCTGTCTCCGTATTCAGACCATATTTCCACTGCAATGCTTTAGGTTTTTGTTTACCATGCCTGCCGCATGCAACAAGTGGGAGGTGCTGCTTCAAGTTGCTCTTAGAAGAATCACCATGACTTTCGTGATGACGTGTAGAACAATAAAATTCAATCGAAGACACGCCAATTACCCCGAGCTCATGCAATACCGAGATGATGTTCTGCCCATCACGTTTACCGCCTCTGGGGTGGACTATGGATAGCCACAGAGCATTTAATGAGCACTCTACCATGCTGCAACGCAATTATACCAACTGAAGATGCACCTCCTCACTTGGCGTGCCCTTGGCGGAGGCTGAGGGGAGCCGGCTGGACAGGATTCGGCAGCCTCATTCTGCCAGTCGACGGCAGTTGGCCCGTGGCTCGACCAACCATGTAACCAGCACTGTCTCCCACATTGATAGCTGCCAATCACGACGCGGTGATTCGTGGGTGGAATTGCCGCTCTCGGCGACATGACGGCTAAAGTTTCGGCGGGTCGGTCGAGCCAGCTCCGCAACTGCAAATGTCTTGAGCCGGGAAAATTGGCCAGCACCATGGCCGAGGCCCCTCACTTGCACGCGCCGGCCCGTGCCTACAAATGGGGAGGCGTGGGCCTCGACGCCCGCAGTGCTGAGCTGGCGTCGAGTCTCGACCTTGACCTTACGATCCCGACGACGACGACGACGCGCGAACCAGAAGCCATGTATTCGACCGTCCTCCTCGCGGTTGCAGGCCTCGCCTCGCAGGCCACGGCCGACTGCACGCGGGCGACACTGCAGGATATCACAGCGGGATATCTGGCCGCACTAGCCGCCGGGAAGCCGACGGGCATCTCGGCGCTGCCCTCGGGCACGGTGGCGTACGTGGAGAACAACGCCGAGACGGACATCAGCAAGGGCGTGCTGTCGCAGGGCATCAAGATCGACTTCAACCGCACCATCTACGACACGACGCAGTGCGCGTCGTACACGGAAGTCGTGGCGACTTCCAAGCACGCGTACGTCATCGGCGCGCGGCTGGCCGTGACGGACGGCAAGATCACAAAGATCGACACCAACGTGTGCGACGACGGCGACTGGCTGTTCAACGCGGCCGGGTCGCTCAAGTACAACCAGCAGGAGGCGTGGGATGTGATCCCCGAGGCCAAGCGCGACTCGCGCGACGTCATCAAGGCCGCCGGCGACGCCTACATCGACGCCTGGGGCGACTCCAAGGTCAACCCGCCCTTCAGCAAGCAGTGCGCGCGCCTCGAGGGCGGCTCCTACCTGACGGGCAACTGCAAGCTCAACTTCCCGCCGCCCTTCAACATCTCGCGCCGCCTGTACACCATCGACGAGCAGTACGGCGCCGTCGACGTCTTCCACAACTTCCCCTTCCTCGACAAGGCCATCGCCCGCGACCCCGGCACCGAGACCAACAACTTCTTCCGCGTCGAGGCCGGCCAGATCAAGTACATCCACGAGAACACCGTGTGCTCCAAGAAGAGCTGCGCCAAGTAGTTCTCTTGGGGGGGGGGATCAAAAGCACAGGGGTGTTCTTTTCTCTGATTTTTGAGGGTATCGTACGTACAAATGCAGGCAGAGTTACTTGAATACAAAGACACAGAGAGCGCAAACGGAAAATAATCATGTTATAAACTTTAAGAGGGAGAGTTAAAAATCCAAACCGTTGAATCTCGCCGCCGCTCTGACAAACACTGCGAAGGTGGGCAACAATACCCAAATAATTAATTGCTGGACAGGGCGCCGCCAGTCACAGAAACTTGGTGCCAAAGTTCTTGGTGGCGTACTCCTCAAACGTGAAGGCATCAAACTTGCCGCCGGTGCCGTACAAGATGCCGCCGTCGCCCCAGACGGCGGCAAAGGATTTTGGGTTCGCGAGGTTGAGGGCCATGGCCTTGATGCGCTGGCCGGGGCGCTTCTTGCCGAAGCCCGAGTTGATCTTATTGGCAAGCTCGCCGTCGTTGCCGCCGTAGTGGCCCTTGAGGTCAAAGTACTTCTCGCCGTTCTTGAGCTGCACGACCCAGGCGTCGTCCATGCCCAGCCACACGGCCTTGATGTCCGAGAGGTACTGCCACCACCACCGCTCGTTTAGGTCCGCCGCCACGCTGCGCACGTAGTTGTTGGCGTTGGTGGCCAGGAAGAAGTGCCCGTTGGCCCCCAGCGACACGTACCGTGGGCACCCCGACTCGGTCTGGTCCTTGCCGCTGGCTCCCTGCCGGTGGTTGGCCAGCCACCGCGCGAGCTCCGGGTAGTCGGGTAGGAACGACACGTCCTTGCAGTGGCCGTCCTGGTGGTAGTGGCAGTAGTACGAGTCCGACGTCCCGAGCGCAAACGCCCGGATGCCCCCGCTGTACCCCATGAGCGACAGGGCCTTGAGGCGCAGCGCGTCTGCCTTGACGCGCAGTGTCTCCAGCTTGCCGTTCAGCTCCCGGCTGTCGTGCTCGGCCGTGTCGTCAAAGTCTCGGTTGCCCAGCCGGAGCTTCACCTTGGGAGGCAGGTTGCTGGCGATTAACCAGTCAGTCCATTGATTAAATCATTGTCGACGCCGCAGGACAGGAGAGAGAGAGACACACCTTTTATTCACCGTCGGGCCGCAGAAAAAGTACGAGTCGTCGACCAGGGTGATGGACCGGCACTCGTGGATGAGGTTCTTTCCGGGGTGCGAGCGGACCAGCGGCCTGGCCGACTGGTCGCCGTCGCGGATGGCCTGCAGCTCTCGGAGTTGCACTTTTTGATCCTCGTAGAGCTTCAGCATCTGCTTCTCGTTTTCGTTCTTGAGCTTTTGCTGCTGCTCCAGCAGCATCTTGTCGTTCTCGTCCTTGAGGTCCTTGAGACGCTGCTGTTGCTCCAGCAGCATCTCCTGCCTCTTCTCGTCGGCCTGCCTGCGGAGCTCCTCCAGGCTGAACTGGAGCATCTCGCGCTGCTTCTGGAGGTCCTTGGCCTTGGCCTCGGACTTTTTGCGCTCCTCCTCCAGCACCTGGGCGAGATGCTCGTCGCGCTGTCGGAGCGCCTCCTCCCTGTCGGCCTTTTGCCGGGCCGCCTCTTCCTTCCACTTGTCTCTCTCCTTGGCGAGCTCGCTGTCGAGCGTCCTGCCGGCGTCCGTCTGGTCCAGGTGGCGGTCCTTGCGCACCATCTCGTCCTGGATCGTTAGCTCGACCTTCTTCTCGTTGAGGAACTTGGTCACGAGCGCCCGGGCCGAGTGGCGGTTGTTGTAGTGCCGCTCGACGCGCGACTTGTTCTTGACCATGAAGCCCCAGAAGTCGTCCGTGTCGATCAGCTCCTTCTCGCGCGCGGCGCCCTCGGCAGCCGTGACCCTCTCCCACATGGTGGTGACTAGGATGACGTTCTTGAGAGCCTCATTGCCGCAGAGCTTCTTAAACATCAAGAGGTTCCGCTTGGCCGACCCGGCCATGCGCGTGTCGGTGATGCGATGCATGTACAGGATGCCGCTCAGCTTGACGTCGTTCTTGAGCGAGTCGGACAGCCAGACGGCAATCTGCTTGAGCACGTTGGCATCGTCCCGGTTGGTGTCGTCGAAGCCGGGCGTGTCGATCAGGTAGACATTGACGTCCTTGCTGTACTTGTATATGTGGGGCGTCACCAGCTGCGTGCCTGCGACGGGAACACGTTCAGAGTCTGAGACCAGCGGACAGGAATTACTGCATCACTGCTTACACCCTTGGAGGCCGTGTCCAATCTTGACCGGAGCGCCTGCGTTGGCAAGCATGGAGATGAAGGTGCTCTTTCCTGAACCCGTCACGCCCATGACGGCAATGAAGATGTCGCTCTTGCGGGCCTCAAAGCCACTGCGGAACACTGTCTGGTCGAGCGGAGCGCCGGCCTCGTCGTTCCACGTGCTGGGCATGCCCATCACCACTGGCGAGTGATTAGCATGTTTTCTATCTTTTCTTAACTGTCATCTGAGTCCTCTCCTTCGTTTCTGTTAATTATGGACACAACTCACCAGCACCGTTTTGATCCATGGCTTTACACACAGAGCTCGTTGTCGGCTAATTAATTAATTGGATAAGAGATGACAAGAATTGGTTGATGTCAGCAAACACAGAAGCGTTCCAGTATTAGGTTACGGACTAGGTACTCGGGGTGGCATCTATTCCCCTTTTCTTTCCAGCGTTGGGGTGATCGGGCTCCAGCGCGAAATGCGGCGACGCTAGAATAGGCAGTGTGGTCTCATGCGGGCAGTGTGGTCTCATGCGGGCGCCAAGACTATTTCTGCGGAGCCACCACCAAGCCGGTGGCACTGGCTGTAATTCTCGGTGCTGAAAACGCCACCATGCAGCGCAGCTGACGCGGAGGAGCGAGGGCCGCCAGCTCTCGCTCGCAAACGCCAAAAGTCGACACACACACACACACACACACACACACCTACACACCATATCCAGAATGAGTCAGGTGCTAGGTTGCCTCCCTCATATGCGACTGCAAAACTTACGTTTGTCTCCTATTGACATGAGACTATGAGGCTGAGAGAGGGGTACGTACCATGGAATGATGCCCAGTGCACAGCACAAAAATGGACGACCCCGCCCCCTCCCCCTCCCTCTCCCCCAATCAAAAATCACCTGACGAATTTTGAAACTGCAGTGTTTCCAACAATTCGAGTCGGGAGAAAAGAGCATTCATTTTCCGTGTGGCTGCTGGCGACACGTGCAGAGAAAATGGAGGAAGAAGATTTCACAACCATATCGCAAGTCCACCTCCTATTAAATGTCAACATCTTTCCCCCAGTAGGTAATTACTGACACGAGCATCCACACACAGTTCGCACGATGTGGTCATCGCCGTCATGGGCGCGACGGGGTGCGGGAAAAGCACCTTTGTCTCCACGCTGGTCGGGCACGAGGTCGGCATCGGCCACGGGCTCAAGTCGAGTAAGTTCACGGACGCGACGAACGACGGCTGCAAACCCCCCAAATTTCCGAGGCAGACAGACAAAACCCAACACCCCAAAAAAAAAAAAAAAACTGCGCCGCACTCTAACACGACAGCAATTAAACATTTCCAGTGACGGCGATGCCCATGGCGTATTCGTTCACGCAGCCCGACGGTACGAGAGCCTGGCTGATCGACACGCCGGGGTTTAACGACACGACGCTCGGTGATGCCGAGGTGCTGCGCAGCATCGCGTTCCTGCTGGCGCGCACGTACGAGGTCGGCGTGCGGCTGGCGGGCATCGTGTATCTGCACCGCATCACCGACGTGCGGGTCGGCGGATCGGGCAAGCGCATGATGCAGCTGATCCGTGACATGTGCGGAGCCGAAGCGTTCCCGCGGCTCGTGCTAGCCACGACCATGTGGCAGGAGCTCGGCAGCAACGACCCGGCCGCGTTCGACCTGGCGGTGCAGCACGAGATGGAGCTGCGGCGCACCGACGAGTTCTGGGGCGCCATGTGCCGCGGCGGCAGCCGGCTGGCGCGGTGGGACGGCAGCCGGGCGTCGGCCATGGCCATGGTAGACCGGCTTCAAGACCTGCAGGCGGAGCAAGGCCCGATGGCGTTGCAGATCCAGCGCGAGATGGTAGGGCAGCGGCTGGACCTTGCCGACACTGCGGCGGGCAGGACGGTCGGCGCCAAGGCTGCTGCGCTCGCCGACAGGTTCCGCGCCGAGATGGCCGAGGCCGACCGCCAGTTCCAGGAAGAAGACGAGGGACGCCGAAACACGCAGGCTCTTACCGTGAGCGCCGTCAGGGCTGAGTGTGAGCGGCAGGTGGCTGAGGCGGAGAAGGCGCGCGACGCGCTGCAAGTCGACTACGACGAGCTGCTGCGCCAAAAAGTGGCCGAGTGCGACGAGGTGTTGCAAAAAATTGACCGCGAGGCCACAACGGTGCAGGCAGCCGTGCAGGAAAGGGAGCGCGAGAGCGCGGCATTCGTCCGCGAGGAGCCCCAGTTCGAGGAGCTGTTCCAGACCGAGCTCGAGTACAACGAAGCACGGCTGAAGAAGCTAGATCAAGAGATTGCCGAGCTCCGGTCGACTGGGCTGCAGGAAGACCTGGAGAAGGCCCTCGAGGAGCACCGGCGGGTCGACGAGTGCTACCGGGAGTTCCTGGCGCAGTTCAAGGCTAGGCAGGTGGCGCAGCGCGTCCGAGACGGCGAGCTGGCGTCGCTGCGGGAAGAGGGCACGAGACTGAAAAAGCTGCAGGTGGCCTTGAAAGGATTCGGGGTCCTCGCGGGCATCGGGCTTATTGTAGCCGGTGCCGTGACGGGCATCGTGCCCTTGATATCGAGTGGCGGTTCGCTGACCATCGGTGCCGCGCGATCAATGCGGCGTGATTTTGCCAACAGTCGGCCGGCCTAGTAGATTTTCACCGCTATCAACATGAGCTAAAGAGATATTGTGCAAGTTACTGAAGTTCAAGCTGGTTCTTGTATCGACTGTAAGGCGGCTACAGCATCATCTGAGCTACCTAGTTAACTACCTCGGCAAAAAGCTAGGTGAAGCAGAGGCACCGAGAAGCAGACTACGAGACGAGGCTGTTTTCATCCCGCCTTTTCGCGAGCTTAGGTAACCAAATAGAGGGAAGCAGAAATAGGAGACTAAGACTGAAGCAGGAAGATAGCAAATGCCCTCGGCAGGCGAATTTCAGAAGCAACAACAGCAATGCCACGTTCGACGTGAACGAAGCGGAAGAACAAAAATGAATAACGAAACGAGAAAATCGAGCAAAAAGCAGCGATTTTGGCCGTCTCGCGACGGAAGAGCATTCGGGGCTTTAAAGTTAAATACAACATCACGAGAGGAAAAACTAGAAACCATCTTAACAACAGCCATAAATAATGAGATTCCGCTTCCATCCCCGTACACAGAAATCACGACCACGGATTTCATAGTGAAAGAGAGGGCACTTGGGGAAAAAGAAAGAAACAAACAAAAACCCTCACTCTCCCGGCCCGGGTCCAAAGTTCTGCGCCTCGCCGGAGTGATAAAAGTCGGACGTCGGCATGCCGTAGTTCTGCGGCGCGAGGTGGGCGAACGGCACGGGCTGGCCGTGAGCGTGGGGGGGCGCGCCCCACGAGCCGGCGGGCGTGTGCGGCGAGGGCTGCGGCGGCGGTGGCGGCGGTGGTTGAAACATGTAGCTGTAGAAGAAGCTGCCGCTGGGGTCGTCGGGGTGGGGGTGGTGGTGGGCCTGGTGGATGCCGGCGAAGCTGGGCATGTGGGCTCGTACGCTGGGCACGACGACGGGGGACCCCATCGTCGGCGGCGCGGCCATGGACGACATGGACGCCATGCCGTGGTAGCCGGTTGGGTTCAACGTATATGCGTTTTGCTGCTGCTGCTGTTGCTGCGGTGTTGGGGGTTGGGGCGGTCGTCGACTGATGATATTGTTGTTGTTTGGTACGCCGCCGCCGCCGCCGGTGCCAATGACGGATGTGGCGGCCGTTGTTGCTGTGAGCTGGTGAGAGGCTGTTGTGGCGGGGGCCGAAAGCAGCGTCGAGGAGCCGCCGTCGGCCAGCGACCGGCGGTGCTGGCTCTCGCTCGACGACGTCGTGTCGGGCGACAGCTTGCCGTGCAGGCTGATGTATGCCTTGAACGTCTGCTTGACCACATTTTCGAGGCGGTCCCGAAACATTTGGGCGTTCTCGGGGAAATCAATGTCGCCCTGCTGGTGCTTGTGGTCAAGAATGTTGATGAACAGCTTGGCAAAGTCCTCGCCGTCGCGCGATGGGGACGAGGATGCTGCTCCGTACGGAGCCCCAATGTCGTGCCCTGTTCACTTTGCGTCAGTCCCGAAGTAACTTCCGGCTCGCTTTCATAATCATAGCACAAGCTTTAGGAGAGGTTCACTCACATGGGCTTTTAGGCCGCTCGACGCCCGGGAAAACGACATCCCAGATCTCGAACCACTTCTCGACGCGGTGGATCTCCTGGTTCTTTTTGCGGTTCTGCTTGTCGAGCGCGGCCCACTGCGCCTCGCTGATGCCCTCCTTTTTCGAGCTGTCCTCGAGCTTTGAGCATGAGACGTCCATGGTGCGGTGCTCGCCGAGCTTGTTCAGGCACACGGCGCGGTCCGTCCCGGGAAACACTTCGTAGCAGCGCTCGCACTGTATAGGTGAGTGCACCCGCTTAAGGTGTTCCCTGTGATTTTACAGCCGGTTAATATTACCGCCCTAATACCCGACATCTGGAGAGCAAAAGGGCGGGATTCGTGATTTTCTACTGGTAACAATCAGGGGAAGGAGAGCTGCTCACTTTAGCCGCTGGACGGACTTGAAACCGGGGCCCATACACGCCCGGTACCGGTGCTTCTTCCCATTTCCCGAGTTGCCATGCTGAATTCCGTACTTGACGGGGTCTCGCTTGTGGAAGGGACACGCCAGCAGCCACTGCGGCTCCTCGCCGTCGTCGGGGCTATTGGCTGCCGGACCTACGCCGCTACCGCGGTTGTTGTTATTATCCTCGTCATCACGGTCATCGCCGTCATCACCACCGCCACCCCCGTTGTCGCCATCGGAGCTCGTACGGCGGCGCTTCCTGGACGCGCGTGACGACGACCCCTGGCCCGGTGACGTGTCCGTGTATACCGTTTTCCCGCCCTCGCCCGGGGATCCGTCCGAATTACCGCCCACGCCGTGCTGGGTTGTCGTGGTACACTGCCAGGACTCCACTTTGCTCTTCAGGGCCAGGCTGACATCCCGGTGCAGCAGAGGTATCAGGAAAGCAGCCAGCGCCAGGTCTCCGTCGACGGCCGAGATGACGGCAGACTCGAGATTTCCGTTCTGGCCGCTCCACTCATTGTCTTCGTCACCATCTTCCTCTTCCTCTTCAATGTCGCTCTCTCCCGCGGTTCCGCACTCGCTGTCGCTCGAATCCGAGTCGGCATGCTCGTAGCACGCCGGCGGCGGCTCGGCTGCGTCGCGTGCAGACACGGCGTTTCTCAGCGAACTCGGTCTGCTTGCCGATCTCGCGCCCGGGAGACCCCTGGCTGACCGCGCAAAGAAATTGGCCGCCGTGGGCGGGGGATCCCTGGCTGGCACCCATTTGGGGACCCTGACTCGACCCATATTAGAATTTGAGGGATTGATTTCCACGCCAAAGCTCCAATACGCAACCAATTGAGTTCTTTTCCGAAGGCAGCACAAAACAAGCAGAATCAAGTTTTCTGCAGCTTGTGCAGCGGGGAGAGAGGGATTGGCCTTACTCGTCGTCCCATTTACTGTTCCCACACCGCTCCGAGTCCTCGTCGCCCGGATAGCCGCATTCTGGCGTTCGCACGGCCGACGTTGCCCAGCTGCTAGTGGTCGAGGCGGCGTAATGGTTTGAGCTCTCGGACGGGGTCGTGGCAGGGCTCGGGGACCGCGACGCTGCCGCCGACGTGGCAACGCCCTTCCAGTTTGTCACACGCAGGTCATGGTACGTAGGACTAGACCACGGGGCGTGCGAGGCTGCCTCGACGTCCTGTACTGCTGCTGAGGGGGGCTGAGGCATGTTGACGACGGCGCCGGCAACGACAACAGCCCTTCAATGGGGCAGGCCACTCGTGTCCCTTGGCTCAAAAGGGTCCTGTCCTAGCAACGGCGGGTGGCGGCCCTTATGAGCCCTTCAGTTGTGGTGGGCCTCTCCAAGGGGCCCTCGGCTGCGTCGACCGGATGCTAGGGCTTCATGTGCTTGTCTCCCACTTGCGAGCCGACGCAACTGCGATGGTAGCATGGCCAGCCATTGGATCAACAGAGCTGTCGACGCCTTGACTCTGCTTTTGGCACGGCTCAATGGCCGACGAGATTGGCTGGTGAAGCGGTCCCTTGCGGGTGCTGCAGCTTTCCATTGGCCCGCATGTTGCACGCTGGCACTGCATCATTCCGCCACGATACCCGAACGAGCGTCGGCGGTCAGAGCCTGGTACACCTGGAGCCGGAAACCAGTGGATCTACGCAAGTGCGAGCGATGCAAATCTTACACAGGAGACATCAGTCGGGCGTGCTGAGACTTCCAAATGGCTGTGTTTGAAATGCAGACACCAGGCGATCCGCTGCCTCCGGTAGCAAATGAAACTTGATTTGTTGGGCAAGTCCATATGACGCATGACTCTTTGGGTTTGTGGAATACAGCGCGAAGGTTATACGATCAAACGAGCATGGAGGGGCGGCATATCGATTGCAGAAGTGGAGGTGGGTGATGATGTCGAACCTCCTTGGTAAGTAATTAGACGCAATTGCGATGTCCTGCCCACGATGAAAAATCCGAGAACATGGAGAGCAAGGCGAATATACGTGGTCTCTCGCGGGTAGGGCAATAATTACCAAGCGAGGACAGGAAGGAAGTCTCGCAAGAAAGCGATGTCAGAGCAACATCCGATAACACCTAGCACGATTATACGCAAGAAACATCGACGAGAGAGGGTAAAGTGGGGAGGCACCTGATAACATTACACTCGGCCAGGGTGCTTTATTGCTTGCCCGGCATGTTTTTACTTTGGCTTCGCCCAGAAATCGCGCCACATTTCCTTGAGCCCGTAGTGCGGTTCTTTGGATTCGCGAATCTCGACGGCCACGCCGTCGCCTCCGAGTCGGCCCAAGATGCTGTTCGTGCGGGTGCGCTTTCCAACTACGTCAACGGGCGACCTGGTGGGCCTAGTGGCACGGTCTTGGATGACGCTGGCTAGCTTGGGTGCCACATCAGCGTAGCAGTTGTTTAGCTCCCGCTGCAGTGAGAAGTAAGGCTTTTTGGCCAACTCTGGCGCCATCAGGTTGTAGGATCGTGTGATGGCGTTGAGATTGGTGATGGCAAGCCCCATGTACGAACGCTCGGCAGCTTCCCAGTCAGGGTCCCGATACGGTCTTGTTGAGACGAAAGCCGTTGCGGCGGCCGACGAGTTGGTAGCATCATCGGCTGGTGGTGTCTCACCGTTGCTTATCGAGACTGTGGTAGCCGAATCTAGACCCTCTTGCCGTATCCGAGCCATGACAATGTCGTCGGTAGTGTTTGTAGGTATCGAAGTTTGCTCGATATTGCGTCGTCTCGGGTTGTGGACTTCCTCGGCTTGTGCATATGCCCTTGCTCTGTCCGTCTGCTCCTGCAGGCTCCCACCTCGGCTAGCAATCATCCTCGCGGCGTGCCTCTCCCAGTCGTTCCGCAGTCTTGACCGAAAGACAGTGGCCGCCTTCAAAAGCTCTTGCTGCTTCTCGATCCAGGGCGGCACAATCTCTTGCCTCTTGATCATGTTGTTTAGGATGTATTCGGTCTGCGGAGAATGTTTTGTCAGGTCGGTCGACAGGAAAGGTGCATTTGAGGCGCACTCACAGTGTCGATGAAAGGGTTATTTGCGCGTGTATCGCGCTCCACGCTCTTGCCACGCGGTATGTCCTTCAATAAAATTAGCCACGGGGCAATATCGAGTGTTTGGCAGTATATATGGGGCGGCGGACCTTGAACTGTCCTCGAGTAATAGCATCCTCGATCCTGTGCCAGGGATCGCCAAAGTTAGGCCTTCAAACGCTTCTGTCTGGGAGACAAGTGCTGGATGCATCAACAACGCACCTCTCGTTGGCCAGGGCTGCCAGGCCCGTGATGGTGTTGGGCATGGCTCTCGCCCCTAGAGCGAAGCGCTCTCGGTACTCCTTCCTGAAAGCCTCCCTCTCTTTATTGCTTAGCCCTATGCCGTCCTTGCCGAGGCCCATGCCCGTATACGTCTGTGCCTTGTCCCTGGCGCTTGCTGCTCTCTGCCCCGGGCTAAGTCTCTGGGCGGGTCTAAGTCGCATGTCCACTGTCACTGGCGACGGGATCTTGGGCTTTCCCCGAAGCTTGGGTGCCAGAGGCTTGCGCGCATCGTCCAGCATCCGTAGCACGGCGTCCTCGGGCGTCTCCTCGCCGGTCCAGGGCTGCGCCGAGGCAAGGGCGCGCGTGCCATGCCCCGCGGCCTCGGGCACGTCCCCGGTTATTCCGGCCTCGGTGAAAGCTGCCAAATGCTCGGTGCGGAATTGGGCGTCGGCTAGTTTCTCCAGCAATTTTGCCTTCAGCTCGTGGCTAAAGCCGGCGTCTTCGACCGCACGTCTCCCCGCCCTGCCGCCGGTTAGGAGGGCTTCCTCGGTCGCTTCTTGTAGGCGTCGAGACATTGGGCCTTGCTCGGTGGGCGCAGGCGGCGCATTGGATAGAGAGGTGGAGCTTGTCGAGACAGCATCGTGTTGCTGAGCATCGTGGTTCTGGGGCGTCTCAGGATCGCGGGGCGGCGGCGATGCTTGGGCCGCGGTCGCGGGGCGCGATGAAAGCTGCCGAGATCGAGCCAAAACGTGCGCCGAAGTTGGCGGGAGGGTTCGTAGGCAACCAGATCGATGCAGCGAACGGGCGCATGCCCGGCAAACAAATGGTGCGGTCGATGCCATACTACTAGTATTACGCGATGCTGTTTTCTCGCTTGAAGTTTCCAACGTGGCGACAAAACTTGGAGAAGACTCAGGCATAGCTTCCTAGCTTGCTTGACAATGGTTGCGCCTTCCGGATTTAATCCATGACGACAGCGGAGATAAGAGTCTGAAATGCATCTCCCCCGTACAGTGTTAGCCCCTCGCGGCACATGGACGGATACTGTACCGCATGAGAGCCCCCTAAGCCCTAAAAAGCTCCAGTTCTCGTCCTTCCTCCACTTCATTCCGACAAACAAAGTCTCGGCCCCATTAAGTTCAACAAGGCCATTTTTTCGTGTAAACACTCATCGCCAGTAAACACTCATCGCCAAGCAACTCCGCTAACCCTCACGTGATCTCCAAGCCTGCAACCTACCACTTGAGATGCGAGGTTTTACAAGCGCTCTTCAGCTCGACGGGGACGTGCCTGTATGTATGTATGTATGTACATACGGATACATTGAAGGATAATAAACGCAAGCATGTCTAGCACCCCTGACTATGTTGCACTCAACTCAATCAACTGATAAGTCGGGTTGAGGGACTCCAAGTCGCGCCGACACCACCGGATCGCGGATACTGCATTTTTAAATCCGCAAGTGGATTGGCTTGGCCGAATGCACCCTAATTGGGCATAAGTTCCAAGGGCCAGACGTGTGAAGGGGAGCTGTGCTGGAAACGATTGGGCGGGGTCTTCCAATGTGCATATAATATGCAGCCACTGTTTTAACACGTCCAAGCTCAGCAAATTAGGGGCAAACAGCAGGGGGCCTCCTGTCTTTAATGGAGGTGTGCGAGTTAGGCCACAGCCTCACGCCGCTGGTATCCCAGACCTTAGAGAGACTCGGAGCCCAATGAACTCGGTGCCTTGCGTCATTGCGGTGGTTTTCCGGCAACTTTCTTCCCGCTGTCCTTGCTCTTTTCCAATATCAGCAACTAATTATCATGTCGAATTCGCTTTGGGCCATTGCCTTGGCCGTCGCTATCCTAGCATGGGGCAAAGCTCTCGATCAGTCTGACTCGACCCCAGTGACCACTGCGACTTTGCCCAAGGATGGCATGGTCGGCTAGGTCTCGCCCAACGCGCGCCGTTCGACCTAGGATATTATCTAGAGCTACTTGTCCATCTTCCTCGTCTGCTCGTGGAAGTGTGTTCACCTCAATGTCCCAACCCCCGCCGAGGCTCGTGGCGAATGGCATCATGTTCGGATATTCAAGAAGAGAGTGCCATTCTGTCCCAGGAGTTACCTCTTCGACAAATGGCGCCGCAAGCTCGTATGGATGCTCATCATATCCATTGCGCCCGAGGTCGGCGTGGCTCTGGCTATGAAACAGTGGCACAACGCACGAAGCACACTCGAGGAAACGACACGCAGAGATAAGGACAGCCGCTTGACCATGGCCCACGCATTCTTGACTAACATGGGAGGCGTCGTTATGCGCAATATCTTCATCTCGCATCCTGATGTCGGACATAAAGCACAGAGTGAGAAAGCGGAGCAGCCGGACGTTACGAACGAAAAACCAGAAGCCGACTTGACCATGGAGCCATCCATTACAGCTTTCAAATCTCCTACAGGATCTCAACATGGCCCGGAGGCCACTACCGACGAAGAAGACCTTTTGTCGCAGCCAATTGATTTTGTTTGTAAACTTGGTGAGTGAGACAAGTTCGGCCCCGAGACTGATTGTGACCAGCCTCGGGTTAAGTCAGAACACCTATTGAAATTGATGAAGCTAATCTTATGGCACGTCCGAATTGAAAGAGCACCTAAAGGGAGACGGCGACAGCACACGCCCACAGATCAGGACGGAAGCGACGTCATCGGAGGGCGCATCACCAACGAACTAACCGAAGAGGAGATCAAGTGCCAAAGCCGGTCAGATGCCTTAACCAAGGCATTCGCAGTCGTGCAGTCCACGTAGTTCGTCGTCCAGAGCATAGCGCGCGTCTATCGTAGATTAGCCATCACGCAGCTCGAGCTCGCAACTATGGCATTTGTATTTTGCGCCATGCTGATGTACGGCTTCTGGTGGCACAAGCCGTTCGGCACCGAGCATCGGCACACGGTTGTGCGCGTCCACCGAGGCCCGCCCGTGGCACTGTATTATGATGGTGCTTGCCCCCTCGATGAACGAGTCCCGGACATCGACCTCGATGATTTTCTTAACCTCGGGCTCTTGAACGACGCTATCCTCGAGGGCAAAGTTCTCAGTAAGAATTCGATGCCGACCGTGGGGCTCTATTTGAGTGGTACGGCGTTTGCCGCCATCCACCTCGCCGCGTGGAATTGGGAATTCCCCTCGCCCCTCGTTCAGTCCCTATGGAGGTGGTTTGCCGTCACCGCCCTCGTTGCCTCCTTCCTGCCCTTTCTACAATCTGTCCTCGTCAGGCTCGTCGATGTCGTAGGCGACGACGTAGCCCTATGGCTATTCTGGATCCACGCTGTTATCGTGGGCCTTTCCTACATCGTTGCGCGGCTGGCCATCTTAGTTGTCACGTTTTATTGCTTCACTGCTATGCCGTCAAGCGCCTATGAGAAGGTCGAGTGGACGGGGTTCATTCCCCATTTCTCTTGACCAATTTGTACTTTGCGATTATGCAAGGATCCCAATAACAACCTTGAGCGGCTTTTTGTTATTGATTTCTTTCACCCTGTTTGGGGGTTTGCGGTCTCTAGGATACCATTGATCTTGGTTAACATTTCATTGTCTATACCTATATAACCAGAGACCTGGGTTTGGTATCTGTAGCCGATTCCCGTTTAGGTTAAGAAGAATATATGGAATACCAATTAATTAAAGCAATTACCACGAATGGCCTGGACACGTCGTTGTGGGCTGTGTAAGCGGGGGGAGGGATGTCGATCAATGCTCCAAACAGTCGTCAATGTAGCCAAATTTAGTTCGTTGTCAGGTAGGTAACTGAGTCCACTCTTTTCACTGTAACTTTCAGTTCGCTCAACTCTCGGGCATAATAAAGACTCGAAAAGTCAGAAACTCAAAGACATAAACTACTCACATGTTACAGCATACTAAGAGACTATGCAACTGCAAAATGATAGTCAACCTAGAGTCAGCTTAGTCTACCTTGCACTTCATTAAACTAGCATAATTCACAAAGTCAGTTTGAAACAGATGCAATGAAGCTGCGCACTTGGGACAAGATCCCACTACTGTGGTAGACGCGCACGACCGCCAAATTTACCAAAACCACATCCATTGCCTCTACGGGTAAACCAACAAAGCTCATGGCTTCGAAGGATAAGCATCAGGTTCCAACTACCAGTCGTACCCAGCAGCCGACACGGATCAAAAATGGATCTCAACCCTCTCGACGCCTACGTCCTGAACAGCAATATTCACCGCACCCAGGAGCATCTAGCCAAGTGCAAGCCGGCGGCTACCATCCCGTCTGCATTGGTGACGAGTTTCAAGGCCCTTCCTTCCCCCCTTCCTCGCCCCTCCTCGCTCCCCACCCATCTGTAGGCGCTGATACGGCGGATTCGCCATCCCTGCATTAGATTTACCAAATGATCTTCTAATCCACGCCATTCGAGCCGGAAGAAGACGTCATGTTTGTGGGCTAGATGATCTACCTATTAGGCGACTTTCCTCTAGCCTGGCAGCCAGCATTTGAAGATATGAGAAAAGACAACACGTCAGCCCTGAGGTATAACAGTAAGCAATTCAAACTGCCATGCTGCGTCCGTAGATCATCTTTATTCATCAAGCCACTGACACTACTGCTCTCCGAATTACACGCGCTCCTTTATGCTATATGATAAATTAAGCCTCCGTCCAAATACTACGCATCCAGGATATATCACAGTTGTTTAGAGAAAAGGAACCCCCCACAGGTAAACCTAGTTTAAACACATGCCATCGCTGCGGTAGGCGTTGCAAACACTCCCACCTCTCGCTGCGCGGGCTGCTCAAACGTCTCGTGCCTGGCCGCCATCTGCAGCCCACCGCAAGCAGTGACACCCCCCTCGCAGCTCTTCTCAGCAGCGCCGTTTTCCGCCGGCAGGGGCTGGGGCTTGAGGATGAGGGCTGGGATCTCGAGGAAGGCGTCGTCGCCGTCAAGCTGGACGCGGAAGTTGCCGATCTGGCGGAAGCCGAGCTTGCGGTACAGTGGGGCGCCCATGGGGGAGGCGAAGACGGTGGTGGTGAGGCCGAGGTGGCGGGCGAGGTCGACGCCCCAGGCGGTGAGCGCGCGGCCGGCGCCGCGGCGCTGGTAGTCTGGGTGGCAGAGCAGGATCTTGAGGAACACGTGGCCGCGCGGGTAGCGGCCGTCGAAGAAGGCCACCTTGTTGGCCGCGCACGCCTCGCGGAACGCGTCCATGCGCCGCCTGTGCCCGAACGTGACGGGCATCGCCGGGTTGTTGGAGCTCCGAGAGAGCGGCTCTGCAGGTGCATTGTTAGTCTTCAGTTAGTTCGCCGGAATTAGGCTGAACAGGGGTGGCATGCGCGCAATGTTAGGCTTGGTGTGATGGGACGACAGGGTCGTGCGTGCGTGCGTGCGTGCGTGCACTGGGGGGGAAAGGTCCAAGAAGGTCGCGCACAACGGACCGAACGTACGTACCTCGGACGGCGGACGGCAGCAACATGCGGGAGCGATGCCTTGCAGGTACATCCCATGCGCTAAAAGCGACTAGGCGCCGCAGCTGCTGCTTGTCGGAGGGGTTGCAGTGGGGCGGCGCTGTCTCGCAGACCACGACGGCGCTCGTGGCTAGGTACTCGCGGCACTTTTGCCTGCACAGCTCGGCAAACTCGGCTGCGTACAGGTGCCGGTCCGGGAACCGGTACGGGTACACGGGGTCGAGCGGCGACGCCCCGACGAGCACCCACGTCATGGCCTCGAGGTCCGACGCCGTGGCGAGCCTGACCGACGTGGACATGGCCGAGGCTTTTTTAGGTGGGCGGGGAGGGGTTATGGGGGTTCTGTGGGTTGCTGCTGTGCCGGGTACCTGTACGACAAAATCGCTGCTAAAGAGTTCCAGAGTCTCAAACATGACAGGGTCTAGTAAAGAGACAGGAACAAAATGGCTACTATACCGCAGACTCCAAAAAGAGAAGAGGAGGGCTGGGAATCTGTCGAGCGAAATTTGCGAGCCGGCAAATTTCGTCGCCAGACCCTATCCACCTGGGACCTGGGGGAATGGCGGGACGGCTCTGCGGTGGCCCTTTTTGCCTTGGAAAGGCCATCCCAGATCTGTTTGGCACTGGCGAGCAGCGAAGTGGGGAGAAGTGGCAGTGGAGACCGCCTGTAATCCATGACGTACCGACGGGGACAACGATGTCATCGCGCGCGGCACCCACCTGTCAGCTGGGCCGTGCCCCAAAGCTTGGCGGCTCTTTTAGGGCTCACGTCCAACGCCGTGAGTGGCTAAAATGCCCATGAGCCCTGCCCGGGCATTGGCCCAGACCCCGAGAAGAACTTGGCGATCTGACCGGGGTCTGCCTTATGTCGTCATCTCATTTCCCCAGCAGCATTGACGCCTGCCTAAAATTGGTACTTTGGATTGAATTATTGAAATTCATTCAATATTGTCATCTCAGTCGTGATCCACAAGCCTCCTTCAAGATAAAAATCGAACAAGCTAACCGCTACAGGGAACTTCAACCAAATCACATCATTTCCTGCCAGTTAATTCCACACCCTCCTGAAGCCACACACACCTTGAAACAATAATAACGAAGTTGAAGCCCCCACGGTGTCATATTTTAGACTTGGAGGCTACGACGGGCAGAACTGTCAGACACTTGACTGTGCTTGTACTGCTTGATGGAGAAAGCTGAGGAATAGGGTTGATAAGCATAAGTCCCCATAGTCAAGAGCGAGAATGGTTCAAGAAGACACTCACGCATCCATATTTGCTGTCGCATAATTCCCTTGAATTTGTCGGCGACGACCGGTTCACCTCTGACCAGCTGAACTCTTATTGAATGTTAGAATATGTTTCTGAAAGTTGACAGAAGGGGCGAGCAGACACCTACCATTGTTCCTCAGCAATGATGTATATGAGCCTCTGGGTATCTCAGCCGTCACCCCCTCCATCATCTCCAAAATTGGAAGAGCGATTCGGTGGTGGCTGAATTGACAAGGCTGATAGCTTGGTGCATTCGACATTTTAAGCTGACGGTGGAAAGAAGAATAGAAAAAGGAGATGAAGCTTTGTAAGGGCGCAGGGTTATTTGTGGTCGATCGAAGCCAAGGTGAATATTTGGGCTGACTCTGTCAAGTCTGGTTAACCACTATCTTGAGGTTCCGGACTGTGGGTTTTATATCCAGGGCTCTGGCGATACCATGGTCTGGCTGTCAATGAAATCGTACGATATTGCAATGAGGTGGGCGTAGTTTCCGGATACGGTAATCACGAGCTCCCTCGAGGAGTTGACGACTAGCCCGTGAAACGGTTAAACTAGCGCTGATCCTTTTCGGTGAACACCGAGGCATAAAAGATCTCTGATCGACACCCAGAGCAGACTCTCATTCGCAGCTCCCATGACCGATGAGTCCCGAATTGAATGGGGGCCGGTAAGCGTCCAAGGCGGGGGATTGATGGCGGCATCCCGCTAGCATCCGCGTCCGCGTCCGCGTCCGCGTCCACGCTTAGAAGCCCTCCCCGTGGGCCCAAGACTGGAGGACGACGGCCATTATTGGCTGTTTTGAGCCTAATTGGCGAAGCTGAGGTCTATTCAGGGTCCAGCTGACACGGCTCCCGAATTCAGGGATTCAGGGCTGGTGGGTCAGCAAGTTCCCACAAGGCAAACTCAGTCCGGTGCGAACCACAATGGAGGATGCGGCCAGCATATCTAGCTGTCAAAGAGCAAATCTGCCTCCTCCGTAGCGGCAAAAAGGAGGAGGGAGGGGAGAGCTTGATATCAACACTGACGTAGTTTTACAACTGCGCTGCAGTCAGGGGCTCAGGAAGGATCAATACGATGAAGCCCTCACCGGTTAGGGCCAAGGCCAAAGTGTGGGGGTGAGAGGCTATGTTGTTCAGACCCTGCATTTGGCCTGCGGCTAGGCTCTTGATTGGGCCAAACCAATCCGATCTAGAATCCCAACCGTAAGCATCCGCACGTCATAATGCGACTCGGCAGTGTCCCGTGGCCTTGGATCAACAGAGAAGAAAGGCAAAGTCGTACGATGGGGGAACGGTCCCTCGATAGCTAGAGATTTGCTATCCGGAAGCGGCGCGCCTATATTGCATTCTGGGCCACAGTGCCACAGCAGTTGCTTCAATTGCCTGTGGCAATAAAGGTGAGGCAAAGGGGCCGACTCGCTGCTGATGTGTTCCCTCGTTGGATTCCTTTCTCCAACCTTTTTGATCCGAATTCCGATGAATGCAGGGTCCCGTCGACGATCGGGAGCCTAACACACGTGTGCGTGTCAATTGACGGCGACGCACCCCACGGATTCCGAGGCGCTGGGTCCTGGGACTTCTGGCCCAAGTTGTCAGGCAGCAACTCTCGCGATGTTCGACTGCCGTTAATTATGGCTAACGTAGAGTGTGCGACCGGATTTGAGTCTGAGATATTTTGATCCGGTCTACGACAACTTGCATGTGGGTACAAGATTTCTTCAGTCAACTGCCCCCGATTACCGTTCAACCATTCCTTGTGTTGCGCTTGTTCGGGAGGCAATCCTTTATTGCGGTGAAGCAAAGTTCCCAAGATAGAAGGCATGCCTGCCCATGATAGCATTGGCACTTTCCTCCACAAATCTCCGGACGCCCTTGCCAAATGGAGTTGCCGTGCAAAGGCAGTTGCGACTGAGCAAAGGTTGAACTTTCAACCTCCATTTTGCCCAACAAAAGATTCCCACTCAACTACTCAAGACAAATTGGAATCCCTCACTCCCTTCGTCAGCCGCTGGACTCAAGACGGACGCCGTTGTCGCTATCACCTTGAAGTCGAGAATCTTGGTGGTGTTCAAATTCTCCCATTTCTGATCGAGTCATCTCCGACCGTCGGATTTCAAATTGAGGCGAGGACGGCGATCGAGGACGGCGATCGCTCGGACCGTCAAGCGACGGCAAAAGATACCGAGAAGACCGCTCAGTGTGCCAGTTGGTTACCCGAACTAACAGGTGGAACCACGCAAACAAGAATGGTCCGGGAAAAGAAGACAGTTGATCGGGCAAACCGAGGGGAAGCTGGACGTGTTCGTGGAACGTGGCTTCTGGGCTCGTCGGCTAGGTAATAGCGCTGTTTTGTTCGCCGCTCTACCCCAAAATGATGCTTGTAACCGTTGTGGATGGAATGCATGATGCGGGGGCAGAAGCGATCTAATTGTCCCTATCCGTCCATCCTGACTTGGCGAGCTGAGGAAACCTGCTAACAGCAATGCAGGGCCATCTGGCATTGGTTGATGACCCGACCGCTGAGCGGGAGCGCTGCAAGACCGAAATTTGCCACCGTCGGGGCTTGGATCAACAGGCATTAGCCACTAGATTCGTCCCTGCAATACCTCAACATCCGGCAACCCGTCCGACATGCAAGAACTGAAACCCCGATGCCTTCCTGCCCAACCACAATACGAAACACGGCCTCCAATCCGGTCGTCGATTGCACTCGGTTGACAGGGTATCGGATGAATCTGAACTTGACCAACCTAGGCGGCACTGGTGAACCGTGTTCCCCGACCACAAGAAAAGTCGATGAGCAGGAATAGGTGCTATTGACCCTCTAAAGCACCATTGCGTCGCAGCGGTTTAGGCGGCTTTGGGCCGTGGAGCGCAATTGGTTGGGCGCTAATTCGGGCGCCTGCACGCTGCAGCTTCGTCCAGGGATGGCTGTTTTCTGTTCCGGTTACCTGCGCCAACATCACTGGCTGTTTTTTTGATCGGTTTCGCTGTGCCACGGACAATGGAGGCCTCTAATTGGCCCACCATGGCCGCATTCCCCCGCGACTCTTCTGGTCACGTCGCATGCCAGACACGAAGGGTCCTCTCATCGTCTAGAGCCGCATTTAGATATCAGGTCGAACGCCGTCACGCCGACAACCCATTCATCCTTCTCGACCCAGCCAGCATCCGCGCAATGTCAGACGCCGCCATGGAATTCTCAGGGAAGGATTTGGAAGACATCCAAAGAGTCGCTGGTCTTCTGAACCTCACTGTCGACGAGCTGATCCAGCAGCGCCGACGAGCTGGCGAACCGAGCAAGAAGCGTGATATCCCTGACAACGCACGCATCCATCACACCGCCGTCTCCGATACCTACAGTCTCTCTCAATTACCGGGAGACGGACTTCGACAAGATAGGCCCGATGCCGGGCCCCAACCTGAAGTCTCGCATGACGCTGACCCCATGGACCTCGACCTCTTTGAACCAGAACCCAGCCACTCAAGCAGCGAACCAGCCGAAGCAGAAGCAGCAGCATTGCCCTCTTCAAGCACCGAAGTCATTCTCCTGAACCCTCTCTGGTACGACTGCAATGCGTCGGTGTGGGGGTACGCCGAGGCCGCCGGCGAGGATTTCCCCGTGGACGACATAAGTCAGCTTGAAGATGACGGTGATGAGTCGTATGTTCCCGTAACCACTGCGCACACCGGATCAGACGATGGCAGCCACATCACCGCTCGTGGGAAAGGGAAGGAGAGAGAGTCCGACGAACTTGGCACAGATTGGGCACTTGTCTCTACACCCAAATCGCTATCCTCGTTTCAAACACCAATCTCAGCCACCACAGGTTCAATCGACAAACGATATCACCCGATTGCCCCGAGGACGAGCAGACACAATTCGCAGTCCACCGAGGAATCGTCTCTCCGCAAGGTCAGGAAGAAGAGGGGTCGTTATATTGAGGCCAAGAAGATGGATACCAACTTGACTCGATCTGTCCATGCTTGCGTCAGGTGCAGGATGCAGCGGAACAGAGTAGGTGATATTTCGTCTCATACCCCTTGCCACATAGCTAAGCATTCTCCAGTGTGTCCCTGACCCAACAAATCCACGAGGACCCTGCATAACATGCCAGCGCAAGATGGTCCGAATGAGTCGCTTGCCCTGTCTCCGCTACATGGTGACCGACAGCACGTTGTTCCGGACAGACCTAAACTACATGGACTTTTATAAGTCACATCCCATGCTCGGACCGAATTATGGCGACTTCCATCTCGAGCGCCAATGGACTGGCACCCAGCCAAAGTTCTTACGTCTGGGGCAGGTCGGCGCCATGAATTTCCAAGTAGAACTGAAGGAGTTTCTCCCCCCTCTAAACACGACAGACGTAGATCTCAAGGGGCGACCAATGTACGCCGTTCCCTGGGCAATTGCCGACCCGGATGCGGTAGTCACCGCGATGACCGAGTACATTGACCGTGGCACCACCAAATACATGTATACGTACTTGGATGATACGGACGGACTTGTTTGGGATGTCTTTGAAGCGGCCTACAGATACTCTGTTTTCCCTACCCCTGTAGGTTCAAACACCACCGCCACCCCAGGCTGACAACTGACATTACAGTGCGCAGAATAGGATGCTCCAGAAAACCCTCAGGCTGTGGGTGGCGTGCCGTTTTCTTGAATCCAAGTGGCGGTGCTGGGCCGACAACGGCTGGGTGGATGACAGCATCTTGGCAGCCAACCCCAAGGATCCGTTCCACGATTCCGAATCCCTCCCACCCTACCTTGACTACCAGCTAGCTTCTATCATCATTCATCGCATCCTGTCTCCTCTCCGCAAAGAGGTACTTCGAGAGCTTCAAGCCACCTTCAACGCCCACAGCCCAGAAAATTGGTTTGTCACGTTCTTGACATCATTTATTTTGCTCAAGAATTACGAAACTCAAATGCTCTTCCAGAAAGAGTTTGCCGAAAGGCGGCAATCAGATGTATGTTTCCCTTTTGGAATTGGACGGTCGGCCTCGTAACCCATTCTGACTGGCTGATCAGGTCCAATACTTGGATATGTCGCTTGTGCGAGCCACCAATTCGGGGGCCAAGACCATTCTTGCGCACTTCCACTATTGCTACAAGGGGCAGAAGCTTTTCTCGAAGGGTTTTGATTGGGGTGCCCTGAAGGTGCGGAAAATGGCTCGGCTGGACGACGAGCAGATGAATTTCATGGCGCATTGTCGCGATAACGTGATAAAGAAGGGTAAGTACTGTTGTGTATTCGCCATCTTGACCGGGCTGGACGCTGACTTTGCCCGACCACAACAGCCCCAATGTTCCAACAGGTCAACCACACCCACGCGTACCACCATCCGTACTGGTACACTAGCCAACTTTTTGATCCCGACTGGACACCTCGAGAGACGCTCGAGCACGCCCCTGCGCGGATTTTGACAGCTTGACACTTGACACGTGTCTAGAATGGAGTTTGCTCGGAGCATTTCTCGAAGCGCTCTGGAGGCGCTCTGGAGGCGCACTTTTTTCGTACGGGATGCCAGCTGAACACACGACCCCTCATATGGCGCCTGCGGTCAGAGTCTGGCCTGGGCAAATTACCACACGAAATCCAAGACCCACCAATGAGGGCGGGTGCTCTTATCACATTGCATGTGCTCACACCACAATGGGGGGCTGGCTAAATTCGGCAAGGCCTATTGGTAGCTTGGGCCGTCTTGCAGCAGACCCCTCCTGTCGTTCAACCCGACGCGGAGGACCCTTTGCGCCACCAAACCAATATTGGAACAAATTCGGCACCAAGAGCCTCATCCGGGATTCATTGTTTGGGAAAATTGGTTGTTATTTGCCCGTAGATGTGGTGGCACTTTGGCGATGGCAGGGATCTAGGTGGTAACACTTACGACCGGGACTCTTATCGCCCTGCCTTAGTCCCAACTCGGGACCTAGTCTATAGACTATCTGCGGCCTATATAATCCCCGACGTCTTCCAGAACGTTGATATTTGACTCAGCGAACATTTTTCTGCCTTTCTACACCTCCAACTCCAACGCCAGCCGCTGCCGTGTCCACGTTACCAGGACGCTCACATCCTTTTTCTTGCGCAGCCAGCATCCTTTGTCCGACATGGGCGTGGAAACAGTTCTGCCCAAGGGTGCGGGGAATGCCTGGGGAGCTCCCCAGCTGAAGACGAGCACACTATCACGTGTCCCCAATCCCCAAGAATGGCCGGAGCCGATGCGAGGAGATCTCGCCTGGGGACCGACAAGTTTTGCCTCTGAACACGACTACGCTCTGACCTTGAATGATGACGATGTATCCGAGGTTCGAGCAGCATTGCAACATTTCAACGGTATGTTTTTATTCCGCCGAGACGGCTCAAGTACTTCCTGCTGACACGCTTCTGAAGACCTCGGGCTGTACGGGAATGAGGTCTCTCCGAGCACTTTTCCACTCCCGACACTCGGTCCTCGGCTCCTGAAAGCTGCAATCGATGTTCATCGTGGCAAGGGGTTTGCCGTGGTACGGGGCATCGACCCCAATGCTTTCTCCCCCGAGGACAACACTCTCATATTCCTGGGCATCTCCAGCTACATTGGCGCCCAGCGTGGGCGACAAGATGAAGACGGCAACATGCTGAGTGAGTGGTGCCACCCTAATACAGCTCCCTGCATAACCAAGGTATTTTACTAACTATTGGGCACTCAGTGCACATTCGTGACGCAAAACTCTCAAAGGCCCCGCAGAGCGACAGACCAACCAGATATTCGGCCCGGGCATCAGTGCGTTTGTCCTCTAATCCCAGTTGCCTGTCATACTCTGTCTAACTAGTCACTCGGCAGACATTTCACACTGATACCTTCTGCGATATCTTGGCTCTGCAGACGCGCGTCCGTGCTGCTGAAGGCGGACGAAATATCTTGTCGTCATCGTGGACCATTTTCAACAACCTCATGGCATCGCGACCAGACGTGGTTCAGTTGCTCGCCCAGCCTATCTGGCCCTTTGACAGGTATGGCTCAGTGACGACATGTCGATGCCATTGCATTTTGCTGACGGTTTTTACTCAGCCGTGGCGCGTTTTTCGAGTGCAGCACGCGGCCATTGCTGTTTTACCATGGCGGGCGCATTATCATGAACTTTGCCCGCGAACCACTATTGGGACTGGCTGGCGTCCGCCGCTCAGTTGGTCTGGCTGTTCTCTCGCAGGCCCAGCGAGAGGCCCTTGATGTCGTCGAAAATATGGCCAGCCAGAGCCAGATCATGCTCGACGCGGAGCCGGGCGACTTGCTGTTTATCAACAACCACGGAGTCCTCCACTCGAGAGAGGCCTTTACCGACGCCCCAGAGGCCCCTTCTCGCTACTTGGTTCGTATGTGGCTGAGGAACCCGACCCTCGCTTGGAAATTGCCCCGCGCACTCCAGGGTGGCAGCTCGAGAATCTACGGCGACAACGAGCTGGGAGAACAATGGAACATTGTGGACGTGCCGAAAGTCCAGTTTCGCCTGAGCGAGAGGCTTACTTCCTAGGCCTAGGTCCAGTCTAACAACTTTCACGAAGTCGGATAATAGTCTGTGTTTTTTAATGCTCGCAGAAATAGCGTCATTGTAATATTTTGGGCTTGGTGGGGGACCAGCAACCGCGGGAAACATTACCCGAACTTTGGACACGGCTTGGAGCACAGATTTCCTGCATTGCGTTCATAACATATGTACATACCTACCTAATCAGCGAGTTAATGCTGCTATTTTTTGTGTGCCTAACTGTTTGCCTGTTTGGCTGCTTGCTTTTTTGATTGCTTCCTTCCCCGCCTGTTTGTCTGTCACGACCGCCTGATATCAGCAAAGAACGACCAGAACAGGCGCCATCTCGGCGTGTTCTCACGATGAGGCCATGATGGCAGAGTGACGGGACAGGTCGCATTGGGAAGTGGCGCAAGACCCTGACTTGGAATGGCGAGCGATTGCAACCTCCACAATTCGGCAGTCTCGCATGCAAGCGCGGGTTTGGGCCATTCAGGGTCGGCCTAGTCCCCTATTGCATTCGCGAGTGGGTTCCCGTAGGGCTAACGGTGGGGAGGGTGGCCCAGTCTCGGCTCCAATTCGGTGGCATGTCCGGGGCCAATGCACGTAGCCTGCTTCTTGCGGTTCACGCTGCAGCATCGCTTCCACCCAATGGCAGCAGACACGCTCGTCGGGTGAGGAGTTGTCGTCCGGTTGGGTCTTGGGGGTCGTGTCATCTTGGCTTGGCCTTGGGCCGTGTCGTCTTGGCTTGGCCCCAAACAACCGGCTATCTCGGCATTCTGCGTTCCGAGGGCTTGACATCTCCGGTCCCGGGTCCCAACTTGCGTCTGAGCTTGGAGCTGTTTGTCTCGGCTCAGTCGTCCTGTGGACCGCGCGCTAACCCCGAGGCGTGGCGCTATTTAACAGACTAGTGACAATATTGGGCCGCCGGCGTTAGGCTGCATCATCGTGATATGCTGGCACTAATTGATCAGCCCTCGAGCCGCCGATGGACCTGACAAGCACCGTCTTTGTAGATATCTTGAGCCCCCTCGCCGCCTTCAGCGCCACACGGCCTCGGAATCCCGAGTCGGAAGCGCCAGCCGAGCCACATGGACATGGCCCAGGCTGCCAGTCCCGTCATGCTGGTGACCCTGGCCCCGGTCCTTCCTGGGCGACGTCATTCGTCAACCCGCGGAACCGGATCGACAGCTTGACGCAGCCCCTGAGCCGCCCCAAATGGAGGCTCGACGGCGCCGACGTCGACGGCCGTCGCTTTTTTGCCGTACCCACGTTTGCCATTGACGCCCCGCCGCTGCGCATCGACGTCTACGTGCCCCCGTTCGAGGACTACCCGCCCGGGCTGCGCGATATATTGAAGCCCGAGGCAGCAATCTATGCACGGCGCAAGAATAAGCGGGATGGGGTGATGGGCCTGCCCATCGCCCAGCACCTGCTCCGCGCGCTGGAGGCGTGGTCGTCGTCGACGCCCGCCGCCGCCGGAGACTTTGAGGCGCAGTACTGGAGCGCGCCGTTCGGGTCGCAGATTGTTGTGGCGAGCATGGCCGCGCAGCTGCGCGACGTCAACATGCTCCTCTGCCCGGACTACGGCGTCGAGCAGGCCATGCTCAGTGTCGACGCCCTGCAGGCCATGTGGCAGCTGCCTTCCGGCGCGTGGCCGCCTGTCGTCGACTGGGCGCAGCTAAGGTTCCGCCGCCAGCTGCACGAGGCCATCACGCTGGTCAGGGTCGCACAGCAGCCGTGGCGTCGCGATGGCGCCGATAGCGGCGATTTTGAGCGGGACGATGCGCCTGACATGGTGTTCAAGTCGCTGACCCGCGACCAGCGCTACATGTACAACGAGCTCAGGATGCTGCTCACGCTGCGACCGCATGCCCACGTAATTCCACGCCCGGCCTACGTCGTCACCAAGAAGGGACGCTTTGGCGGCCGCCGCGGCGTCTGCGGCTTCGTCCTCCAGTACTACCCGCTCGCCTCGCTCAAGGAGCGCCTGCTCCGGCACGCCGACGAGGAGGAGCACCTCCCAGACGTCACTGCTGCAGCTGCGGCTGCAAGCGCAGGCGAGAATGGGCGCAACATGATCCCCCTCGCGCAGCGCTTCCGCTGGGCGCGCCAAGTCGCCGAAGCGCTGGTCCACATCAACGCACACTCGGCCGGTTTCTACCCGGACCTGAAGCCGGACAACGTGGTGCTAGTGCAGCCCTCCCAAAGCGGCGAGGAGCCGATGACAACGATGACGGACGCGGTGCTGCTGGACCTCGAGCAGCGCGGCGGGTGGTTCTCGTGGAGCCCGCCCGAGGTCGCCTACGTCGAGTACCTCGAGCTGCTTGCCGCAATGCCCGAGGCTGCTGACGAAGCCGAGCTCGCAGACACCCTCACCACCCAGCTCGGCGAGTACATGCCCGGCTGGGCGCCCGGCCGGCAGCACGACCGTTACCGCAATACCGCCGGTGGCTTCAGCGCACCGTGGCTGGCACTGCTGCGCGACAGTAGCACTGACAACACCAACAAAAGCAGTAGCAGCATGCTGGCCAAGGCGCAGGTGTTCATGCTCGGCAAGCTGCTGTGGTGCATCTTCGAAGTCCGCCCACGCGTGCGCTGCGGCATTGACCACGAGCTGCTGCAGGACAACGATCCCCCCCCACTGGAATCAGGAGCGGCGTTCCCTGCTTTCACTCGCGCCACGCCCGTTGATATCCGGGCGCTCATCCACGCCTGCACGCTGGGGGCACCCGAGTGGGAGCCCGGCGCGGCAGCGAGGCGGCTGGCTGGTGTTGTTTTGCGCGGCGGGAGATTGGTTCCCGCTGCTGCTGCTCATCGTTCCCTACGTGATGTTACGGACGGGGATACCCGGTTGGCGGTGGCCACGTGGTGGGCCGCTGAGGTTCGCCGCGCCAGGGAGTTCATGGCTGAGCTGCTCGCTGCTCGGCGGGCGCATGGAAAGGGGCAGCGGCAAGACGACGAGAGCGGGCTGCTGGCGTTGGTGCGCCGGCGGCCGGCGCTCGAGGACGTGCTGGCTGAGCTGGAGCGGGTTGAGAGGGAGCTGACTTGATCCACGTTGCTAGATCAAGAGTAAGCCTGGGCGATGGGAATAAGAAGGTTTTCGGTCGTTGATTTGGTTGGTAGGCCCCTAACTTCTAAGCAACCCAGTTCAGGCACGAATATAGGCAGACGCTTACTTTGCCTGGCTTTGCTGTGCCGCCTTAATCCCTAGTTTCTTACATGCAGATATGCATGTGCCTTGTAATGGTGATCCCTCCACTTGGGCTGCGTCGCCTGTTCTTCGCCCCCCGGCATCCCAGCATCCCGGCCCGTCCCTGACATGCACCGCCCGTCTTGGAAGAGCTTGTTTTTAGTTCCCTTCACGGGGTAGATGTGCAGCCATGCAGATTCCGTACAAGGAACCAACCGGGTGGAACGAACGCCCCGCGTCGAGTGGCGAGGCAGTCTGCAGCTGAGCAGTCTTGCGGGGTTTTGCCAGCGTGATTATTAACTTTGGCGATACGGAGCCTGCATGCTACCCTGTCATGTCGGCCACAGTTAGGTACCGATGTCACCTGGTTATACTATCAGACTGCTCAGCAGACCCGGTGAAGACTAAATTCTACACGGGGAGTGTTGTTTTCCTCGCCAACTAGTTAGGCACGCGAATGCTTTGCTGCAGCTGGCGCTGACACGTCGAAACAAACTTTACGTGCTACACGGCTTTCTATCATTGCCTTAGTCTCTTGGCGGTTTAAACTTGAGGAAACATGGCGAAGTCCACTGGTGAGACCCACAAGTTACCAAGTGGAGCTCGCTGATTAGAATTTGTCTCATTGTAATCCTACGAGGTGTAATGCCCGAGCTAGCTAGAACTCGGATGGTCAGTAAGCTGGAGGGAGATGTCCATATTCTGACCTTTTCGACAGGGCTTGTAATTGTGGAGTTACTCCTCTTGCCGTATTTTCTGTTTTCTCATCTTTACTGCCCTCTCAGGAGTCTCGTCGTCGCCTTGGGCAAGACTGGCCGGTTCAGCGATATCTACAACAATTACAATTACAATTACAGGTATAAAGTCTCACTCGCTCCAGCCCATTGCTCATTCATCCTGCCCCACCACTCATCAGACCATCGCCAGCACTACAGCCACTCACCAGCTCTTCCTCCTTTAATTACACTCTAGGCGCCATGAAGGCTAAGTCCTTTGTCTCACTGCTGTGGGGGCGTGCCCTGCGACCTTGCGGCTTGAGAGGTCTCCTGTGGTGGCGGTTGCGACCATATAGCTGCTATTGCTCAGAGTGTCAGGCAGCAGGCGTCTTTTTTGTCTGTGGGCGTAAGGTAAACCGTCACATCTCCTGTGGCAGGAAGGATGAAGGGCTCGGCTGGGAACACATCTCGTCACTGGAAGCATGCAGCGTTGGTGGATCATGGGGGGCATACACAACTCATTGCTAGTTGCGAAGTTGGGCTCTATCTAGAAACTCTGTGCATGGACTCTGGTGTTGGAATTACCTCAGCCATTGAGACGCAGTATAAAAGCCCTTTTCCTATGAAGGGGTAGCAACCAATTAGCTAAAACAATCAAGCAACAACAGAGCTGACATTCATCATCGCTATTCTCGAAATACTGAAGAATGAAGTGCCACAAAGGCTTTCGGGCTTGAGGTCCCGGACCCGAGTGGGAGCCGAGTCGTCGCCGCACCTGACAAACACCACTTGAGCGCGCTCCGATATCCTGGTCCCTGAACCGTCTCACCAGACGGCACTGCTTGTGGCGTGGCCGGTCTGCGTTGGGAAATATTGGCTCTCCCTTTCCGATCAGCCACTCGATCTGGCCCTCGGCCTACTTGCTGTTGTCGGCTGGGTCTGCTCGAACGTCTTCTGTGGCATGTCGTTCAATGAGCCGGCTCTCCTAGACCTGGTGAAGAGAAGCCGGAGCGGATCTGAGCTTATCCTGAATCATAAGCAGCTGGCGTACGGGTTCGGCCTCCAAGGAAAGAAGAACAAGAGTCCCGATGTACCCCTATCTGCAGTTGTGACTGACTGGTTGGCGTTCTTTTTGGAACTGTCCTTTGCAATTTTTGACTTGGGTGAGTGCCAGCGGTGTGGGTCTGGAGCAAGCAAGAAATTGAGTTCATGCAACGCTTCATTCACGGCCAAGGTATCGCGATTGACAACTTGACGCAGGTGCTCGGCATGTACGTTCATCTAAGAAGCCTCCTCAAAAGTAGGGAAACACTCCACGGTAACAGCTTATGAAATTCGCGCTGTTAAAGAGGAGTTCCGTAGCTAGATGAAGATGAGGCAGGAAGTCATTAGGATGCGGTCCGCCGATAATAGCTATGATGGTATTCGTAGGAGTGAGTAGGCCGAGGCGGAACTGATGCTCGTAGATATTAAAAGAGACAGTCTATTTGCACAGTAGAAAGCGTCTTTTTAAACAGTAGTCTACGAAGTGGTACATGCGTAGAAGCCACCAGCCCAGCCAACTTCGGATTTTTACACCTAAAAAGCCCAGTTCAATGGCAGGCATGCTTCTTTAGATAGCCTGTCCTGTACCCCGCCTGCGCCCGGGACAATTTTTACCTGCAATTGAGGCCATCTCCAAATCCACCATCTGGCCCTACACCCTACGCCGTGTGTATGGCCTCACAGTCCCCCCGCCTGCTCGTGGCGGGCGTGGCGGTAAGGCGCAGGGAACCCGGGCAACGAAGGGAGGCCCGGGCAGCCGGGGTGGCCGTATTACAAAGACAACATGAACATCACGGGCATCGTCAGGGGCATCACATACTCAGGCTTCATCTAGTACGCAGGTTTCAACGCCCAAGGCGCGCGGGTCTCCCACTTTAATTTTCTCCTCACAGAGGTCGAGTACATACATGAGGTTTCCCAATCCATCAGATCCGGGAGTCCAGCTCAAACACGGCACCCATCCACCCATCCATCTATCTATTATAAAAACCCTTTTCAACTCTAGCCCTGCTAGAATAGTCTCGAGATCCCACGCCCTCGGCCACACCACAGGCCCGTACTCGTTCCCGCAGAGGGGGAGCACAACTACCAGAGTGCCCTCGTTCCTGACGAGGTTCCGGAAGTCCTGCCGGTACCGCAACCGATGCGTGGGTGTGTGTGTTTGCCAGCTTAGACAACCGGGAGCTGGCTGACGACGCCGTTCTTCTTCTGCGAGATGTAGAGGTTCTGGTTGCCAGGTGACGTGGCGAAGTAGAGGTGCATACGCGGCATCAGGCCGGACAGGAGGTCGGTGGTGGCGGTCCACGGCCGGATGACAAAGTTCTCGCCCGTCCAGTTCATGAGGATCTTCCACGGGTTGGTCGCGTTGCCGGTGGCCGCGACGATGCGGATCTGGGCCGTGACCGACTGCGTCTGCGTCACCTGTCCGTTGGCCGTCGTGATGTGGGTGACCTGGGTAGGGAGATTGTGGCCGAGGTTCATGGCGTTCCAGTCGTGCTGGTAGAGCGTCTGGATGGTGGATCCGGTGTCGTTCATGACTTGGTGGGTGAGAGGGCGAGATGAGTTAGTGGCCCGGTATAAGAACCTTGGGTACCTGTGCCAGCGGGGTGTGAAACTCACTGGTGGTCTGGATGACGAGAGGCGCTGCTCCGCCCAGAAACAGTGGGTTGATTCTAAACTGGGCGCTAATCTGATGATGGACGATCTGGTTATCTTGCTGCCCAAGACTTTTATGGTGACTAATCCACTTACGAAGTGATAGTTGTTCGGCGCGACTGGCAGGGACGTGAAGTTGGCTATCTGACCCGCCTCACCAGACGCCGCTACAATCTTGGCAAGGTCTGCATCATTCACAACGTGGGGTGCAGGTTGTGTAGCTTTGCTATCTGTACCGGAGACGACCGCCTGAGGCGCCTGACTGGCAGTCCTCTGTGGCGTGATGATAGCTTGCGTATTAGAAGGCGGAAATCAAATAGAATATGCTCAGGCGAGGGGGCCTTACATGAGTAACACCCTAGTCCCACTCAGCTATGGCCTTCCCAGTGTTGTGTTTAGCAACAGCCTCGTCGCGTTGCTCGGGAGTTCCCATCTTGACAGCCCCGTCGCTAAATGACCGAGAAGTTTATTTCCATGAGGGATCGGTTGTTTGTTCTTGTAGTACTGGACTAACCCCTCGTAGGCTTTGCCTAGCGAGGTAGTCGGCCCAGCCTTCGACTTCTTATCCTCTAGGTCAGTAATGACGTGCTTACGCACTTCATCCTCAGAAGAAGTGCTGCTGGTGGACCTCTCTCTGCTCATGGTGGGCTAAGCGGTAGTGGGTGGTGGACAGATGCGAATTAAAGGCTGGCTATGACGGTCTGGTAGAGGCCGATGGGAGTATGTGCTTGATGGTTGCGGGTGAGGAAGTGTTGTTGATGTGTTGTTGAGTTGGATGTCAGTGGCCCAAGACGAATGGGTTATATATCCTTGAGGCGAGCGTCGAGACATACTCGATGAGGCTTGAAACTTGGACTTGCTCGTACCGGCCGCCTCCTAGGCCTCAGCGCCATGTCAGCCAACAGAGGTGTTTCGACCAACGCCGTCAATTTCCCAACACCAACTCGGTGATTTTCCTCCGCCGCCGCACCAAGTCCCTGATGTGTGATGTCGAGAATGGTCCAGAATCCACCGGGCTGAGCCTCCCGTGCCTGAGGCTGAAACGGCGTGTTATGGCTGCGACGGCCTGTTATGGCTGCAATGGTTATTTGAGGGGAATTTCGTCAGCGTCCTCCACATGGACCTTGACTTGGCTTGGGTGAGGAGCATGAACTTTTTGAAGCTGGCCTTATGAGGCGCGAGTACGCGTACGCCCTTCGGAGCACGCTGTGCCGAGTATGCTTTCCGAGTGCGCCCTCCTCGACTTCCGAGTACACCCTTCCGAGTCGCCCATCTACGGGGGGCGGGGGGCAAAACCCGATATGCGGGAAATAAAAATCTCATGATTTTCTAGACAGCATCACTAAGCTGCAAAAAGAACCTCGCATGCTTACTCACTGCGCTCGTATACGAGCAGGAAGCAGGTAAGCAAGCGCCTCTCACGCAGGGCACTTGAAACACGTGCCTTGTGTCACGTAGAAAGGGTGCTCCAAACGGACCACAAGGGGATACGCCGAGGTTTAGCCGTAAGAGTCAACGGAATTGAACTCAGTTGACGCTGTCAGATGGAAAGGGGTAAAAAGGACTAGACTGGATTTTGTTAGCATGCTTACCAACTACCGCCACCTATTATCGCCACCCACTGTACTATATGGGCTCCCTGGATTCAGGGTGGGCGACGAATAACAATATTCGCGTATTTGTCAGCGGATAATTCCGTATTTGGAATATCGCAAATATTGACGAATATTCGTTCGCTTAGTCAGCCTGCCAGAAGTGCCCAAAAACAGCCAACGAATATTCGTCTGCTTACCTAATCTGCCAGCACAGCCAACAAATATTTGGCTGCCCAACCTAACCTAACCACCACAAATTCTACCAAATCCTTCCAATTCACATCAGGAAAGATGTCTTTCATCTCTGAGGATTCTTCAATATCCAGAGATACGGGCCGAATTTTGAGCCCAATCACAGAGCACACACGACCACCCCAAGACGAAGAACCGGCACGAAAAGGCAAAAACCGCATGTATTATTGCAAATATTGCCCATCATGGAGTGCTCAAAACACATCGAACTTCCGGCAACACATTCAATCCAAGCATGGTATTGCAATTATCAGCCAATCGAGGAAAGCCGACGATTCCAGCCATACAACACTGCAATCTCTATATGAGAAAGCAATGGTGATCAATCAGACCTCTGAGTTTGATGCTCAAATCTTGAAACGAGCGTTAAATAAAGAGGTTATCACACAGGCGATTATTTCGCTTATTGTTGTTGAGAATCTTTCTTTCCGGATCGTCGAAAGCCCCTATTTTCACACCCTTTGCAAAGCTCTTAATCCAACGGCATCAAACGAGATCCTTTCATCACATTCGACTATCAGAGAGCATATCAGAAATCCTGGCTTTTTAATAAGGATCTTATTCGGAAGAAACTTCAATCATCCCGCTCAACAATCCACCTCTCCCTCGATGTTTGGACTTCTCCAAACCAGAAACTGTTCCTTGCAGTTTGTGCTCATTTTGTGGATTTCGAATCAGAAACTCTTCAAAAAGCACTTATCGGCCTTCCATCTATCCAGTCACATCATGCAGCAACACAATACGAAGCCCTCATCTGTATTCTTAAGGATTACAATATCTGTTCAAAAGCTAGGGCAATTATTAGCGATAACGCTTCTACCAACGACAGTCTTTGCAAAATTCTCGAAGCAACCTTCAGCGAAATGGCAGTCCCTTGGTTATCATCAGATAATCGAATCCGATGTAATGGGCATATTATCAATCTTGCTATCCAGGCATTTCTATTTCAAGCAGTCGATGAACACAACAAAGGGGCAGATAAGGAGGCTCAGATCTCTGATGATCTAAACCCTCTGATTAAACTCCATAATATTGTCCGCCATATCCGAGGATCTCCTGCTCGAATCCGCCAATTTACTCAGCTTGCTGGTCGAATGATCCCTTCAGATAATTCAACACGATGGAACAGTTGGTATTTAATGGTTCAAGTTGCTATTGAGCATGAGGGTTCAATTTATTCATATACCAAGTCCTGGTATGAATATCTTCAGAAGGATTTTCTTTTTCCGGAAGAATGGGAATATCTTCGAGCGATATCGACTTTCTTACATCCGTTTTATCGAGCAACAAAGGCTACAGAGGGAGATCAAGCGACAATTGACCGAGTTCTATTCACAATGGACATCCTTATTCAGCATTTCAAGAAAAGCCTTTTAACACATCAGTCAAACAGTCTTCTATCTTCTCGGATCGAAAATAGCTGGGCTATATTCGACAAATATTATTTAAAGACAGAGGACTCTCCATATTACGCAGCAGCAGTAATTTTCCATCCATCACGGCGAACCTTATATCTCAAACAAAACTGGGATAAGAAATGGATACGGCCAGCAATCAACTCTGTCAGAGATCTCTGGGAAAGGCATAAAGATCACTCAGCAAACGCCTCTCCAACACCGCCATCAATGCAGGTTGATGATCTTGATGAATTCGACATCCTTGCTCAAAACCTTGATGTTCTTCCATGACAACAAATAAAGGATGAATTCGAAGATTATATCTCAGAAGCTGCAATTTCGATCCAAACTTCAGCATTATCCTGGTGGCTGAATACACAACAACAACAACGCTGGCCAAGGCTATCTCAACTGGCAATCAACATTTTATCCATTCCGGCAATGAGTGCTGAGCCAGAGCGAGTGTTTTCTGGGGCTCGTCGTACAATCTCTTGGGAAAGAATGCAACTAGGTGAAGATACTATTGAGTTTCTTGAGTGCTTGAAGCATTGGATGAAGTCAGGGCTTGTAAATAGTGGCTTGGAGGAGATGGATCTTGATGACTAAGTGGATTTGGTGGGCTTGGCGAATATTGAAATGATTACTAAGCAGATTTGACGAATATTCGTTGATGTGTCAGCAAATATTGATGAATATGCGATATTTGATTTGTCAGCGAACGAATATATCGCCGCCCACCCTGCCTGGATTAGCCAGAGAGAAGACAGAATTGAACAAGATCTTCAACCAAATCATCTTTATCATTAGAAGTGCAATACTTCTGACAGACGCCATACATGCACTTTGACTGACTTCGCTGCAATCAACAACACGTGCCTCTTCCCGCTGCCAAACGCCATCTTTTAGGTTTCTCGGCCTATTCCTACGCCGCGGTCCGGGGCACGTCTCCCACCAAAGGTGCGGTACTCAACGGTCCATTTTACAAGCGGCACAAGACCAGCCCCGCTTGCTCACCTCCTCGCTAAGACTGCACGGTTTTGGCACTTCGGACTCCCCGGGTCAGGACCCGTGCCCGCGGCAAAGACGGCGTAGACTTCCTTTGGCACCGATCCAATTACCTCACAACTACGTACATTCCACACACACGAAACGGTTAGCGCGCAGGCGGCCTGCCTCGATGCAGCTAACAACTGTCAATCGGACTGTTGAACGAAGCTGAGTTCCGATCAACCGAGGCAATGCAAGCTGGTATAATAAGGGGACTTTTTCCCACCTCTGTATTTAGAATAACGTCATCAGTCTTCGACCAGTCACAACAATCTAAATACCATTCTGGACCGTCTTCTTTGCTCTTCATTTTTATCCCTTATTTGCTCTTCATCGCTTTCCATTCTCGCTTAGCAACGCTCCAAAGCTCAACCATCCTCCAAACCTTGTTTGACCTCTCGGCATCGGCACGAAAGCCTTCCTTGGAAGACATGATGTAGCCGACGTCCGAGGCGGCGCTGTTGGTGGGGTTGCCGTGCTTGTAGGTGCCGGGGACGTAGAGGCCGCACTTCTGGGTGGCGACGCCGAGCAGGTCGGCGAAGCCGGCCTCGGAGAGGGTCGAGATGGCGGCGTTGCCCTTGCGCGTGCAGATAAAGGCCACGACACCCCCGCGCTTAGAGTAGTACGACTTGCCGATCGGCACCAGCACGGTGCCGCCGTAGTTGAGGATCTGCTTCTTCATGTCGGCTACGGCTACGGCCGCGTCGCAGTCGCTGCGGTCTAGCACGCTGCTGCACTTGCAGAACACGCGCTGGTCTGCTTGCGCGAACAGGTCTTGCGCGCTGCTGGGCGGCGTCGCGATGAGCCCTGCCGCCTCGGCGTCCCGCTTGTCAGCGCTGGCGATGGGCGACGTCATGCGCTCGTGAATCTCGTTGCCCGCCGCGTCGTAGTAGCCGCGTAGACGCCATCTGCGGCGTCTCTGGGGACCTTGAAGCCCGAGACAAGGGGCACGAGGAGGGAGAGAAGGCTAATGGCGGTGGTGGCGCGCGTTTTGAGGGTTGTTGGTGGGAAGGGAGAGTTGTGGGTGTGTTTTGGAGTGTGTTTTGGAGGATACTGAAGAGACGAGGAGATTGCTCTGGATGTCGAGATGAGATGATATTGAGATGCTCTGGATGTTGTGATGGATGGACATGGGACGAGAGAAAACCGAGCTTAAATAGCAAGCCTGGACTCTGGAGACTCTCGTAATGCTTATGATGCTTATAGGACATTCCCCATACAGCGAGCGAGTGGCCAGCATCCATCGTCCCGTCTCATCAAGCCCTGCGCGTCTTGGTCGCGCAACAAGGCTTGTGGCTGGGATCGCAGGGATCAGGCTGGGATCACAGGGATCAGGCCGGAACCCGGCCTGATACGCCCGAGCCCAGGCATAAGTGGATCTGGGATCCACCAGTCCAGGCCATCATTTCCACATATTATTCCGCCGTGGCCCAGATAGCTAGACTTCCTGCAAGCAATCTAGTCATTCCCTTCCTGCCTACACTATTCATTGCAAAGTCCAGAGCAACATTGACCGCCAGAAGTAACAGACCAGACTCGATTCTGGATTAAAGAGTGGAAACATGTTTCCTTCATTTGCGACAGCGGATAGGATCTATCGTCAAAGGTACTCGCAAGCATGAAGCCCATACTCGGTTCAATTGAAGTCGAGGTCCCCATGCCATTCACTCTCCTCGTAGTCCCAATTGTCATCCAGTGCGTCGCTGAGCTGCCGGACGAATTCCTGCGAGCCACACCGGTCGATGGCATGCTCTACTGGAACTTGGTAGCTGGCATCCCACATGCGGTCATGCCCAGCCCTATATCCAAGCTGCTTCTCCTTCACTTCGACAAACCGGCGGTCGCTCGCGTGGGTCCTCGGGAATTACAGGGGTCGACCGTATCCCACGCGGGGTCGTATTACAGGGCCATGTGACGGTCACATTTGTCCAAAGCCGTGGCATAGAATCGTGATTGTACCTGCACCTAGTCTCCTCAACGAAAACTGAAACTGGGGAAACTGTCCCATATAAAGTCATCGCGAGAAGTTTCGTGTTCCGGGCCGCCGGCGTGTTCTGACTCGTTGGCATTGTAAACTCTCTAAACACATGCGCTCCTAGGAGAGCCGGCCGGGTTGCGAGTTTCTGGATCTGCTCCCTGAGCTCCCACGGGAGACACGAGAAGAAATGGAAATCTGCTGCCATTTTCGGGTCGAGGGCGCATGCCGCGGTATGAAGAAGTATTAGGCGGGAAAAGCCTTAGATTTACTACGGGTTTTAACAGGACTCAGCTGGGAAAGGTACCCACCTAAAGGGCACCAGGGCCGAGATGAGAGCAGAAGAAAATCGGTACAAGTGTAGCTCAATATAGGGAATTTAGCTGACCATACACTCGATTCAGGTCTGACCCCGGCACAGTCCCCCTTTACTCGTCACCACAAAGAGTGACCTCGTCGACTGAACTACACCATTGCTGTTTGAACTACCACCAAGCCTCCCGGTTAAATGGCTTCGGTCAATAACTTTCCAACTATATTTTTTAGGTAAATACTCCTACGCCCAGAATCCATTTGCGATGGTTTGCTCAGTAACTTCAGTTGGAGCCATCGATTCCGAGGTACTGGAGTATCGCAAAAAGGTTTGTTTGACCGACCGCTAGATATGGTGTGGGTTGCCGCTGGGGCCTCGAGAATTGTCGGGGTTGGGGCAAAATTTGAAGGGGAGACTCAAGAGGGCGGCATGTAAGGCGAAAAAGGCGCGGTGGTTTGGCCGAGATACTGCGCCAACGCAAGGCAACTGTCCGACTATTGCTGTGCTGGCGGTTCGCCTCAGGCCCCCAGGAACTTTTGAGAGACGGTTGAGGAGGAGGCTGAGGAGGCGGTTGAGGGCAATGATTCCGATTTATTGTCCGACAGCAAATCTGTCTACCTGACTGACAATACCAAGGAGACTTGGAGCCTGGAGGGACTTTCGGTAAGCAAAACTCCATCAAGCCACTACCAAGATTTACTAACTCTCCTAGAACTATCCGGCATTTTCTACCGAGGTAAATGTGACTTCGACTGAAACCATAAGTCATAAACGTAAGCTATCGGATTCCGAGCCTGTCACTATCTCGAGTAATAAACAGGCCCGAAATGGCGATTCTGGAGGGTGGATCTTGACGACCTATTCATTAATCCCTGGGCATCGTAAGAGGTCTGGCCTTGGTGTTGAGTTGTTTCTGGATAGTTGTAATTTCTTCATAATATATAGAGATCAAGCAATATATTCTAATTTCTTATCGGCGTGGAATGGGGCTATTATTACAAACCACTCGACTGTTAGGGTCGTCTGTCTGTAAGGGAGCAGGGGCTTCACAGAATGCTGGGGTTGGTAATTATGAAGATATAACAAAGGGCAAGCTCCTATCGCAGGGTAATGCAGTCAAATCGGAATACCACTCAAAGTGTATGAGTGCAGCGAATGTGTATTGCTTGCTTGAAGAATCAAGCAAGAGCTATCTAGAACCGTGGTCACGGTCATCGTAGGGTATCTATCTAAGGTGGACCAATAAGAGCGCAGCTCCCACTTGCTAGGTGCCGAGACCATGCCTGGTGCCGGGCACTGCTAGCGCGCCGGGCAACCTTCCTGCCCTGTGCCAAGTCCGTGCTTGGCACCAGGCAGCTTCCTATTGGCTGCATCCCCAGGCCCCTCGGGGCGCCCCGCTCCTGCAGTCTGTCCAGTACGAACCGGGTTCGTCACATCAAAGTGGCAGGCCTGTGGCAGAGTTCTACAGACCTGTAGCAGTCAGGCTGCTTCCCTCAGTGTCTTCCATAAGGCACTGTTGTACTGGACTGTAGGGCATAGTTCCCTGCAGCCCACTGGGGCGTAGGGCACAGTTCCCTACGACCTACCTTGCACTTGGCTCCCCGCCTACACTACGGCTTCGCTCCGCCTGGCTGCAACACGTAGTTTGTCACGACCAGGGCAAGGCATTGAGGTGAACTCAGTCCATTGGGTGCTATCGACGAAGATTCTAAACTGAGGAGGGAAAGAAGGAAAAGTCCGACAACGCGTCGCGTGCTCGCGAATAAGTTTTCATCTATCAGTGGGGTAGGTGGGGCCTCGAGGAGGCTTCTGATAGGCCCGGGGGTTCTGGGCGGCTCTGGCTGCTTGAGGGCCAGTTTGGTGGACGGGTCCTCACATAGTTCAACAGAACGTAGAAGAAATAATTAATAAAACAATAGGGTTAGAGTATAGTAAAATGGATAAAAGGAAGTGAAGAAGTCTTTTGTAATTAAATAAGTCGCGGCTGTATATCGTCAGTATTCGTTATTAGCGAAGGCAGATCATCAGCGCCATTAGCAGCGGTATACTATCAACGCCCTTAGTGGCACATTATCAGCGCCATTAGCGGCGGCACATCACCAGCGCCATTAGCGGCGGCACACCATCAGCGCCATTACGGCGGCATACTATCAGCGCCCTCAGTGGCACATCATCAGCGCCATTAGCGGCGGCATACTAAATCAGCGCTATTTCAGCAGCGGCTCACCCATATTCGACGTTAGATTTTAGTAATTTTATTTTCCTTTGATCCGATATTATTTCTCTCTAATTCTTCATCCTTTTTCAGATCTTCTACTTACTAAATTATGCCGAAAACTCTCATCGCATTCAAATTATTCCCAGGTCTTAATCAGGAGACTTTTGGGTAACGTTAACCCCTATTTTTTCAAACGGTCGACCACTTGGCCCGTGTGTTGCTATCGCTAAACCTCCTCGTATATCACCTGTCAGTGCCCGGCGACGGCGTCGGCGACGAGCTCAACAGCCTGCGATACGCGTCGCAGGTCGATCTCGTGCAGGCCCGGTCGCGCGCGCAGTCCATGGAGCCGTTGGCTGTGGTCGTTGTCGGCACCGGGGGGGCGAGAGCGGGGGCGGGGGCGGGGGCGGGGGCGCGGTGTACGAGCCGATGCGACATCGCCATGTGGGTTGATTTGCAGGTTGCGGTTTTGTCATCATGACGTTGGTTCTAGGCTGGCGTTGTGCGACCGTGTGCGACGGTGGGACAGCGATAAATTTCAGTTCCAATCCCAATTCTTAAATGGCCGTTTTTTCTCGCACATGATCAGTATCACCCAGCAGCCCGCGCCGCAGAGTAGTTTGTGATAGAAATGGGGCTGTAATTATACCACGTGAAAATTAGAGTTTTTTATCCCGATGAATCATTTGCAACCGGCCCAAGTAATTTTCAACTATTCTCTCAGCCAAGCACTTGCATCTTGTGTCCTTCTAGGGGAGGTAAGGGTCGAGATGTGAGTAGTATTTGCGCCTTCAGGGTCAATTAAGCAGGCCGCAGCGGCCCACCAAGAACCGGCCCTCCGGACTCCCGTCAGGGTTTGTGTCAGAAAGACCATACTGTTTTCGGCATGGTCTAAGGGAGCCCGGGCAGGGCACCTAGTTGGACTACCTGTTACACAGGATCAACACACGTCCCCGACCTGCGGGCGCATGCCTTCTCTTCTTCCTCACATGAATTAATACACACATTGCGAATACCCTCATTCTTGATTGCTTTGCATGCATTTGGCTTCTGAGTGTTTGCTGGTCGTTAGAACCTTTTCTGGGCCTATGTGGGACTCAACGTCCCCCAATCGCCGCCGGCCAAGGCTCGCTGCGCTAAGGCTGAGGCCAATACCAGCCCAACAATCGCTCGGCCAACACCGTCCTGATGAAACGCTCGCCTAAGGCCGCCGCCCTGTCTTGAGACGATGATTCATGATTCAGGCCCGGCTTCCGCCCGATCTGGCCGTCCAACATGTCGAGCGGCGGGCTCGGTTCTGCCCCCCCTTTGCGCAAACGGACCTCGCCTCCATTTTATAATCAAAGCCTGACCTCACTTCATCTCACCTTCGACTTCCGTCTTGCACTCACATTCTCGTTGTCCAGCTGTTAATATTCGTGCTTTGGTATATTGGTAACAAAACATCCTGCTAATAAAAGCCCAGCACATTTCACCATGTCGCTCAAGACCACTGCACCAGAGTCTTCGAAATCAGGTGCAGGAGACAGAAATGAGACGAGTCTGGCGCATGTGCTACAAGCTCTTTCGAAAACCATCACGGACCTGAAGAAAGTCGGTATAGACTCCTATGTAGTAGGCGACATGGTAGGCGTCTTATCACCGCCATACAGAGATGATGTCGCATTCCGTCCGAACTTCTTAGGTCTTCTTCAAACAACCGCCACCTCGAGAGAAATATATACCAAACTCAGGACTCGATTTCCCTCTGACGAGGAATTGAGAATCCAAAACAAGACACCGTGTGTGATACTTCATCTCCGGCTATTACGCCATCTACTTCTACCTGCTAACTATATTTCAACATGTTTAATAGGCCGAACCTAGACAGGACCCCTTGTCACACACTTTCTGTTCAGGTCGGCAAATCGCAGGCGACGAAGGCGGAAGTCATGCTCCTCGTATTCCCGGGTATGTGTGCCCTTCATCACTCAGCCTTTTACAGTGTGTCAACAGAAGAGACCTATTAACCCTGAGCAGAGAAAATTCCAGCCACACGACGCCACCTTTTCTTGAAATTGGTGGCCAGTCACATTCCGAGCTCTTTGCCGGAACCAATGGGGGGGCTTCTCCCTAAAAATGAGTGGCCAGTAATCAAATCCACTTTGTCGTACGCCCACGTTATGCAGGTGTTCTCGTGCGACCCCGATCCTTCCGAGGCCAAGGCCGCTGCCGAGGTGCCCACATCCGCAATAGAGGCGTCCAAATGAGTGCCAGTGCGGCACCTACGTTAGCACGTGCTCTTACTGTCAGGGCAGAGTTGCCATTTGCTTGATGTTGTATTTGGTTAATCAAGGGTCAGCCGAGAGTACGTCAAGGCTGAGACGGTGAAATAAAAAGATGGAACTTCTGTAAATGGGCGGCGTGCTTGAGATTTCACCTGGTTCAGCTTGTGGTGGTTGTGGTTTGGGGCTTTTCGCGGCTGAAAGGTGTCCATGGTGGTATTTCGGGTCTATGTCAGGGCCCGCACAGCCCTTTGAACGAAACGCTGGCGCCGGGCCTTGGTCACCGGAGCCGGACCCCCAGCGTTTCAGAAGGTCATTCTAACCACCTCGCCATCCCAAGTTTCCGGCCGTGTGGGGATATCGCGAAACAAATCAAAACAAAACAGTACCTCAAGTTCAGTACACATTGGGATCCAGCCCCATTTCTCCCCCCAATCGGCACTTTCAGTCTCACTTTGCATGTTAAATATTTGAAACGAATCATTAATCAACTTGCAGAACGTGGAGGCATATCATCAAACTGTACTCAGCAATCTACTCTAAAGTTAAATTATTGGTTTCAAAATGAGGACTGAAAAT